CAGAATGCAGTAGGAAACAGATGAAGTAATGATTTGATTAAGGGGCAACCAAAAAATTTTAGAAGATAACATTAGAGTTTGACTTTGACTTTGGAGGTTTTCCTGTAGGTTTTAACTAGACAGAATATCAGAAAAGAGAATACAGAGGTACTCTCTGTGTTTAGAAAGGACGCTCTGGGTGTGGCCATGGAGAGGCAGGGGACTGGACTGGAGTGAACTAGTACTGTAAGGAGTTCCTGGTGTCATCACGCGAAGGAGTTGGGAGCTTTAGTCCATGGATGAGAGTCACTGAAAGATTGTAAAAGCAGAGTAGCTGGGTTCTGATTTAGAAAGATAACTGGCTAAAATCTGGAGAATAGGTTAGGTGTAAGCTAATTCAGATAGCTTTTTTTTTTCATCATAAATTAGGCTAACAACTTGTCTGAACAGAGACAGGAAAAAGAGAGTTCAATTAGATATTTTTTTCCCCCCTTGAAGTCTTATTTATTTCAGAGACAGAGAACACAAGTATGCCAACTCTGCTATGTTGAGTGCCCCCAGATATCTGCAGTGGCTGTGGCTGGATAAGGGCCAAAGCCTAGGATATGATCCAGGTTCCCCACTTGGATGCCTTAGCACTTCCAAGGAAGGTACATAGAGATGACATTAAGGTCGGTTCTTGGAGATTTTTTTGTAGTTTCTAGTCAAATAAAGTATGGGACAGAGGGACTGAGTGTTGCAGTGAAATGAATTAAGCTAATGTTTGTGGGGGCAGCATCCCCTGTCAGAGTACTAGTTCGAGTCCTAGCTTTACCCTGCCCCTGATCCAGCTTCCTACAAATGTGCCAGGAAAGGCAACAGAGGATGCGTGGGGTCGGTGTGTGACCCAGTGCTCAGGCTGCTGCGTGGGCTTCCTGTGTCCGGTGTCATGGTGCTGGCTGGAGTCCCTGCTGTTCTGCTGCTATTGCTGCTGCTCATCCTAAAAGATGTGATTTTGGGGCTGTCATGGTGGCATACTGGCTGATCTTCCTGTGGTGTTGGCATGGATGCCAAATGGGTGCAGGTTCAGGTCTGGGCTGCTCCACTTCTGATCCTGCTTAATGATCTGGGAGGGAAGCAAGAATGATCCAATCCCTTGGACCCTTGCATCCTCATGGGAGAACCAGAAAGAGGCTCTAGGCTTCTGGTTTTGGATCAGCTCAGCTTTGGCTGTTGAGACCATTTCCAGAGTGAGCCAGGGACAGAAAATCTCTTCTTTGTCTCTGCTTCTCTATGTATAACTGCTTTGAAAATAAAAAATTTATAAGTATTTTAGAAAAAGATTTTTTATTTGGAGCCAGAGTGACAGAGGGAAGGATAGAGACACAGAGACCATCCCTCTGATATTTCACTCCTTAAATGACCACAACACCCATCCAAACTCAGGGGCCGAAAGCCTGGAACTCTGTCTAGGGCTCCACAGGCTGACTGCTCGGCGGGCCACCATCTGCTGCCCTCTGCGACACGCTAGCAGGAGCTGGAACCTGAAGTGGGACTGACATGGAATGCTGGGTTTGTAGGTGATGGCTTAGCCTGTTGGCCACAATGCTGACACTTGGTACTCTGTTTCTGAACTGCTGCCTGCTTATGTGTGTATGACGCCTTCAGCACTTGGGAGGCCCAGAAGAGCTTCCTGCTCTTGCACTCGGTCGAGCTGAACACTTGGAGAATGGACCAGCAGACGAAAGAGATCTCCCTGCCCCACCCCGTCTCTTTTCCTCCTGACCTCATCTCCTTTTTCCATCCCTCTGCATTTCAAATAAATCTTTTATAAAAGGAACAACATGTTCTTCACATTTTTTAGTCTAGTTTCAACACACGTATCCTGTTCTAGAGAAGTAATTTAGTAAGCAAAAAATTTGTGTACCCAAATATGTTACTTTAAATAGGCAAATGTTCACTTACAAAAGAAAAAGAGAGCCATATATTATGTTGGTTATCTGTTGCTAATAACTTATAACCTCTCATCTGCACATCACTACATGGATCATGAGAAGGCCTCTGAATCCTTGAGAAAGGGAGCAGAGTGCCTTTTAAAATCTCATCTTAGAAGTCACACATTGTCCCATCCACACATTTACAGCACTTAAAAATGAGTTTAAGGTCCAACCTGTACTTAGTAAGAGAAGAATTAAGCTTCTTGAGAAAAGGAGCATAAAACATTTTAAAATACATTAAAAAAAACTTTTTATTGGAAAGTCATATTTAAAGAGAGGAGAGACAGAAAGATCTTCCATTCACTGGTTTACTCCTTAGGTGGCCACAGCAGTCAGAGCTGAGCTGATCTGAAGCCAGGAGCCAGGAGATTCCTTCAGGTCTCGCATGCAAGTGCAAGCTCCCAAGGCTTTGGGCCATCCTCAACTGCTTTCCTAGGGCACAGTTGGAGCTGGATGGGCAGCCAGGATGCGAACCAGTACCCATATGGGATCCCAGTGCATGCAAGCCGAGGACTTTAGCCACTAGGGTACTGTGCCAGGTCCTCAAATAAATAAATCTTTAAAAAATAAAATAAAAATAGACTAATCCTAAGATATGGTCTAGACATATACAAACGATTCAAGAGCTATATGTACAGATATGTTCAGAGCATCACTCCCAATAACTAATGTGGAAATACCCAAGGGTCCACTAACCAATCAATAAGTAAAATGTATATCCTCATACAAAATGAAATATTATTCAGCCTTATGAAGGGAGGAAATTCTGATTTACAGTACAACATGGCTGAACCTTAGGCTAAGTGAAATAACATGATTCCACTGATTGCAAGAACCTGGAATAGTCAAAATCACAGGAAAGAAAATGGCAGCTGCCAAAGGTTGAGAGAGGGAGGAATGGGTGATGACAGATGAATTGGTGTGATGTTTCAGTTTTTCAAGAATCCAGTTATGATGGATGTTGGTAATAGTTACACAACTTGAATGTACTTAATATCACTGAAATGTGCATTGAAAAATGGTTAAGTTGGTAAATTTTATGTTGTCTATTATGACAAAAAAAGTGGTAAGAAAAAATACGTCCTGACTCAAGCAGAAAAAAAAAAAACATTGTGAGGGCCAGGGCAATGGCAGAATTGGCTAATATTCTACCTGTGAGTGCTGGCATCCCATATGAGCGTCAGTTTGTATCCTGGCTGCTCCACTAACCACACAGCTCCATGATTGTGGGTGATGGCCCTAGGCCCTGGGAGCCTGTATCCATGTGGGACACCCAGTAGAAGTTTCTTCCTCCTGGCTTCAGATTGGCTCAGCTGCAGCCATTTAGGGCATTTGGGGAGTGAACCAGCAGATAGAAGATCTTGCTCTATATCTCTCCATCTCTGTGTAAATCTGCCTTCCCAATAAAAATACAATCTTTAAAAAAGATTTATTTATTTGAAACTTGGAGTTAGAGAGAGGGGGGAGATCATTGTTCACCTGTGCATTACTCATGTAGTCACAATGGCCAATGCTATACTAGTGTAAAGCCAGGTGCAGTAGCTTCATCTGGGTCTCCCAGATGGGGTTGCTGTGTCCCCAAACACTTTGGCCATCTTCTGATGCCTTTCCCATCCTGTTAGCTGGAACTGGGTTAGAAGTGGAGCAGCAGGGACATGAAGCAGCACTCAGGGATGCTGGCATTTCAGGTGCTGGTTTGACTCTCTTTACCACAACACTGGCCTGTCTTTATTTTTTAATTTAAAATATTGTTTATTTCGAAGACAAAGCTCCTCAATTCATCAGTTTGTTCCCCAACGCATCTAACAGCCAGAGCTGGGCCAGGCTCAAACTAGGAGCTCAGAATTCCATCTGCATCTGCGTGGGGGCAGAAACCCCAGGGCTTGAACGATGGCCTTCCTCCTGGGCGCACATTAGAAGAGGCTGCGATTGTAAAGGGAGCCTGGACTGGCACTGGCGTTGGTAGGGAAGGAAGTCATATCCCCAGGAGCATTTTAAGTGCTATGTGCAATCATCTATCCAGATTATATTTTTAATTTTTTTCAAAAAATATTTACTTTATTTCAGAAAGGGAGTGAGGGAGAGACAAAAGGTGAAAAGGGGAGTGGGATAGAGATTCTTCATGTACTGGTTCATTCTCCCACTGCTTTTCCAGGCACATTAACAGGGAGCTGGCTGAGAAGCGGAGCAGCTGGGACTCAGACCAGGGATCGTATGCAGTGCTGATGTCTCAGTATGTTAATCCACTGTACCATCACACTGGCCCCTATTTTAACTTTGTGAGAAACATCCGCACTGTTGTGTGTAGTGATGGGCTGTTGTGTGTAATGATGGGCTGTTGTGTGTAGTGATGGGCTGTTGTGTGTAGTGATGGGCTGTTGTGTGTAGTGATGGGCTGTTGTGTGTAATGATGGGCTGTTGTGTGTAGTGATGGGCTGTTGTGTGTAATGATGGGCTGTTGTGTGTAGTGATGGGCTGTTGTGTGTTCCTACCAGCAGTGTACAAGGGTTTCGTTTTTCTGTGTCTTTTCCTGAACTTACTATTTTCTGATTTTGTTTGTACTAGTTCTAATGTGGGTGAGGTGGTCACAGTGTGATTTTTGATGGTTCATTTTTCTAAGAAAAAAATAAAATTGATGATGGGAAACTATAGAGATCATTAAGAGGTGATAGAATTTTGTTTTGTTAACTTGGCTGAGGAGCTAGTCAAGTCAAGGCATTCACTTTACTACTCGATTATTTCTTTGAAAGGCAGAGACAGAGACAGGTTGTTCATCTGACATTTGCTGCTCAATGCTTGCAGCAGCTCAGGCTGGTCCAGGGACAAGTCAGAATCCAGAAACTCAGTCTGGTCCCGAGGTCCTGCCGCCACCCCCTCCTTCTACCCTGGATGCACATTGGCAAGACGCTGGGCTTGGATGTTGAGGCTGGGTCTCTGCCAGGATCTCCAGGACGGGATGTGGGCATTTTCCCTGCTGCACCAAATGCCTGCCTGCACTCTCACTGTAATCCGGATGGTCATTGAATCCTGGTGATGTGATTGCAGGTAAATTGGCAGAATGAGGAGCAACAAATCAAAAGAGGTGCCTTTACCAAATCCAAGAGACTCTCAAAGCAAGGATACTGTTCAAGGTATGATTTTTGTTTCTTAACTGAACTTAGTCCCTTGTTTAGGTCAAATATGTTAACTACTGCGCTGATCAATAAATGGAAATTACAGATGTGCTTAGACTTATTAAAAAAAAGTGGATAGTTTTAAATTCTAACTTGAACATGCATGTCTCATCCCCAAAGGCGTTCTGCTGTAAATTGTTGTCAAGGAGGAATCCATCTGCTTAAAAAACTGTCAACCAGTATAAATTTAGTTTTACACAATTTTCCAAATATTCTGGTTTAATGTCTTTTTTTTTTTAATTTTAAGTTTGTTTTTAAATGTTTGTTATGTAGGTTAGGGGTTTGCAGACTTCAGGAAGGGGTGGGAGGAAGGTGAGTAAAGGAAAAGACCCTACCCTCCCTCCTGTAACCTTTGGGTTGATGAGGAGGGGAGATGGTGCATGGCTGCTTGCTGCCAGCTCACATCCTTGCTTCATGGTAATAAGTGATATGATTCCTAACACAGTTCTAGACATGTAACAAAAGTAATAGTCTTATTGAACTCTTTTGTTAATCTTGCGTGAAATTTGTTTTGTTTTGTTGTTGTTTTTTTAAGATTTGTTTATTTGAAAGGCTGGTTCACTGCCTGAATGACTTCAGTGTCCAGGGCTGTGCCAGACTGAAGCCAAGAGCCAGGAGTTACATTCAGGTGCCCCCACATGAGTGGAAGGGTACCAAGAACATGGGCCATTTGCTGCTTTCCCAGGCATGCTAGCAGGGAACTGAATTGAAAGTTCTGGGACACAAACTGATGCCAGCATGGAATCCTGGCAGCACAGTTGGAGGCTTAACTTGCTCTGCCACAATGCCAATTCCTAGAGTTAACTTTAATGCATAATTTTTTTTAGTGGAGTTTGATAAACCATAGTCTCTCTGGAGAAATACTGCCTGTTCTCTGAGGAATCTAGAAGTGGAGTCATGTGAGAGATATTTGGAGGAAATAAAAATATCCTGGAAAAGGATAATTAATAAGAAGTGTGTGGCCTTGAATTGTTTGAAGAGCTGTTACCTGCAAGACTAAACAGATTTTTTTGTCTTGATTCTACTGGTAGCTTGAAATCTAAAATAGCTTCTAATCTTCTTCACATTATAATATGAAATATAATGAAATGTAAAGCAGTAATTTTTCAGCTCATTGGAATAAACGGATTGATACTGCTGATTTATGGAGATGTTTGGTATGTGTGTGGGTAGGTGTGTTGGTCCAGCTGTCTGTCTGTCTCTCTCTCTCTTTTTTTGTTGTTGTATTTTTATTTTGAATTTTTGTATTTTGTGGTACAATTTCGTATAGACTGGGATTCCTCCCCAAAGTCCCACCTCCTGGTCCAGCTCTCTAGAGAACTGGCTGTGTCAGCGTCTCCTAGGTGCCTGAACTGTTTCTGTTGGGAAGCTTGGGATGGTAGTTAGGAAGGAAAAGCATACTTTGACTTAGTAGGATAAGATGCTTTCCGAGGAACAGTCTTGCCTACTGAGCACTTCTGAATATATTTGTGGGCTTAGTAAAATTCAGGTATAAATTGTGATTCACTAAATATCAACTCTTCTTAGCAGGTACAACTACATCATGGGATGCGCTTTCTCAGTCCAAGGCTGCTGTAAGTAATTTTCAGTTCCATGTATTTCTTGTTTAAAATAGATTTTCTGTTATGATTGACTAGATTCAGGATTTCCTATACCTTTTCTTGAAAAGTATATACTATATGAGGTTATTTTAAACAGTTTGTGGAGAGTATTTATTATACTAAACAGGATTTCACTAGAATTCATTGTTTAGTTCAATTAAAATGTTTTTTAAATGAGTGTAAAGAGAACAGATTTTGTGTTCCCTTGTCTGCAGTTCCAAGACAGTGAGTGCACTGGATTCACCACCCCGCTCCTTCTCAGTACTCTTTCCTTCCTGCCCTCATCAGTTTTTGCAAACACATAATTTTAATCCACTATGTCCTCGGGCTTTATTTGACACTAATTATAGTATTCAGCGAGTACAAAGTGGAAAGACCTCAGTTCCACTGGGATGTGATCATGTCCCAAAGTGAGCATTTCATACCTGTACTTTTTTTTGTATTGTATATTAGCTGCTGCATATCAGAGAAAACATACGGTGTATGTGTAATGATCTCTAGATGCATCTATTTTGTTGCAAAAGACAGGATTTCATTCATTTTTATGGCTGAGTAGTATTTCATAGAGGGTGCGTTTTCTTTATCTAATCACCAGTTAGTGGAAATCTGAGTTAATTCCATGTTTGCTATTGTGAATTGAACTGTAATAAACAAGGAGCTATACTTCTGCTTTATGTAAACTTTTTCAAGTACCTTCACAAACTGAACCTATGTGACAGCTGTAAAACAAAAAATAAGATACTACTTTAGGTATCAGTAGCATTACGCCGGGAAATATGCATTTTGCAATAATTTGTACCTAATTATTTGCTTTTAGTTATTAACAGTATGTTGGAGATTTAACAATATATTTGGGAAGGTGGTGCTGTGTGTTAAGTTGATGGCTCATTGTCAAATAGGACGTGGGAAAAACTAGCTTCTTGAATGAGTTGTGAGTTACCTTAGCATACTGTTTTCCCTGGTGCTAACCAGCAGGAATGATTTTAAGCAATTTGTTTTCATTTGTCTTCTTCCCAGTGCTGTCTGGCAGATTGAAATCCAAGTTGGCCAAGTAATACATTTGAGGAGACTTAACTGCATGGAAAAATAAGCTTATTTTTAAATTCCATTTTCCATGGACTTTTTAAAAATAAGATTTAACAAATTTACTTACTTACTTTAATTGGAAAGGTAGAAATACAAAGAGAAGGAGGGACAGAGAGAAATCTGATCCAAAGCAGCAGTCAGGAGCTTCTTCTTGGTCTCCCATGCAGGTGTAGGATCGTAAGGCTTTGGGCCATTCTCTGTTGCCTTTCAAGGCCACAAGTAGGGAGCTGAATGGGAAGTGGAGCAGGTGGGACATGAACCACAGTGTCCATGTAGAATTCTGGCACCGGAGGGTAGAGGATTAGCTTGCTGTGCCACCACACTGGCTTTGATTCTTTTTTATTTGCTCTCCAGGCAAATTATCTTTGTAGCACATTAATTTTTATATTCTCTTGAGTACCATCTGAATTTGAATCATCATTCTCACCTGAGTGCTTTATGGTGTTTTCTTCAGTCTTTAGACCTTTAAGGAAATCAATCTGGAAAAGATACATAGCCTGGATTTGTTCTCATGCTGTGTCAGATTTTACCCCTGTACCTGTAATGGTGTATCTGTCTTCTGCATGGGCAATCTACATCAATTATGTGGGGAATCATTTTTTATCCTCCAACTTAATTTAGAGCTTAAGCTTTTGAGCTTTTTATTGTTTTATTTTTATTCATTTTAATATATTTTTTATTTTTATTATTAAGCTTTTGACTATATGTTAGAAAATTTTAAGGATGATGGGAACTTATAATTTAAGTAGGAGAAAGGAAAGCTCATATGGAACTGTTAGTATGTAGAAGATGATTCCCCTCTTTTTCATGAGAGAGGAAGAGTCAGATGGATAAACCATGGAGAGATGGAGACACAGAGGGCTCTAATGTCCTTGTTCACTTCCCAGATGCCTGCAGGACCTATCTCTGTCCTCAAACTGGATCAGGAACTCAGTCTAGGTCTCCAGCCTGGGTAGTAGAGATCAAGTACTTGAGCCATCACCTGCTCTCTCATGGGTCTGAACTGGTGGGAAGCTGAAGTCGGGAGCTAGACCTGGGAATGGAACCTAGGCATTCTGATATGGGCAGGTGCATCTTAATGGCTCGGTAGGCCAAATGCTTGCTCCTATTGCTATTTTTTCTATGCTTGAAACAAATCAGAGCAAAGAAAAACACCATAAGTAGAAATGCCTAAGGATTCACTCCAAAGAGTTGAGCTAACCGCTGTCCTCTTTAGGTGAGGAAATGTGAAGTAACACTATCAAAAAGTGCCCTATTGCTGTTTTAAAAAAAATACACTGCAAACTTTGGAAGAAGATAAATGAATTTAAGTTTGTGGGGTTTTTTTTATTTATTATATTTTACTTGAAAGAATTAGAGGGGATGGAGGTGGGCTAGAGAAGGGAAATGACAGATCTTGCATGTACTGGTTCACTCCCCAGATGGCTGCTGTGGCCAGATCTGCACAGATCTGAGGCTGGGAGCCATGGGCCACTTTCCAGTATCCACATGGGTACAGAAACACAAGGACCTGGGCCATCCTCCATTGCCTTCCCAGGTTATAAGCAGGGATCTGGACCACAAGTGGAGGAGCCAGGACTTGAGCCAGCACTGATAAGGGATACTGACGCAGGGTGGAGGATTAGGGTCCTGACAAATAAAAATTTATACAAAGAATTTATCTTTATGCCAAATTCTGTGTGATAGGTTTTTGATTTACTTAACTTTTTAGAATTTTGGTTTCCTAAATTTGTCCAATAAGCATATAATTCTGTATTAGGGGGATTTTTTTTCCCTAATGAAATTTTTTTTATTTGAAAGGCAGAGTTACAGAGACTCAGACACTTGGGCCATCCTCTACTGCTGTCCAGGCACATTATCAGCAACCTAGATAGGAAGTGGAGAAGACTGAATTCAAACCAGTGCCCACATTGGATGCTGGCATTTTAGGCAGCAGGTCTCAGGAAATGTTTTTTTTAAAGTCATTTAGAACAGTGATTGTTGTGCTAAGAGTTGACTTGTATTGCAAAATATATATGAAACCTGAATTCTATTTTATGAATTTTGCGATCATTTTGAAACTTATAGACATAAAACTGCAAACAGTTGTTATTTGAGCAATCCTAAATTTTAGTCCTAAATTATTGTTTCATTATTTGTGTGGGTAAAATGCACATGATATATTGCATAATAATGTACCTCATATAATGTTAGATAGTTTGCTGCTTTCAAAAAAACTCAGCAATTGGGTCCAGGCATGGTAGCCTCATGGCCAGAGTCCTCGCCTTGTGTGCTCTGGGATCCCCTGTGGGCACTGGCTTCTATCATGGATACTCCACTTCCCTTCCACCTCCCTGTTTGTGACCTGGGAAAGCAGTCAAGGCCAGCCCAAAGTCTTGGTAACCTGTACCGGCGTGGGAGACCCACAAGAATCTCCTGGCTTCGGATCAGCTCATCTCTGGCCATTTTGGCCACGTGAATCAGCAGGTGGAAGATCTTTCTCCCTGGATCTCCTCTCTGTGGCTCTGACCTCCCAGTAAAAGATGAAGATTTATTTTAAAAAGTATTTAAAAACCTGAACAATTAAATAGGTCAGTAAGAAAACAGAAAACCTTGAATACTTTGTTTTTCATTTTTCTGTTTGAATTTGAACAGCAGTGTGATAGTTGAAAGAGTTGAAGTACTAGTAATTGAAAATCCAATATTGCAAGAATGCCTTCCTGAGTTTTTATGCTTTAGAGATAGGTATTGGGCAGTATAGTTTTAACTCTAATTGGTGATAGCTGATTTATTTACAGAATTCACTAATGTGTTGTGATGTTGTTTATACTTTAGCTGAGACATATTGAAAACAAATTGGAAGTAGCCCCTGCAAGTACAGCTGTGGTTGATTTGGTCATGGATGCCAAGAAGTCTTCTGCAAGTGCTACCCGAAAAATAAGTAGAAAAGGTTTGTATGAAGTTACATCTAAAGATATATTTGAAAAATTCGGGTGAATTTTTCAGTCAGTTCTGTTTTAATCTTATTTTTTCTTAAAGCCCCTTATGTTTACTTGCTTTGTTGTAAGGTCATTAGCATTTAATGTTTTTCTTTTGGTTATGAATCGGCCTCAATCAGTGATTGTCCATGGTGTTTCATCATCTGATATCAGGGACTTCAGCACCATTGTGACATCTTTGACAGTGAATGTTTGTTTTGTAGTAAAAAGAATTTTGTTTTGAGATTTTTGGGTTATGAATATCAGTTTTGCTCTTCTTAAATTTATAGGTGTAGCATATCATTTTGATAGATTCAGGTAATTTAATTGATTGTATGCTTTTTGTTGGAATATCTCTTTTATAGGTACTGTCATAGATTGACACAGTGTAAATATTTTCTTTGACTGTCTTTTATATGTTTGATATCTTGGTTTCCAAATTGGTAAGCGAAAACCTGCAAATCTTTACTTAAGCTCTGATTTTTTTTTTGAACCTGTGAGTTTTTAGATTTTTATCTGATATTTGTCTTTTAGGTGAGTCAGAGGTATTGACAAAAGGGAATCTTACACCTAGAATTTTATTTTGTATTATACAGAATACAATCAGTCTATTTATTGAGTTGTTATAATAATTTAGCTTGATTTTTTTTTGCCTGTTAATGTAATTATCTAAGTGGAGATACCCAGAATAGTAACTCTTTGTTATTTTATTAGATACTACTTGCATTTCAAAATGGGTCGTGTTTTACATTGTGTATTCTTACAGATGTCTTTTCCCTTTAGATGTTAGATATCTAGATGATTCTTGGGTTAATGCTCCAACTGTCACATCCTTGAAATCACGGAAAGAGAAATCTCGTAGTCCTCTCAGAACCACCACCCTGGAGAGTAATGTGAAGAAAAGTAATCGTGTAGAGTTTCGTGAACCTTTGGCTTCTTATAGGTTGGTATTAAATTAAATATTAAGTTAGGGTGATTCTGTGCTGTTTACAATAAGATTGTAATTTATTTCTGAGTTTCATAACATGCTAATAATATAACCATTCTGAATGGCATAGAGAAATAATCTTATATGTTATGAAGTATAGACTGCAGTACACTCTTTTACAAATAAATAGTTGTGAGAAAGAAATGGTAACATTTGTCCCAGGCTACCAACATTGTAAATAAATATGCTTCCTAGAAATAAATTATTCAGTCTTTGTAAATGTGATTTTTTATTTTATAGAAATCTTAATAGATTTGTAATTCTACATAGCGAATTTTATGTAGTTTGGTTCTGTTCATTTTTTTCTTTCAATATTTATTTATTTTCATTGGAAAGGCAAATTTACAGAGAGAAGAGATATATAGAGAAAGATCTGTCTGCTGGTTCACCTCCCAAGTCGACGCAGCAGCCAGAGCTGAGCTGGTCTGAAGCCAGGAGTTGGGAGCTTCTTCTGCGTCTCCCACTTGAGTGTAGGGTTCCAAAACTTTGGGTCATCCTACTCCATCCCAGGCTGCAGGTAGGGAGCTGGATGGGAAGTAGAGCAGCCAGGACATCAACCCCTTGTGGGTAGAGGATTAGCCCGTTGAACCATCTTGGTTTTCAGCGGTAGTAATAATCAGTCACCTAAAACTTCTTCCCTAATGATAGTCTGATTGCAGTCTGTTCTGGCATTGTGGCACAGCACTTTAAACCAGCCCTTGTGATGCTGGTATTTTATGTGACAGCACTGGTTTAAGTCCCACTTCCAATCCAGCTTCTGGCTAAAGCACCCGTGAAGGCACCAAGTGCTGATCTAAGTCCTTGGGCCCCTGTTGTCTATGTAGGAGACATGCTTGAGATTCCTGACTCCTGGCCTGTCCATACCTGGCTGTACTTGCATTTGGGTAGTGAACCACTGGATGTGAGATCTCTCTTTGTGTTGCTCTGCCTTTCAAATACACAAACAAAAATCTTTAAAAAAAGAAAGAAAACTTATTTTGTTGCCAATGGCTCCTTTCAGTAGCTTAGGTGTTCAAGATTGATGTATGAACTTTGATGGAATATAATGTAAAGTGCCTTGCATTTAACATAGTTTATAATACTGGGTTAATAACACTATGGAATTTTGTATTTATTTGAAGACCATATTTACTAATGATTTATATGTGTCCACAAATAGTTTGCACACCGTCATAATGAGAAAGAAGTAAATACCATATCTGATAGCTCTTGAAAGCATTTTTCGTGTTCCAAGTGTTGACCAGGAAATGAAGGGGTTTTATGATGATACCTGTTGATTGTAGGTATATATTTATACTCTTAAAATTTGAGGTCAGTAATTTAGGAGAGGCAGTGGGGTATGAGTTCAGTTTATAGTATGTTGCATTTGATATAGTTTTCAAATATCCAGTGAAAGTACTCAGTTAGTGTTTGAAAATTTGAGTAGGAATATGTATATCGAATGGTCAGGGCGACAAAAAAAGTTGTCAGAGATATTGAAATAATAAAAATGCTGAGAAAAAAGGCAGTCGGCAAGGGATTTCATAGTTTAGAAATGGAGGGAAAAAAAGTTGAATGATTACAGTTCCCAATTTTTACACATACCAATGCTGACCTGCCTGGAAACATAATCATTAATACTGTTGGGACTGAGTTCCTGACTGCTTGTTTATACATATTCTAAGGTTCTTACGAAACTACTATTACTACTTGGTATTTAAAATTGTGTAAGTATCTTTTCAGAAAAGAAAAAAAGAGTATGCGGACTTAGCTGTGAGTGTCTCTGCTTGGCAGACTGCTCTTTGTGTAGTAAACGTGGCCAGATCTGTTCCTCCTCATTGTATTTTCCTGTTCTAGTTAATATATGATCCATGATAGCATGTAGCTTCCATCATAGCATCTACATGTCCTGTTATATTTTGATTCCATTTCTGTCCATTACACTAGTCTGTAAATTTTTTAACATTTTATTTTGATATATTTCTAATTTACAGAAGTTGAAAAATGTGTGCTGAAAGTTTTCCAAATATTCAAAAAGTACTTAGTCTATGAGTGAACAAAAGACTAGTTTTGAGAGACATGGGAGAAGTTGCCATCTGCTGGCCTGCTCTCCTGTGCCCGTGATGACTGAGGCTGGGTGGAAGCCGAGCCAGAAGCTCTGTCTGGACTGAACCATTTGAGCCGTCACCTGCTACTTGCTGTACTCGATGTGAGCAGGAAGTTAGAATTGGGATCCAGAGCATGAACCTAGACACAGACATTTTGATAAGGCACATCGGCTTGCCACTGGGCACCTTAACCATTAGGTGAACCACCTGCTTTATTTACTTATTTATTTTTGTGGGTTTTTTTTTTTTAAGATTTATTTATTTTTATTGCGAAGTCAGATATACAGAGAGGAGGAGAGACAGAGAGGAAGATTTTCTGTCCAATGGTTCACTCCCCAAGTGAACACAATGGCTGATGCTGCGCCGATCTGAAGCCAGGAGCCAGGATCTCCTCCGGGTCTCCCACACGGGTGCAGGGTCCCAAGGCTTTGGACCATCCTTGACTGCTTTCCCAGGCCACAAGCAGAGAGCTGGATGGGAAGCAGGGCCACCAGGACTAGAACCGGTGCCCATTTGGGATCCTGGTGTGTGCAATGTGAGGACGTTAATCACTACACTATCGTGCCATGCCCTACTTATTTATTTTTATAGCTTACTAGTTTATGGGACAGAATCAAGAGAAACAGAAAGCTCCTATTTGGTGGTTCATTCTCCTAGTGCCTGTAGAGTTTAAGGCAGGACTTGGCTGGCGCTAGCAGCTGGGAGTGCAGTCCATATCTCCCTGGGGTGATGGGACCCTGGTCACTTGGGCCTCCCCTGCTGCTGCCCAGCGTGTGCATTGTCAGGAAATGAGTCTGCATTGTAGCAGGGAACCGAACCAGGCTTCATCATTTTCTCCCACTTCACGTTTTTTGTTGTTAATTTTTCCTTCCCATTTTGAGGTTGAATGATGATGTGTAAGCTACCATTCTATTCATTTTATTCTCTAAATGTTACCTATGAGGTCTTCCTTAGAGCATTTGTAAAAATAATTTTTTTTTGGAAGGCGGAGACAGATTTCCAGGCCACTGGCCCCCTCTCCTGATGCCCTCAGCACCTGGGGCTGAGATTGGCTTGAGTTGGGTGCTGGGGACTAAGTCTGGCTTGCCCACCAGGCGGCAGAGAGCGTCCCCTCTGTCTCCCAGGGTGTGCAGGCGCAGGAAGTTGCGATTGAGCGCAGAGCCAGAACTCCGACTCAGGCACTCCAACATGGAACGTCAGCATTTCATTGTCCTACTGCTGCGCCAGTCAGAACTCTTAGAGACAAACCTACCAAGCTTAGTTGCAGGTTTATGCCTCAGATGTCTCCCGCAGCCAGAGCTGTCTGGACCAAAGCTGCGAGCTGTGAGCTCAGTCCAGTCTCATGTGAGCTATCATGACCACTTCCCAGGGTCCACATTAACAGGAAATACGTCATGATCCAGATTGGGTCAGAACTCTGCTACTGTGACATAGGGCACTGAGGGACAGGAAGAGAAGGAAAGCAAGGAGACAGGGAGCTTCCATTCTTTAGTTCAATCTTCAGATGTCCTCTACAGCTAGGCCTGGAAAGGCTGAAGTTCAACTGCTTAAACCAGGAAATTCGTCTGTCATGTAGGTACCAGTGACATAACCACTTGAGCCATCACCTGTGCCTCTGAGTGTGCATTAGAAGAAAGCTATAGTCAGGAAGGAAACTGAAGCTCAAGACCAGGCGCTCTAATACGTTATGCTCAGTCTCGTTGTCGTAACCACTAGGGCAGATATGCCCACTGAGAGCTGGAGGATTTTAGCTGGCAGTTGCTGGAATCTTGTCAACAGTGATGGCAGTTGCAGGATTCATCTCTCCTGCAAACAGGGTGTAACATTTTTCGAGTCATCAAATTCAGTGACAATCTCATGACAACTGGACTGTCTCCTTGGAAAAATACACATGGTTACACACTCATAATAGTATTTATGCAATATCACATTATAGTATAATGAGGCTTGGGTTTTAAGAATTTTTTTGGTATTTGTATTTTTAATGCCTTTACGTGAAATAATGTAGATTAATGCTGTGTAATAGTCATTAATCCAAGCCGCACATATAATTTAAACATTTTCAATAAGTCATACACAAAAAGCTTGTTTTATATTCCTAAAGTTTTAAAATCAAGCATGTAACTGTATTTCAGCATCTCATTTAGGACAGCCACATGCGGAGAGTGGCTGCTGTCCCAAGCATTGTAGTGCACACTGTGTTACATCTATGTGATGGTCGTTTCACAATTCATGCACTCTCCTCACGGCCATAGGCTGTCTACGTTCATCTCTTAATAAACAGCTGTTCTACAGTGGAGCGTGTTAGAATGTTACGTAGACTAAAAGACGTGACGGAAGACATTTGCTGGTGTTTTTATAAGCAGATAATATGAACTGTATGATGAGTACCGAGGCTTTGCCCAGCCTTTGCCTGGTTGTTTACCCCTGAGTTTCTAGATCTGCTTTTCATGGTTTAAAACAGCCAGAAGTATCCCGTGGTTAAGAGAGATTAACTTTACCAACCACATCTACTTGATGAAAAATATTTATTGTGCCTTCTCTTTATTTCCAACCTCCATCTGTTAAATTGGCCTTATTTTGAAGTTAGACAAGTGGGGCCTGGCAGGATGGCTCAGTGACTAAACCTTCACCTTGCAAATGCCAGGATCCTGTATGGGTGCCGGTTCATGTCGTGGCTGCTCCACTTCCTCATCCAGGTCATTGCTTGTGGCCTGAGAAAACAGTAGAGGATGACCCAAAATCTTTGAACCCTGGATCCGCTTGGGAGACCTGGAAGAAGCTGCTACCTGTTATACTGGCATCCAGTATTGCACTAATCAAGTCCCTGTTAATGGGCCTGAAAAATCAGTGGAAGTTCTTGGGTTCCTGCACCCACATGCTGGGTTCCTAGTTTCCACTTGACCTAACTTCAGCAATCATGACCACTTGAGCAGTGATTCAATAGATTAAAGATCTGTCTGTCTCCCCTTTCTGTTACTGTGCTTTTCAAATAAATGAAGTAAATCTTTAGGAAAAATGTCATAAAGTAGTAATTTACACATTTTGATAACAGACATCAAACACTCATATGTATTACCTCACAAATATGTCATTGTTTTATGGTAAGAATATTTCAGATGTACTACTTACATTGTTATATAGTGTATTGTTATTAACTGTAGTAACAAAGCTTATTTTTCATTATAGGGAAATCCTTGGAGCACCTTCCAATTTAAGTCCCAGCTATCTGGATTCAAAACGTGTGTATTGTTTAGATGTTAATGAAGAAAAGGCTGAGAGTGGGAACCGGACAATAAACAATCGAGAAGAACAAAATATACATTGCTGTGATTTTGAGAGCTCGCAATCCTTTGCCATTAATGATACAGTTGTAAGGTTTTTAAATGATCGATCAGCAATTGATGCATTGCACAATTCCGAATGTTTGATTAAGGTGGGTGCTCCTGTGAGAACTGAGGAAGACATGCCTAATAGAGCAAAAGGAAATGAGAACAGTTTGAAGCCTTCTGTGACTGACACGGGCCATGACATGGATCCAAAAGTGTTAAGGTCAACTGACTCTTCTCCATCTTCTGCAAGTACTTGCAGTTCCCAAAGATTAGACATTTTAAAGAGGCGACAACATGATGTCAAACTGGAAAGACTCAAGGAGCGGATTAGGAAACAATGGGAACATTCAGAAGAAATGAATGGCCGGGGCCAGAATCTGGGTCATATTGACCATCCAGTAATGGTTGTTAATGTTGATAACTCAGTGACAGCGAAAGTCAGGAAAGTGGCGACAGCACCACCTGCTCCCACGTACAGAGGTTAGTAAGGAATCAGTCTCTGTGTGTTTCTCCTCCTGCCTCCTTGTTTCCCTTCCTAGGATGTGTTTAATCAGAGATCATCTTGAGAAAAGGATGTAGTTTTCCTAAAGCTGCCTAAGAAGTTATTTCAAGATACATGTTAAAAAAATTTGCATAGATTTCTAGGTCCTATGTTGGACCTGAATCAGGATTTCTGGGAGTAACGCTTGGAATTTGATTTAAAAAAAAACAAAACAAGATTTATCAGAAAAGCAGAGTGACGGAGAAAGAGAGGAAAAGCAGTGGGAATCTGCCATCTGTGGGCTCTCTGCGCTGACTGTGGCTTGAGCCCAGGCCAGAGCCAGGGGCTGGAACCTTCCCCTTAGTCTCCCACTGGGTGTCAGGGAAGGGATTTCCTGGACCACCTTCTCCACCTTTCCACACACGTTAGCAGGAAGCTGGACTAGGAATGGAGGAGGCAGAGCTCGAACCTGCACCCCAGTGTGGAATAGTTGGTCTTGTGTATTTTAATAAAACTCATTCATATCCTTTTTAGTTATTTGTGTTCCACTCGTGTGTTGTTGGCAGAACATGTAGCAAATGGTCAGATGTTCTTGTTGATGCTGATGAAATAGTGATTCCCCAAGTGGTCTCTGCTCTGTGTCACAGCCGTTAAATGTCGGTTATGTGTTTACCAGTAAAACTTTTGAAATTCCTAAGGTTAGTCCATTATGGGAGAATTTAAATATTTATATGAACTCATGCTTTAATAATTAAGTTTTAAAATGAATTTTATTTATTTTTATTTGGAAGGCAGATTTACAGAAAGGAGAGAGAGAAAGATCCTCCATCTACCTGTGTTTGTATTTTCCCCACCTTAAACTTTACACTTTGTGCATCATAAATATATATTCCTGTATTTAAATCTATATAAATCTATGTGTACATATACATACATGTATTGACAAACTTTATATACACACACACTTATACATTTATATATACACACACACATATTTATACACATTACACCAGTGTTGTGACAGATTTGTTTTTTCATCAGTGGAGAACTGTGTTTTTCGCAACAGTGTGAATTAAGAAACATTTTAAAATATTGTATTTTTTAAACTAAAATTTATTTGGAAGGTATTGTTAGAAAAGATATAGAGAGATATCTACTATTCACTGGCTCAATCCCAGTTGGCTGCAGTAGCCGGGGCTGAGGCATGCCACACTCGGGAGCCAGGAGTTCCTTCAGGTCTCCCGTGTGCAGGGGCTGAGTGCAGGGGCCCAAGCACTTGGGTCAGCTGCTGCTGCTTTCCTGGCCAAGACCTACATGCATCACTTCCTGTGTTTGGGATATTCTCTGTTCTGTGATACAAAGGTCCTGAAACTATGAAAGATACGTGCAGATACCCTTATTAGAAACTGAAAAGAAAAAGAGGAAGTGTGTATGTTGATCTGAACTGAGACAGATGCCAGCAGAGAAAGTCAGGCTGGTGGAGGAACTGACAGTGGTGTGTCAGATATTGTAAGAATGTGGAATGACAGGCCCGGCGTGATGGCGTAGTGGTTAAGGTCCTCACATTGCACGCCCGGGAGCCCATATGGGCGCCGGTTCTATCCCAGCAGCCCCGCTTCCCTTCCAGCTCCCTGCCTGTGGCCTGGGAAAGCAGTCGAGGACGGCCCAAAGCTTTGGGAACCTGTACCCGCATGGGAGACCTGGAAGAGGCTCCTGGCTTCGGATCGGCATAGCATCGGCCGTTGCGCTCACTTGGGGAGTGAATCATCGGACGGAAGATTTTCCTCTCTGTCTCTCCTCTCTGTATATCCGCCTTTCCAATAAAAAAATAATAATAAAAATAAATCTTTAAAAAAAAAAAGAATGTGGAATTACCACGGTCTGTGAAGTAGAGACACAAAGCATGAATTGTTAGCTCTGTGTAGGAAAGGGATGAACACAAGTTGCTGAAAAAATAGAAAAAAAGAAAAACCTGCATGAAGATCCAAGTGAAGACCTTGAGTATATGTTCAGAACGTGGCTCCATGTTGCGGTGGACACATGCTGTTTAATGATATGCTGATCATGAAACAAGCAGAAATCTGTTACGATGAACTGAAAGAGAGAATTGTGAATATTTACCAGGTAGATTGCAGACTTTGAGAAAAGATACCACTTTTTAAAAATATTGGAAAGTCAAAAATACAGAGAGGAGGATCTTCTGTCTTCTGGTTCACTCCCTAATTGGCTGCAGTGGTTGGAGCTGAGTTGATCCAAAGCCACGAGCCAGGAGCTTTTTCTAGGTCTCTGATGTGGACACAAGGTCCCAAGGCTTTGGGCTGTCCTCGACTGCTTTCCCAGGCCACAGTGCAGGATGTGAAGTGGGGTGGCTGGGATTAGAATCGGCGCCCATCCCGGTGGCCCAGCTTCCCATCCAGCTCCCCGCTTGTGGCCTGGAAAAGTAGTTGAGAATGGCCCAAAGCCTTAGGACCCTGCACCTGCATGGGAGACCCAGAAGAGCTCCTGGCTCTGGATATGCGAGTACAGGCCGTTGCGCTCACTTGGGGAGTGAATCATCGGACAGAAGATCTTTCTGTCTCTCCTCCTTTCTGTATATCTGCCTTTCCAATAAAAATAAATAAATCTTAAAAAAAGAACCAGCGCCCATATGGGATCCTGCTGCTTGCAAGGACTTTAGCTGCTAGGCTATCATGCCAAGCTCCCCCCCACCCCCCCGCCTTTTTTTTTTTTTTTGTGGTGATAAAGCTTTGTGAAGCAGCTGGCTACTTCCTGCATGTGGTTCCTTGCTGATGGAAGTGTGAGACCACTGATGCAGCCTCCCTGTCTGCTCGTCTTGCCCCCATCAGAGCTCAGTGACTGCTGCTGGTGAGCTGTCAAGGAGTAAGGAGGCCCAGGGCAGAATGACTGTGACAGTGTGTGCCAACAGCAGCATGCATACACTCGGGCACAAAGATGACTTGATGTGATGATGGTCAAAGTGTGTGTTTTAGAGGAGTTCTTTCTTTCTTTTTGGGGTGGAGTGAATTTCTGGTCCATTATTCTGACTTTTAAAAGGCATGGATTAGAAGGAACTTTTTTTCACATTTGTACCAGTGCCTTGTGCTTACTCCAGGGAAGCTGGACTGGACAATGATTGGAAATTTTTGTTTCTAATTTTATTTTTGATGATGTTTATACAGTTGAGAAGGATGCATACCCACTTGGATTACTATTTACGGTGGGAAGGGTTGAGGAATAGAGGAAAGTGGATGAGATGATTTGTTTCTGATTTTCTTTTTCCTGTATTTTGGGGAAAGAGGGAGAGAAGGGAATGGGCCACACCCAACATCCTAACCAGGTCAGTCCCCGGGATGAGGGATGGCCACCCGTTGTCATCCCAGGATCCCCAGTGTGGAGCATGCTCTGAGGGTGCTGCTCAGGTGGTTTCAGTAGTTCTGAAGTGCTGTTGAGTTCGTTGTTCCAGGTCCATTAGCTGACATAGTCCGCCTTGGCGTCTCCACTTGCCCAGATACTTGCTGAATAACTGCAAAATTTTCTTGTAACTTGGCAAGAGTTCTGCTTATCCTCTAGTTAAAATTCTTAAGCAAAGATAAAGTATTTTTTTAAAGGTCTATTTAGTTTTATTGATAAGATAGATTTACAGAGAGGAGGAGAGATAGATTTTCCGTCTGTTGGCTCACTCCCCCTAAGTGGCTGCAATGGCTGGAGTTAAGCTGATCCAAAGCCAGAAGCCAGGAGCCAGGAGCCTCTTCAAGGGCTCCCACGTGGGTGCAGGGTTCCAAGATGCTGGACTGACCTTGATTGCTTTCCCAGGCCACAAGCAGGAATATGAACCAGTATGCATATGGGATCCTGGCAGATGCAAGGTGAAGATTTAGCCACTGAACTGTCATGCCAGACCTTCAGTATGTTTTTCTAAAAGAGTTGTGATAAATTTATAGTGAACAATATAACTTCCAGGAAATAGCATATGCATAATGTTTCTTGAAACACTGAACAGTATGTTTTAAATACCTGTTTTTCACTCTTGGTACATTTTGCGCTTCTAGAAAACAGCTTGTCCATTTGTTCAGCCTTGGGCAAAAACAGACAGATGGTAACCACTAATGCCTGTGTTCAAAGACTAAAGTAATGAGTAGTGTTTGTCTCTCTTTTAATCTTGAGAAGGATAATTTGTATCTGAAATATGTAATTTATGATTGACATTCTTTCTTCATTTGATTTTTGTATGTGATTTGTTAAGTAACTGAAACTTAACTTTTTCCAACAGTGTTTGTCAACTTTTTAGTAGATAATTGTGCATTTTTTTCTTTAAGGCTTATAAACCTACTCAACATCATTAGTTGCAAAGAATTAATGTAAAAACCACAATGAAATGCTACTTTATTAGTTTGGCTTTTGTTTATAACAGATAGACAAAAACAGTATTGATGGGGATGTGGACAAATTGGAACCTTTGTACATTGCTGGTGCTTTTTATATGATACAGCTGCTTTTGAAGACAGCTTGGCAGCGTTTCCAGAGGTTAAATATAGATTGAACATGACCCAGCAATTCTGCACCTGTATTGTGGTAGTCTAGTGAATTGAAAACATGACTGCTAAAAACATAGCCAGGAATGTTCATGACAGCTTTGTTAATCATATCCAAATAGTTGAAGCAGTACAAATATCCATCAGTTGATGATGGATAAACAAAATGTTGGTGTGTCCATACTGCGGAGTACCCCTAGGTAATGAAATGTTGAAAAATGTCACACGATGATTGAACCTTAAAAATAAGTTGCAGAATGAAATAAGCCAGGCACAAGACTACTTGCTGTGTGATTCCATTTATATGAAATGTTCAAAACAGGCAAATCCATAAAGATGGAAAATAGATTGGTGGTTGCCAGGGATGGAATGGTCCCTGTGAATGTTGGCTGCTAAGAGCCATGGAGTTTTTTTTTTCATGGTGATGAATGGTCTGGAATTGGTGATGGTGATACCTGTGTAACTTCCTGAATATAATGAACATTACTGCATTTTACTTTAAAAAGAATGGATTTTGTGTTTTATTATATATCACTTAGAAAAGCTTAAAAATCTTTAAAAAAAAAAACTTTGGTAAGAGTATTCTCTGTTGTTGATAAATATTAGGTTTCAACCCTTCAGAGACCAGAATTCGAACACCTGATGGAAGAGTGTGGCAGGAGGCTGAGTTCCAGAACATGAGTAGAGAACTGTATCGAGACTTAGCACTTCAGTTGGCAGGTGAGGAATTTTTTATGTTTTGAGTATTATCATGCATGCCATTTAATTCATGGTATTTGAACATGAAGTTGTCATCAAATTAAGGGTACTCTTCTAACTAAAATAGTAGTGGTTTGAATTACGAGGCTGTCTTTGCTTCTGTGTTCTATTCCAGGGTTAAAATTAGTCTGTGTGTGTCTGTTGGGACAGAAACCAAGCTATTTTTAAACAGAGTGTCTGGACTGCTTGATTTGAAGATCTTTGAAGTGATCAGTAATTTGATAGGTAGCATGTAAGAGTTACATTATTGCAAGATACAGAAAGGAAAGTGTTATAGGTAGGGAATAGTGTTGCAAAGTTGGAAATAGGAACCCAAAGGATATTGGAAGGGAAATGAGAAGAAATAATATTACTACTTATTAAACACCCAATCCAACTCCAGAAGAAATGTGTGGTACTCAGTCTTCTGTATTTTTACAGTTGAGCAAGTGGAAACTCAGAGTAGCATTCTCAGGGTTGTCCGGAGTAGTTAAGAACTGAGGATAAAGATTTAGTAACCAATTCTGATTTCTGAATGTTGAGGTCTTTCCAGTAAGCCCCCATGCAGATTTTACTAATACATGTTATGGCATTAAGTATGCAGTCCAGTTTCATATTGTTATTAAAACTGTATTCGGGGGGGGGTGATGTTATTTTTTTTTTTCATATGGAGAGGAAACGTAGTGTAGTAACTAAACTCAGAGCTAGTGGTGGGTTTGATGGCACAGTAGGCTAAGCCACTGTTTGTGATGCCTACATCTTATGTGAGGCCACCTGGTTTAGGTCTATGTTGATTTGATTGAGTAATCTTCCCCTTTCCCATCTGGGCACTGGTTCATGTCCTGCCTGTTCCACTCACCATCCAGCTTGCTGCTTGTGGCCTGGGAAGGTAGTCGAGGACAGCCCAAAGCCTTGGAACCTGGCACACCCATGTGGGAGACCTGCAAGAAGCTTCTGGTTCCTGGCTTCAGATCAGTTCAGCTCTGGCTGTTGCGGCTGCTTGTTGAGTGTATCAATGGATGGAAGCTCTTTCTCTCTGTCTCTCCTTCTCTCTGTGGATCTGTCTTTCCAATAAAAAGGAATAAATCTTTAACAAACTAATAAAAGGGAGCTGGATTGGCATCTATAGGAGATTCTACTGTTAGCTGTGGCTTCAGTAGCACCAGGCTCACCCACTATGCCACAGTGCTGCCCCGTCAAAGAACTCCTAAATTGGCTTCCTTGTTATATTCTGCCTTGTCTCTTATTAGGATGGATAAACTCTGTGCTGCCATGAAGGCCAACTCATCTAATTGTGTTTTAGATTCCATTTGCTCTTGTGTTTTAAAGCATGCTATTTCAGACCTGCTTCCTTCCTTTTGCATCATTAAGTTGTCATTATCTTCCAAGTCATGCCCACCAGCATACCTGCAGTTTGATGATGTACTGGTTAGCATCTATTTAAAGCAAAACTGCAAAAAGTTGGAATGTATTCTTTATCTCCTCTGTTTCTCTCCAATACTTTCTATTAGAAATTTGTCCCTATTTCTTGGAGGACTACTGTTACGAATATTACCTATGTTAAATGCCCTATTTAATACTCATTTCTCTTTGTGCTTATCAACAACATTTCATGTGACTAGTTATTTCTTCCTTGGGATTCTTCACTTAGCATCTTGGATCTGTACATATCTGCTTTGCTCCTCTTCGGTTGATTACCCTCTTCTCTGAGCTTGGTGTGTCTAATGTTTGCTTGGTGAATGGCTCACTCTTCAGCATGCACTCTTTCTTCCCCACTCCTCCGTTTTCCTTCTCCTCCATGCTTCCCCTTTCTTCTTTGCTTTTCCTTTCCTCTTTTATCTGTATATGTACCCATAAAGGTTAACTAGTCTCAGGGGTTTAAATATTGTTAGTTGGTAGTATGCCCAAATTCATGCACATATCCCAGACTTTCCCTCTGAATGCAGACTCTGAGAGCTGCTTACCCTCGATCTCAGAGATCCAGAAGAACTTAGTAAGTAGATGAGGTCATGATATGTTCCTTCAACTGGTTCATTCTTCAGGCCTCAAAGCTTGAATCATCCTTGACCTCTGCCTTCCCCTATTTCTTTCATGTGTTGTGAGTAATACTATCTCTGTAATTTAACTAAAATATAAACCACTTTGGTACCCTCATCACTACCACCCAGAAGCAAGCCACTATCACAGTTTTCCTCTGTTACTGCAATAGCCTAACTGGTCTCTTTCCTTCTGCCTGTCTTCCATTGAATGAGCCTATTTTTTATCATAGCTGTTGGAGTAAGTTTGCTAACATTTAGTTTAGACCATGTAACTTCTTTGCTCCAAAACTTCCTGTGTTACTCTTGAGTAATACCTGACGTTCCCTGTAATAATGGCTCATAAAATCCTGCACGATCTGATTCTTTTTTTTTTTTTTATCCTGTATCTGTTACTCTTGTCTTTGATCATTCCACTCACACTTAGACACTAGGTTTTGCTCCTACTTTAGGGCCCTTTACACATAATTTTTCCACCCTTTCCACAATGCATGTATTTTGAAATAACTTTGTTTAGCTCTGTAATTGAGGCTAATTTTTCAAATTTATATACACATTTAGGCAGGATTTTTAGAATATCACTGAGTAATAATTTATGTGTAATATTTTAGCATATTTCACTTACATAATAGTAAAAAAAAATGCCTGCTTGATGTATGCTACAGTGAGTATTTTTCAAAGCTATTATGTAGACATTTTAAAATAAGAATGTAAGGACTTACCTCTGAGTTTCTATACATGCAGTTATGTTGGCTTTTTTTTTTTTTGTCTCCCTCCCTCCTTTTTTCCTTCCTTTCCTTCTCTCCTTTCTCTCTCTCACTCTCCTCTTTGGTAAAGAATTACTTACTTATTTAAGAGGCAGATTTACGTGTAGAGGGAGAAACAGAGAAAGAGATGTTCCATTTACTGGTTCACTCCCTAGGTGACAGCCATATGGAATGCTGGTGTCACAAGCAGTGGCTTCGACGTGCTGTGCCACGCCAGCCACTAGTGCTTTCTGCACTTGGTCCTGCACCAGACTACATCTGAAGGGATACTGCCTAAGCCCAGAGGATGCCTGAGTGCAGAATACTACAGAACCCTATCTACACTACGTCGACATATCTGTGAAAAGTTATAAATGGGCCCAGTAGAGAATTAATAATAATAACCTGAATCTCAGCAACTTCAGCATATGATTTCCCCCTCTTAAGTTGAGGACTTTTAGCTTTTCCTTTAAGGGCAGCATTTTGCAGCTTCTGTCTGTTATATTCAGATTTCCAGCATCCCTGTTCTCAAGCTTTAAGGCCATCATTAATAAGATAGTTAATTGACATAGCAAGTACTTGGACACTGAGAGAGTGATAGTGACAGTCTGATAACCAAAGTGGTCACTAAGACATTAGTGGGAGGGTAGTGTATATAGTGTGGATATAATTGATAAAGAAATGACCTTGTTTTTGCTAAGACAGAGCTAGATAATGAGCTATTTGGTTATACTGCTCAGATAAGAGTATAGTTGTTTGTTTGGGGGATTTTCTTCTTAATATTTTTGAGTAGATGAAATGTGGAAGCAGAGCATGGATGAAGGTAGGGAACCAGTACCATACTTGTTTGTTTTTTTTTTTTTTTTCCCTTACTTAGGGAGGATGGTTTGTTTGGTGTGAATCATTGTAATATTTGCTGTAAATGATTTTGCTCCTCAGATGATATCTCTGTAAAAGAGAAACCTGCAGAAAAAATTAAGGAGAAGAAAGTCATCAAGCCAGTACGAAAAATCCAAAAGGGAACACAGTTATCAAGTCCTGAATGCAAAACAGGTGAGTTTTTCAATATCATGTCCAACCTGAAATTATCTATTTCTGAAAGAGTGTATATATGGATATAAATATCTTTGACCAACTCTTTTTATTGTTTGGTACGGAAATTCAATGTCTTTTGTGTCTGTGTTGAAGTTTAATGACAGAATGAACTGAACATATTTAAAATGAGTCATTTTGTAAGTTTTATATACATATATATGCACATAATCGTGTATAACTCATCTTTGAAAAATTATTCACTTTTACAAAATTTTTATTTGAAATGCAGAGTTACAGAGAGATAGAAGGAGCGAGAATGAGAGAGAGGGCATGAGAATATCTTTCATTCACTGTTTTACTCCCCACAAGTCTACAATGGCTAGAGTTGGGCCAGTCTGAATCCAAGAACCAGGGGCCAGGAGCTTCTTTAGGATTTCCCACGTGGCTGCAGGAGTCCAAGTCTTGGGCCATCCTCCACCATGTTCCCAGGGAGGTGCATCGAAGTAGCACAGCTGGGACTTGACCCAGCATCCTCACAGTTGCCGACTCTCAAGATGGAGACTTAGTCTGGCTCATCCCACCTCTGTAACCTCCCCCGCCCCTTTTCTTTCCAAGGGTTTGTTTGTTTGTTTGAAAGGCGAAATTACACACAGAGAGGACAAATGGAAAGAGGTTCTGTCTGCTGGTTCACTCTTGAAGTGGCCGCACTGGTGGTCAGGCCATGCCAGTACACCTTCCCAGTCTACTGCAGGTCCAGAGGTCTGCTGCTTTTGCCGAGTGCGTTACCTGGAGCTAGATCACAGGGGGAGCAGCCAAGACTTGAACTTGCTCCCATGTGGTTTACAGAAACCTTAAGTTATACTAATGTGAGGTCATAAATTCTGATTATACATTTTTTTGTGTGTGTAGAATTTTATTTTTTTGGCATCTTTGCATAAGAACATTTCTGCTGTTTCTAATGGAAGTTTTTATCTACAATGGTCATGCAGTATTCTGTCTTGTAGAAACAGTGAAATGTGTGCTTCATTCACTAATTAGATTACTTTGATACAAAAATGCTAATAGTTTACAGTTTCATTTTTTCCTTCTTTGGGATTATTTCTGTCCTGTAGATCCTGTTACTTGAATTGTTTGATTAAGGGGATGAGTCCTGGGATCCCTGACACAACGTATGTTTTGTCTTTTTTTAAAAAAAAATTGCTCACAATTCAGTGAGCGGTATGTTAGCAGAGAGGCAAGCACTGCTTCTGTTTGCTCTGCCCTGCCTGGCCCTGTTGCTTGCCTGGCCACAGTGGCCCATGGACTTTGTGTTGTGTATTGCTCCCAGCTGATTGGCCAGGAGTGAAACACCTGCAGGAAAGATTATGGGCCAGAGTCCTGACAGCACGCTGACCTTCATGACCGAGTGTGCATCTCCCTGGAAGCCGGGACCGAAGGCACTCTCCAGCACCCGAAAATGACTACACACCTTACCCCCCAGCTTAAGAGTCCTGTGCAGGGCCTGGCGCGGTGGTCTAGTGGCTAAAGTCCTCGCCTTGCATGCGCTGGGATCCCAAATGAGTGCCGGTTCTAATTCTGGCAGCCCCACTTCCCATGCATCTCCCTGCCTGTGGCTTGGGAAAGCAGTGGAGGACAGCCCAAAACCTTGGGATCCTGTACCCGTGTAGGACACCTGGAGAAAGCTTCTGACTCGGCTTCGGACTGGCACTTGGGGAGTGAACCATCGGACGGAAGACCTTCCTCTCTATTTCTACTTATCTCTGTATAAAATTTACTTTGCAATAAAAATAAATAAATATTTAAAAGAAAAAGTCCTATGCAATTTGCTGCCAAGACAGAGTGGATTACCAGAAATGGATTCAAGTACAGGCCTAGAACTTGGTACCCTCATGAACAGTGACCTGTGGCATCTTAAAGAGAAGGCATTGGTTGTCAAGAACGTGTTTACAACATATTTGCAAATATGAAGCTGTTCACTCCAAGGCTGTCTGTCTGGGAGAGGTGTCATTGTCCTTTTCTTTCCTTTCCTTTCCTTTTCTTTTCTTTTTATTACATTGCATTATGTGGCAGTTTTTTAGGCACTGGGATTCTCCCCAGCCCTCCCCTAACCCTCCCCCCATGGTGGATTACTCCACCTTGCTGCATTGCCACAGTTCAAGTTCAGTTGAGGTTCTTCATTGCAAGCATATACCAAGCATAGAGTCTAGCATCTTATTGTCCAGATAAGTTCAACGGCTTCTTGGGGAGACCATTTCTGGTCTGAAGGTAGAGCCGGCAGAGTGTCATCCGACCAATCAAAAGCCCCAACATAACACTTGCAACAATCCACAACGTCTGACACTGGTCCTCAGTGCTGGACTCACTGAATAGCTCCATGTGTTCAAACAGGGTATCTTCCTTCAGTTTTGCAAGTTTGATTGTTATGTAAAACTCTTTGTTTTAATATTGGCATTCGTATTTCAGCTCCATTTATACTTGGATAAGGTGCCTAGGTGCTAGTCCCCTTGCCCTGGGATGCAACAAGCTGGACCTAGCAGGCTGGATCTAAGACAGATCCCCATGCTGTGTAACAGGCCTCACACCCTAAGTGATGGGGAGGCACTCCACTGCTCCACTTCCCTTGTGTTCATAGGTTGTTTTGCCTGTGTAGGGTTTAGAGTAAATAAACAACTTACACATGTGAAAAAAAAAAGGATAAGTAACATTATATTGTGATTCTGCCAATCCTGGCTATGTAATGTAAGAATATTTTTAAGCACTTTCAAAATTTCATGTTTATTTTCTACAGTTTCAATTTTGTGATATCTTTCATTTTTTAAGTTCATATGTATTTGGAGATGATGTTCTAGTCCGTTGCTATACCACCCCTAAATATGCTGATTTTGCCCTATATGATGGTATAATTTTAATTTTCTTTTGATTTAAAATTTCTCCTGGTAGACATTGTCATTGAAACACATAATTCCATTTCTGAACTTTTATTTGAGAGGAACTGAAAATCATGATGATGATCTCATTGTTTTATTCATAGTAAGGTTACATACACATGTGGCTTATGTCTGTAAAATGTGGTGGAAAAGTCCCTGGAGTGCCATCGTTTCACAAGATGCTCATTGTGAGCTTTTCTCACTTTCCCCCTTTGCTTAGATTAAATCAATCATTCATTTGGCAAACATATTTCATCACGTCATGTGTATTGTACTGCTTATTGGTAAGCTGTTCTATCCTTGATAATCCAGTGCCTTAGAACTTGAAGTTTTGGGGATCATAATCATTTGGTACTTAACTTTCAAAACATTTTATGCTTGAGATATGTGAGTAAATCAAGGTATGAACACTTTGTTAACTGACTTTGGTGAATTTGTGTTAAAAATAAAATTATATTTTATTGGAGAATCAAGATGGCAGAATAGGGTAGGGACATGTTTAAACAGATGGAAAAATATTAGCCAGTGTGAAGCAGAGAGGGCACATTCCAGGAAATAGGAGAGGACAGAACAACAACAGAGGGGTACCTAGAGACTGACAGACACAGCAAAGCAGTGGGCACAACGATGTGGTGTTACAGTGACTAATGCACCAACAGCATTCAGCGAATGGAGATCTGAACTCCGCCAGCAACTGGAACTCCACCAGCAACCAGGTGGGAAGGGACGTTTACTGGGAGCTCCTGTGGTGAACCCAGACAAAGAACTGCCTGTCCTGCTGGTCTGTTTGATTTCACCATGGAGCAGAGACAGAGCGGCAGGTCCCAGACCGGTGGTGTGGGAACAGAGTGGATTTCACAGCCCAGTGGCCTCCTAGAGCCACATTAGGCACCATTTTGTTTAAGGAGACAAGGTCTATGGAGCAGGACTGCGCATGGACTGAGCTGGGAGTGAACGCATTTCTGGTTCAGTGAGCTGCAACAACGTGACATCTTACAGGTTCCTCCCAAGATAGGGTCTTGCAGCCCTCAGATCTGATGGCCAGTGGATTGGGAACTCTAGTAGTGGCACCATTTCTTACAGTGTGGCAAGAATTTAAGACTGCAGAGGGACAACAATGAGCTGCATATGCTCTGAGAATGTGCTGAGCTTCGTAAGAACTCACCAAGCTCATTGCATTGCACTGGTCCCACAGGAAAATAATACCAACTATGGCATTCTACAGGTGAAAATAGGTCCATGTGTCCCTCAGAACTAACAGCCAACAGGTTTCAACAAGACCAGCACCAAAGACAACCTAGCTCTATAGGACACCTGGTGTCTCCCTAATCCTGGGATCTGCTCCAAACAGATGTTTATACAGACAAAGTTGCAGCCTCAGCACGGTATCACAGGAGGTGGAGACTTTTGAGCCAGGAGCTGCGGCTAAGGAAACCATGGTGGAAATCTAACATAAGAACCTAGACCTGGACCTTGCTGGAGGAAATGGCACAAGTGAATGCAAACAAAGATCTGTGTCCCAACTGCAATAAGTGAAATCAAAGTTTAGACCTGTGGGTGACACAGCTTAGAAACCTGCCCCAAGGAGAAGAATCTTACAATCAGAAGTACAATGACCAAGAGCAAAAGAAGAGACAGAGGCACAATGAATATTACTGAAGACTCCCCGCCAAAGGAGCAAAAGCCTTTGCCAACTTTAGAGTTAACTGAGGAAGACATCGAGAAAATGGGGGATACAGAATTCAAAACACTTGTTATAAAACTTTTTATCAACAATGAGAAGCACATAACGCAGGTATTCAAGAAATTTAAGAAATATGTCATACTGGAAATGAATGAAATGAAAGCTGATACATCAGAAGTAAAGTGCAGTGAAGCAAATTAAAAGTACAGTGGAGAATCTCAAAATAGAATGAAGCAAGCAGAAGAATGAAAAAAATTAGAAGATATTTTATGTCACCAGGGGGAAACAAACAAATAGCTGGAAGCAGAGCTGGATCAGGCCAAAACAAGTATTCAAGAATTATAAGGGCAAATGTAGAGTTATGGGAGTCCCAGAAGATGCAGAAAGAGAACCTGGGTTTACAATGTATTTAATTAAATAATAAGGGAAAATATCCCTAATCTAGAGAAAGAATTGAGAAACAAGATCCAGGAGTTGCACAGAACTCCCAGCAGGCTTGACCAAAAGAAATCTCCACAACACATGATAATCAAGTTCTCTATAGTCGAACATAAGGAAAAGACCCTTAAATGTGCACATGAAAAAATGAACTGACATATAAAAGAATGCCAGTTAAACTAACAAGGAGACCTCTCCCAGAAAACTCTATAGGCAAGAAGAGAACGGAGTGACATATTCCAGATTCTAAGAGCAAAAAATTGTCAGCCCAGGATAATGTACCCAGCAAAACTTTCCTTTGTCTTTGAAAATGAAATAAAATTCTTCCACACTGAAGAAAAATTAAAAGCATATGCCTCTTCCAAGCCTGACCTACAAATGATACTTAAAGATGTTCTCTTGGCAGAGAAGAGAAATAGCACCCAATAAAACCAAGGGCAAATGTGAAGAACATCCCAGTAAAATAACAACAGAAGACTAAATTAATGAACAACCCATTGCTAAAATGACAGGACTAAATTACCACCTTTTCGTATTAATCCTGAATGTAAACGGCTTAAACTCACCAATCAAATGTCATAGTAGACTGGATTGAAAAACAAAACCTATCTATTTGTTGCCTATGGAAGACACATTTCACCAACAAAGATCAGCGCAAACTATATCTCATAGATTTTGATTTTTTGTGTTAGTTTCACCTCTTCAAAACACTTTCTTCTGATTAAATTCTTCAATGATTCATAAATCATACAGAAGCATTTTTAAAAAGATTTTATTTATTTATTGGAAAGTCAGATATACAGAGGAGGAGAGACAGAGAGGAAGATCTTCCGTCCAATTATTCACACCCCAAGTGACCACAACGGCCGATGCTATGCCGATCCGAAGCCAGGATCCAGGAACTTCTTCCGGGTCTCCCACACGGGTGCAGGGTCCCAAAGCTTTGGGCCATCCTCGACTGCTTTCCCAGGCCACAAGCAGGGAGCTGGATGAGAAGTAGAGCTGCCGGGATTAGAACTGGCACCCATATGGGATCCCGGGCATTCTAGAAGAGGACTTTAGCCGCTAGGACATGCTGCTGGGCCCCAGAAACATAATTTTCAAGAAGGTTCTTGATTTTCTCATTTTTTCAGCGACATATTAGTCATTCAGTAGCGTGTTATTTAACTTCATGGTGTTGTTAATTTCTTTTTTTTTTCTTCCTGTTGTTGATTTTGTATTGTGGCTTTTCATTTAAGGGGATGTATGATAACTGTAATGGAGACTGTCATATCCAGATGTGAGGATACAGTGCAGTATGCGTCTTTGCTCTCAAAGATGGACTCCCACTCAAACTGTTTACTATATCTTGACAATAGGATGCTGGACTCTCTGCCTTTGTCAATGCCTGCAATGATGGACATATGATTGTGTATGAAGAACTGTACTATAGTAATAATATAGGGGAATTAGGTGATGGGGGAGGGATCAGAGTAGGGGATAAGAGAAATCCCAGGGCCTACCAACTGTATCGTAAAATGATAATAATAAAAAGAATAAAAAAGTTATATTTTACCCTAGCAAATGATAACATTAATTAATTATAATACCTGAACCTGTTAGAGCTGAAGTTTTAAATTCAGTATAATATATATGTATTTTAGGTAGTAGTCGTCTGATAAGTACATCTTCTTGGCGAGATGGACAAAAATTAGTAAAGAAGATTCTGGGACCTGCACCTAAAATGGAGCATCAAGAGCGAAGAACAGCATCAAGTGACAGAAATGGAAGAGAAAGAAGTACTAAAGTTGGTGAGTGGTTATAATTACTGCTTTTCAGAAAAACAAAACTTGCTTGTATATGTACTTGGAGAAGGTTAAAATACTGTTGAGAATGCTGTAGTGCACTGTTTTATAGTTTTGAATTTAGCTGAAAGAAAAAATCCTGTTGTGCTAGTCTGTGGATAGTCTCTGCATGTAGATGTTGTCAGGTTTCCTAAGAACTCTGGATATTATTATGCTTAGCTGATTCTGTGAATAACAATGACTTATTTTAATCAAAATCTTTTAGATTCACAGAGGGACATTAAGACAAACTAGTCCAGTCTGCCTCATCCCAACATATACAAACACAAGCAAACATTGCTAACGTTGGGGTTTTTACTTGACAGATTAGGAAACAGGCTCTGAAAGACGAGTATTTTTCTTCAGGGTGTAGAGTCACTGCATGACAGGATTTAATGCAGGATTCAGAATTAAATTTGGCCCTTAAATTCAGTGCTTTTCTCTTTTTAAAGTATCTTGAATGCTATTTGAAATAGGTAGTTACAGTTTTCATGCACACTAAATATGGAAACGACTATAAATATCTACAGGCCAGCTTTTTTTTGCAGTGAAATTTGCCTCACTGAATTTGAGCCTCTGAAGATTCAGTGAGAAATACAGTTGCAAGTGTGATTCGGTATATAGAAATCGCTCCACATGTTGTATTTGCTCCTCTACATTTTCCTCTGTGTTGCAGATAAACTCATGCATTCTCATTCTAAAATTAAACCATGTCAACAAATGTTTAGATAATGAAGTGATTGGTATTTTGCATACTGTCTCTAATTTATTCTGTCATTATGCAGAGTTGGGAACCTTTTTCTGACAAGAGCCATTTGGACATTTATAGTGTCATTCATGGGCCGTTCAAAATTGGCCTGCTGTAGATATATTGGATTTTGAATCTTGCTTGCGGTTGCCTGGGCAGGGCCAGACCAAATGAGTTCACAGGCCTTGGATGGCCAGCGGCCTGCATGGCCCTCACCTCTGCCTTAGAGGATTGTGGAAGTAAAGCACTCATTCGGAAAATAATTTCTGACTGCTCATTGTGTGGCAGGTACTGCTTTGTCCAGTCTGTAGAGCTTCAGAATAAGCCAGAGATCAAAATGATTGGCTACAAAGAAGCATTCTAGTATAACAAACATCATGCACTTTATAGACTCCTGTTAAAGCTTGACTTCTGGGAATAAAGTGCTGGAAGTTTTGTTTTATAAATTCCATTAAAATGTGAAAGTAGTTATATGAATAACCAATTATAACCATTGCTATACCAACAGGAAACAGAAACAAAATGTTCAGAAGTGCTAAGATAAAACTCATGAAAATATGCCGCCATTTCATGTATTTGTGGAATGGATCAGTGTTAAAGAGTTTTCAGAAAAATTAACATTTTTAGTACCTTTATTTGGACTTGACAGATGCAGTCTGATCTTTGCAGTACTTTGGAAAAAAAGTTTTTAAAAAATATTCTTGGGCTGGCATTGTGGCAAATCGTGTTAAGCTGCTGCTGTTGCTGAGAGAAGCATCCCATGTGGAAACTGGTTCAGCCCTAGCCACTCCACTTCCCAGTTTGCTCCCTACTTACTAATACCCCTAGAAAGAAGTGGAAAGAAGCCGAGGTACTTGGCCCCCTGCACAGTGCTGGAAACTGTGAGGAAGCTCCTGGCTTTGCCTTGCCCCAGTCCTGACTTGAGCAATGAACCAGTGAGTGGAAGATCTCTCTTTTACCTCTCTTTATAACTCTGACTTTCAAACAAACAAACAAGCAAACAAATAATCAAAAATACAGTGTTCTTACGGTTTTTTTTCACTTCCTTAATTATAATCAAGATGCTTTTTTAAAGATTTATTTATTTCTGTTTGAAAGGCAGTTTTACAGAGAGGAGAGACAGAGAGGGAAGGATCTTCCATCCACTGGTTCACTCCCTAATTGGCAGTAACAGCTAGAGCTGAGCTGATCTGAAGCCATGAGTCAGGAAACTTCCAGGTCTCTCCCATATGGGTGCGGGGTCCCAAGGACTGAGCCATCCTCTACTCCTTTCCTAGGCCACAAGCAGGGAGCTGGATGGAAAGTGGAGCAGCCAGGACCACAAAGCAGTGTGCTTATAGTGGGCATATGTGTATGCTAGCAGTTGAAGGTGGAGGGTTAATCCATTGAACCATGCCCTCAACTCCAATCAAATGCTTTTTAACAACTAAAAGAATTGCTTTTTTTTTTTTAATTTTTTTATTATTTTTTCATTGGAAAGGCGGATATACAGAGAGGAGAGACAGAGAGGAAGATCTTCCGTCTGATGATTCACTCCCCAAGTGAGCGCAACGGGCCGATACTATGCCGATCTGAAGCCAGGAGCCTCTTCCGGGTCTCCCACAGGGTGCAGGTTCCCAAAGCTTTGGGCTGTCCTCGACTGCTTTCCCAGGCCACAGGCAGGGAGCTGGAAGGGAAGCGGGGCTGCTGGGATTAGAACCGGCGCCCATATGGGCTCCCGGGCGTGCAATGTGAGGACCTTTAACCACTTGCGCCACTGCGCCGGGCCCCAAGAATTGCTTTTTTGGACAGCTTTTTGGGAGATTGTAGAGATTGTGGAGAATTAGTAACGTTAAATGTGCTTGTGAGAAAAATAGTTAGTGCTCTCATCAGCTGTAAGACCTGTCCTTTGTTCAGAAAAATTAAAAGATGCATTTTTTTTCTTTTAAATCCCAGCATAGTGTTTCAACATATTGAAAATTTTATTTTTATTCCTACAAAGAATGGTGTATTTTGTTCTTCAGAAGACTATGGGATATTTGAACTTAAATTTAAGCTAAAGTGAACTTTAGGAGTGAATAGGAAATTTTAGTATGTTACTTACAGTTCATACCTTGCAGGGGGTCATATTGGAAAAGCGGAATCCGATTCCAAGTTGGATATTTCACACAGACATCTTCCCCGAAGCTCAGAGCGTTCAAGAAGTAGAACTCGGTCTGAAACTAACATCAAGAAGGCAGCTCCATCTCTCCCAGATAACAAACAGGAGGAAAATACTGCCTTAAATAAGGAGTTTTTACCTGTTGAAATTCGTGGCATTCTTGATGACCTACAGTTGGATTCCACAGCTCAAACTGCAAGGTTGGAAAATGGGGAGTTACAAAATCAGAAGTCGGTAGCGCCAGTCCAGGTTCCTAGAAGTCATAGCCCAGTGAAAAGAAAACCCGAAAAAGTAGCAGCTAGTGAAGATCCCCCTGTTATCTCTAAAAAGCGCCACTATGACACAGATGAGGTCCGGCAGTACATTGTCAGGCAGCAGGAGGAGAGGAAGCGGAAGCAGAATGAAGAGAAGAAGGCTCAGAAGGAGGCCACAGAACAGAAGAACAAGCGGTTGCAGGAGCTCTATCGGAAGCAGAAAGAAGCCTTTACAAAAGCAAAAAACGTGCCTCTTCCGGAGCCATCCACCAGCAGGCGACTACAGGAAACTTACTCCAAATTGTTGCTGGAAAAGACTTTGCTTGAGGAAACGTCCCAGCAGCATGGTACACAGGAAACACAGGTAATGGCAGTGATAGACATACAAAGGAGATTGATCATCATTAGGAAAAGTGACATTCCTACTTAAAAATTACGTACCATTATTAATATTTGGACATATGCTCAGATAATATTTGTAATAATCATGGCCTTTCATGTATTCCAAAGAATAATGTGGTAAGTATGGTTTTAAAAACCCAAATAAACTGAGTTTCTTAATGATCTCATCATTGCTGTTAGTTCTAGTTTTCATGGCCGTTCTGAGCAAATAAGAAGTACATAAATGTCGATGAAATACTTGGTTTTGTGATCTGGCCTGACATTCAAGAACATCCTAGCACAGTGTGCTGCCTTCAAGAGTAACAACCTAGTGTTTTGATGTACTCTTTTAAAGGCATTATAGGCTAAGATCAATTGTAAAGACATTATTGGCCATCGCTTCTTGGCGTTTTGGCCAGGATCAAGTGTAAAGGCATTATAGCCCTACAGCCTTGGGTCTGATAGGTGCCGTGTTAGTTCTGCTTAGCAGATGGAATAGCCTGAGGTTTGTAAAGGATTTTATTTCTTGCTCTTACTATATGCTTAGGATTAGGTTCCCTTGTTGGGTTTTGGATGATGTTTACTGTTAATTATAATGGCTAAATGTGAGTTGGTTTTTATTAGAAGGGGAAAACCCTACATTTGGTGATCTTAGTAAAGCTGAAGTGATTTAAGGTCTATCTGATAACTGTGCCCGAATTACCTTTGTAATGTGAATCAGATAAGTTTGATATCATTCTTTCACAGGCCAAACCAGGGTATCAGCCTTCTGGAGAATCTGACAAGGAGAACAAAGTACAGGAACGTCCTCCGAGCGCATCTTCCAGCAGTGACATGTCTCTGTCAGAACCTCCACAGCCTCTTGCAAGGTAAAGGCAGAGCCACAGATGAAATTTACCGTAGTGACCTGGGCCCGGCGATTGTTTTCTTGGCTGAAAATTCTGTGTGAGCAAGGGGACAGAGAGGTTTCTTTAGAAATTGGCACCCATATGGTTGGCGAAATTATAGGCAGTAGGTTAACCTTCTCCATGATGTTGGTCCCTTATATGTGTTATCTTAAAGTTTCTAATTCTTGAGTTTGGAAAGGATGTTATCCATTCAGATCTCCTAGGTGGCAGCATCACCCAGGCTCCTTTGGGTTGTCTTCCCTTGCTTTCCCAGGTGCAGCAGCAGGGGTTGGACTAGAAGCAGTCTTGTGAGGCATGCTTTTCAGCTTTCTTATCACACTGCTTACCCTCCTCAAAAGAGTTTTAGAACTTTACCTTAATCTATTTTAGCTTGTTTTAAAATTGCAGCCTTTACAATTAATTTCCTTTAGAGATTAAAAATCTTTTATTGGAAAGTCAGATATACAGAGAGGAGGAGAGACAGAGAGGAAGATCTTCTGTCCAATGATTTACTCCCCAAATGATTGCAATGGCCATTGCTGCAGCAATCCGAAGCCAGGAGCTCAGAGCCTCTTCCGGATCTCGCATGCATGTACATGGTCGTAAGGCTTTATTCTGTGCTTGACTGGTTTCCCAGGTCACAAGTAGGGAGCTGGAAAGGAAGTGGAGCAGCATTGGACACAAACAGGCACCCATATGGGATCCCCATGTGTGCAAGGCAAGGACTTTAGCAGCTAGGCTACTGTGGTGGGCCCTGCACAATTTATTTTCAATCATTTTTGAGTCATTGTAGAGTTAGCCATGCCTCCTAGCTTAAAGAAATGTATTTGGATGAATGAGAGAGAAGGAAAGACAGGGGGAGACAGATTCTTACTCCTCAGATGTCTTCAGTAACTGTCCTGAGCCAGGCTGAAGCCAGGAGTCCCAAATTCCATCTGTGTCTCCCAAATGTGTGACAGGGACACGGGCTCTTCAGCTGTCAGCCACTGTCTTCCGTGTGTGGATTAGGAGCGAGGCAGGGCTTGACCCCAGGCACTCTGAGCATCCCAAGTCAGAGCTCACCTCACTGCACCACAATGCTGTCTCCCTCCCAGCATTTCTTATCATCTCTCAATTTCTTTATTGTATGATTACCTTATCCTGCAAAAGTAATGGACAAGATCAGGGGCAAAACCCATGTTACTTTTCTAACGATCTTCCATTAGCTTTTTTTTTTTTATTACATTGCATTATGTGACACAGTTTTTTAGGCACTGGGATTCTTCCTACCCCTCCCCCTACCCTCCTCCCATGGTGGATTCCTCCACCTTGCTGCGTTGCCACAGTTCAAGTTCAGTTGAGGTTCTTCATTGCAAGCATATACCAAGCATAGAGTCCAGCATCTTATTGTCCAGATAAGTTCAATAGCTTCTTGGGGAGACCATCTCTGGTCTGAAGGTAGAGTCGGCAGAGTGTCATCCCAACCAACCAAAAGCCCCAACATAACACCCGCAGCAATCCACAACGTCATGGAATTAGTCTTCCATTAGCTTTTAATCTCTCTTCTATACCTTTATATATCTATGGTCTGGAAACAAGGAAATATGCGTAATGCTGATGAAGTATGTTTCTGGTACAGTTTTGGTTAGCTTTTGTTACTTTAGCAAGTACCTGAGGGAACTACTTAGGACGAAAGATTTAGTTCAGCTTACAGTTTTGGAGATTCACAATCCAAAATCAGGCATCCTCATTAGTGTGGAACATGGTGAGGGTGGAATACAGAGGAAGGCTCCTAGTGCCAGCCTGCAGCAGGGAGAGATGGGCGCTGTCTCAGCTGTGTGGCTTTTTCTTAGAAAATCACCATAACTGCCAGTGGGGGTTAACTCCAACCAGCTAATCCAGTTCAGTCACGTTCCAGAAGGCTTGCTTTCATGCACTGTGCTCACCAGTGAGTGACTTCAGCGTGTCAGCATGTGCTGATTTGGAAATGAGGTTCTGGTCCAACTGCAGCCCTCCATCTGAACTTTCTGAACATCCCACACTGGGCTGTATGTTTGTAATCAAAACTCACAGTTTGTGTTATATGATGTTCCTTAATTTCTTTTAGAAGTTGTAATCATCTTGTTTCTTTAGTATTCACAATGCTAAATGTCAGTGTTTAGCATTTAGTAAATGTTCACCAATTAAAATATTCTTTATCACGCATGTCTACTTTAGTATTATCAATCTTAAGCTTTTGTCTTTCATATGAAAAATTTGCAAGGAGGGATAGAGCCAATGTAAAGAATCTTGTTCATGAAGACTTTAATTCAAATTTTTAACTCTGTTTAATAAAATTGTACTAGTTGAGATAAACAGTTTATTTAACTATGTATGTGGTAAAATCCATCTTTGTACAGGCACTATCATCAAAACACAACATACACCTTGAAAAACTTGGGAAAGATAATTTAAAATTGACTATCAATAGCAACTCTTTCTGATTAACTCTGAGCATTTTATCTGTTCTTTTTGTTCAGTGTCTATATGTTACTCTTATAAACAGAAAAAAATCCAGAACTTTAAAATAAGGTGTTTAGTTGTTCCAGTTCTGGTTTTGCTGTGTTCATGGTCATATTGTGACTTTCATTTACAGAAGGGACCTGATGGAGCCTACATGGATGCAGCCTGACAGGCTGAGCCCACGAGGTCCTTCTCAGCCACAGCCGCTTGTTGGAACAGCCGGAAATCTACTGTCTCACCTTTTGAATCTAGAACATGTGGGAATTTTGCATAAGGATTTTGACTCTATTTTACCAACTAGGAAGAATCATAATACGGTTTCAGGGCCATTAACTTTTACACCTCAACCGTATCTGACCTCACCAGCTGCTCATTCAGATGCCTTGTTAAAACCTAGTGCCAGCCACTATAAGAGTAAACTGGATCGAATTGAAGCCTTGAAAGCTACAGCTGCTTCCTTGTCTAGCAGGATTGAAAGTGAAGCCAAGAAACTAGCTGGAGCTCACATTAATTATGGGTCAGTGTGGGACGCCGAGTGTGACGTGCAGGATGCTCCCCAAGAAAATGGAATGTGGAACAAGGCTCTAAGTCCACCTGTGAAAGAGGATGCTGAAGATGTTTTCTCTGCAAGGATTCAAAAGATGCTGGGAACCTGTGTCTCTCATGCAACTTTTGATGATGATCTTCCTGGGGTCGGCAACCTTAGTGAGTTTAAAAAGCTTCCTGAGATGATAAGACCTCAAAGTGCTATATCAAGCTTGAGAATGAGATCCCCTGGTCCCAGGCCGGGGAGGCTCCTGGCACAGCTATGTAAGCGGCACGCTGACTCTCCCAGCTCTGATGTGCAGCCCTGCTCTCAGGACAAAGCCAAAGTGTCTCTTGGTTCCAGCCTGGATTCAGTCAGCGAAGGGCCTCTTCTCAGCGAGGGCAGTCTCTCTGAAGAAGAGGGAGGCCATGACAGACCACCCCCTTTGAAGGTTTCGGAAATCTTGAAAGAAAAGGAATTTTGTGCTGGAGAAAGAAATACTTACGAACCTATCAAAGAGTTTCAGAAGGAAGCTGAAAAATTCCTGCCACTTCTAGGACACATAGGAGGTACACAAAGCAAAGGACCATGGGAAGAATTGGCAAAGGGAAGTCCACATAGCGTTATCAATATCTTTACAAGATCATATCAGCTATATGGAAAAGGTGAGAAAAGCAAGTAAGGACTGCATTATTTTTATATTGTCATGGGATAAATTATTTCAGTATGTGTATATTAAATGCTACACTTATGTCCCCACAATATGTACCATTACTAGGTCTCAGTTAAAAATACACAGAATCTTCAGAAAGTTCCTAATTAATGTAAAATTGTATTTTCCACGAACTTTTTACATAATTTAAAACTTTTTAAATTTGATAGGTGAATTGAGCTCCTGACTTCCTCCCACTGGTTCCCTGTGAAATGCCATAGCATCTGGGGCTGGGGAAGGGCTACAGCCAGCATCTGGGGTACTCTCCAGGGCTCTCTGGCAGGTGCCCATCCCTGTCTCCCTTCAGGGCCGCAGTGGGGGAACTTGGGGTCAGGAACCCAGGCCAAGATTGAACTCCTCCCCCGTACAGTGCTGGAATCTGCTAGACTGAAAGCATATTGCTTCAATAACTTTTTGTTGTCCCTTTATGTGTGTAATTTTTTTCACTAAAAATTTTTAATTTTTATGTAAGATAAATACTTTAGTACTTATTTTTAGTTGTCCATTATGAGAATAATAAAAATTTATATTATTCATGTTAGCCATCTTCTAAAGTATCTGTAAATTTCAACTAGAATTTTAATAACTTAATCTGCAAAATTTCAGTTTTAGTTTTATAAAATTTAGAAAAATTCATAGTTGATGTTCAAGATTGGGTATATATGTCAAATGTATACTAAGTTTTTGTAATTGTAGTTAAATAGAAATTAAGTGAATTTCTTAATGCAGTAACTTGTGAATTTTGGGATATAATTGTCAAGGATTAGAGGGCCAATATAATAATGCTTCTGATAGGAAAATATATTTCTCAAAGCTAGTTTTATTAGCTGCTGGACTTTGGATGATAATGTAGCTGTATATTTGTTAAAACAGTAACATTTAAAGTTTTCTTTTTATCACTGCATTTCTGTGACACATCTTTCTTTTTCTATAATAGACTGAATTCCTTGAAGTCCCTCCTTTTCTCTGTTCTTTTGTTTGCTTTTCTGCTATCGTTGGATTCTGCTCATCTTACAGTAGCATAACCTTAGAATTTCCAGATTGGAGATTTCTACTCTGCTCTGTACAGTGAAGTAATGAGTTGGTTCTATCTCTTCTTCTTTTATTTATTTTTATTGAAAAGGCAAATATATAGGGAGAAGGAGAGACCAAGATCTTCCATATGCTGGCTCAGTCCTCCAGCGGCCACAATGGCCTGAGCTGAACTGAGCCAAAACCAGGAGCCAGAAGTCTCCTCTGGGTCTCCCCCCCCAAGGCTTTGGGCTGTTCTGCACTGCTTCCCAGGCCACACACAGGTAGCAGGATGGAAGTGGGACTGCTGGGAGCGAACTGCTTCCATATGGGAACCTAGTTGGATATAAGGCGAGGCTGTAGCCACCATGCTACCACACTAGGCCTTCTGTCTGTTCTTCGTGTGCTTAAATGCATATAATATTGCTAATTCCTTGAATTGATGTTGTGGCACTTTCTTGTCTCAGACAAACCCTTAAATGCTGTTCCTGACTCTTGTTTAGCTACTTATTTCTGCTGGTAGTAACTTCAGATTTCTTTCAGTTTTAAAGGGGATTCTTTTTGATGAATGCAAAGTGCTCACATAAACACCCTCAGTTTTTATAGGAAATGTTTTGTTCTTAAATCCTTCTGTTATGTTTTTATGAAGATTTTATAGTTACAGTGAAATACTTAGAGGTTAAAAAAACAAGTTATTTTTTTCTTACTTCACAATTACCTGGGAAAAAGAAGTGATGTGTTGGCAAGTTTACTTAAAGCTGGGTAATGGATACACTGCCTTCATTATGCTCTTGTCTCAGGCTTTGTGTGTTTCAAAGATTTTAATGAACTTAAAATATATTGAAAAATATAAAGATAAGATTTTTAAAAAGGTAGTAAAGGCAAATTGACATGTTCGGCTCCATGTGGTGGAGTGCTTTGCATAGAGTTTTTGGCTTTTTTCACTGTGCTTCAATAATTGTTTTTGACAGGATTTGAAGACAGGTTGGATGGAGGACCATCAGCATCACGGCCTCTTAGCAATATCTCCTATGAAGATGATTTTGCCTCCTCTCCAGGCAGCGGGACTTTGACCGAAAGGAAATCAACTCTTGAGCCTAAGTATGAATATGTTGGCAATATGGAATAAAGTCTGTAGAGTGTATACTGTGGTCTATGTATGAGTTGAATTTTGCTTGTTGGAGGATAATGTGGAGAATATATAACATAGCAGGGAGGACAAGAGCTCTGCATTTTAAAATTTTATTTAAAAGATTTTATTTATTGTTATTGGAAAGTCAGAATTACACAGAAAGATCTTCCATCCACTGGTTTACTCCCCAAGTGGTTGCAGTTGCTGGAAGTAAGCTAATCCAAAGACGTGGGCCAGGAGCTTCCTCTGAGTCTCCCACACTGGTACAGGGTCCCAAGGCTTTGGGCCATCCTCGATTGCTCTCCCAGGCCACAAGCAGGGAGCTGGATGGGAAGCAGGGCTGCTGGGATTAGAACCTGCGTTCATAGGGGATCCCGACAAGTGCAAGGCGAAGACTTTAGCCACTACACTACCACACTGTGCATCTCTTTCTTGCCAGGGTTCAGTCCTGGTTCCCCTTAGTTTTAGTTGTTTGTATGTATGTGTTTGTACTACTAGACTTCTGTGTCTTGATTTCCTTCGTTGTGAAATGGGGTGAGTGATAGTATCTGTCTGTTTCACAACATTGTTCTGTGTTTTCAATGAAATATAAAACACTTAGAACGAGGCCTGACAGATGGTGTACAGTCTCAGATATTAAGTCAGTCTGAATATAGTGAGGACACAGTGGGGAACTGTCCTGTGTTCTACTCATGTAAAAAGCTAAAGAAGTAGTTTCTCTCTGATAGATATGAGAAAGATCAGACAGATGCTTGATTTCATGGCCCAAGGTAAAAGTAATTTATTTTTATAATCAGAAAAATATCTAAAATTTTGCAAAGATTTGAAAAAAAAGTTAGTAAATCATAATACCTAGTAATTCTTGGACCTAATGGCCTGATATGTGTTATTATTGCACCTGCTTTGCAAAACTGAGGCCCGGAGCTGGGCGTGCTTATTCAATCAAGTAGACAGTGTTGGGGAGAATTTTTTCTCTAATTCCTGTGACCACATATATTATTTGGAAATTACCTAGACATTGCTTTCTCTCCTCTCTTCTTCTCTCATAAATAAAAGTGAGAATAAGTAAGAAATTTTACATTCAATTGATCCATAGGAACTATTCAAGCTTATGGACTCATAGAAGAAAGTCAAGAAGAAGCCACACCTTTGAGTGTCTTCACATTCTTTCAGTGACTGACCACATTTTAAAATATCTTTAATTTCAGCTGTAAGACGGCTTTGTCTTTAGCTGCTGTTGTTTTTTCTTTGGTAGTGTTGGTGGTAGCAGTTTAAGCCTCCAGGAGGACCCTGCTGGCCGGAAGTCAGCATATGAGCTTTCCTGTGGTGATGTGACGTCTCAGCAGTCCTCAGGAGCCCAGTCGGCAGCTTCTTCGCATTCCTCCACTTCATCTAAAGGAAAGAGAGGGAAAAAGGAAAGAATAGACTGTAAGTACACATGATGGCTTTTTCTCTTACTGATTCAAAGTCGTGTGCTTTTGTTATTATATGTATTATTTAGCTTGAAAGTGTCAGAGAGGGAGGGAGTAGAAGTCTTCCATCTGCTGGTTTATTCCCCACGTGGCTGCAGTGACCAGAGCTGGCTTGACCCAAAGCTAGGAGCCAGGAGCTTCTTCCGACTCTCTCGTGTGGGTGCACTGGCCCGAGGTCTTGAGCCATCCTCTACCTTTAGCAGGGAGCTGGATTGGAAGCAGAGCAGCAGAGACTAGAACTGATACCCATATGAGATGCTGGCACCAGAGGTGGAGGCTTGGGTTGCTATAAAACCACACTGGCCCCAAAAGTTGTTGTTTGATTCCCATTCCATCAGAAGTTCAAGGAATTTTTTAGTGATGATAATGTAATTAGCTTTTCTATATAAATCATTGTAAATATTTTATTAATATAAAGAGAATACATTTGCATTGATAAAAAAAATTAAGAATTTGAGGGAGAGGATTTAGCTCAGTGTTTGAAATGGTGCTTGGGTTGTCCACAGCAGTCTCCAAGTACCTAAGCTTGAGTACTGCAGCTGTGGCTTCTGATTTCAGCCTGAGAAGCAGCACATTGTGGCTCAGGTGCTTGAGTCCTTGCTGCTCAAGAAGCACACTCAGAAGGGAGTTCCTGACTCCTGACTTTAGACTGGCCCAGCCCTGGCATCTGGGGGGTGAAGCGACAGGAGGGATCTGAATGTGAACCTGTGTATGTGTTCTGGCATCTGGTGGCAGACCCATTGGCAGTCATATGTAGTTTTGAGTGGAATTTACTCAGATTCACTCAAAAGGTGAAACTGAATAAATTAGGTAATAGCCTCTTTTTATTTTATTTATTTTTTAATTTCAAGATTTATTGATTTTCAAGGCAGAGTTATAGGAAGGAAAAGAGAACGAGAGACAGAGAAAGCTTTTCTGTTCCGCTGGTTTATCCCCAGATGGCTGAAGTGGCTCATGCTGGGCCAAATTGAAGCCCAGAGCCAAGAGCTTCATCCGGGTCTCCCAAGTAGGTACAGGTGCCAAACAGTTGGGTTGTCTTTCACTGCTGTTTCCAGGTCACTATGAGAGAACTGGATCTGAAATGAGGCAGGTGAGCCTCAACTTGTGCCCATATAGGATGCTGGCATCAGGTGCAGCTTAACCCAGTCTGCCTTAATGCTAGGCCTGCCGTGATGCCCTCTGGCTAAGGAATGATTTTGCTATCAAAAAAAAATTTTTTTAAGTTAAACCTTTCTTTTGGAATAAAGAGATGATGAGCCGGGTTAGAGGGAGGAAACTGCTCAATTTAGAAAACAATTTTTTTTAATTTGTAAAATTTCAAATTTTTGTTTTTATTGTATGATATACATAATATAAAATTTACCATTTATTGACTTCAGTAATATTGACAGAGTTTTGCAACCATTACTGCTAACCAGCTCCAGACCTTTTCCATTTTCCCATAGCACAACCCTTTAAATGGTGTTCCATTCTCCCTTTTCCTCAGCCCATAGTAATAGCTGTTCTACTTTTTGTCTAGGCATTTGCCTGTTGTTGCTGCCTCATGTAAGTGTAGTCCTATGTAGGATTACATGGCTGGCTTATTTCATTAGCGTGATATCTTCATGTTTTATCATGTTGTTGCCTGTGTCAGAATGTCCTTCTTGGGGCCACGTTAAGTGCTAGTTTAGGTCCCGTCTGCTCCATTGCCCATCCAACCCCCTGCTAATGAACTTGGGAAGGGAGTGGAAGATGGTGCAGGCACCTGGGCCCCTACCCCTGTCACCCGTGTTGGAGCCTCTAATGGAGTTCCAGGCTCCTGGCTTTGATCTGGTGTAGCCTTGGCCAATGTGGCCACTTGGGGAGTAGACTAGTTGATGGAATCCCTCATTCTCTCTACTTCTAGTTCTGCTTGTCAAATCAAATGGACCAGATCTTTTAAAAAAAAATCCTTCCTTTTTCAGATGAAAAATCCTTTATATGTCTGTCCATCATTTTTTTAAAGATTTATTTATTTTTATTAGAAAATCAGATTACAGAAAAAAGGAGAGACAAAGATCTTCCATTAGCTGGTTGGCTTCCCAAGTGCCCACAACAGCTGAGCTGATTTAAAGCTAGGAACCAGGAGTTTATTCCGGGTCTCCCATGTGAGTGCAGGGTCACAAGACACTGGGCTGTCCTCCACTGCTTTCCCAGGTGTCTTGTCAGGGAGCTGGATGGGAAGTGGAGCAGCTGGAACACGAACCTTACCCTATAGGGGATCCTGGAGTACACAACACGAGGATTTAGCCACTATGTTATCGTGTTGGCCCCATGTCCATCATTTTGTATATTCAGCCTGCATCAGTGGACGTTCACTTCCATTTTTCCACGAACATTTTTAAATACCCTTGACCATTTAAAAGTGTTTTGGTCTGTTAATCTGTTGAAATGTGTATGTTAGTGATCTCTCTCAGTAATTAACACTGGAAATCAGCTTTGTAGTCAATTTACTTTACAGGGTTGAATTCATTTAAGAACTCACTTCTTGATGAAGAAAAAGCACAGTCTGGCTCAGAACGTGGCTCTCAGCAAGTGAAAAAATCTGGGACCAGTAGTAAACTTTCTGTTAAAGATTACGAGCAGACTCTTGACACTGAAAGCACTTTGGAGGAACTTTCTGGGCCTTCTCTGAGGTAACATAATGTAATCTTTATACTTTAATTCATATAGTTCACATCATACGAGTCGCTGATGTTTTTGTTAAATTTCAGTTTTGCTGTGTACTATCTGAGCTGCTAAAGAATTCTGCTGTTTTTACCACATGGGATGGAAGAAGCCCAAATCCTTCCTCGCAGGATCCAAGGTCATTGAAACAACAGCCAGGAGCCCTGAGCGGTCCACAGAAACAGAAAAACAGTAGACTTCTGGACTAGGGAGAGGAGCTTTCTCTGGTTCTTACTTAGTTCCAACTTTGGATCCCCACCCTCTGTTGCAGTGACCATCAGGGTCGCTCTGGAGCCCCCACTACCCCCAAAATTAGAATAGATAGGCAGAGAACAAAAGAAAGCTTAGAACCAGACAGGAAACAGTCAGCCTTACTAGGTGGGACACAAAGATTAGTTACTCCTCACTAAGGTATTGAAGATCTCTCTGCACACCCCTCCTAAAACTGTTCTACACCTCAACTGTTGACATGTGCCTTGTCAGAGTTATAAACCAGTTTAGACTATCCTAAAATCTGCCAAGTTCAGCAAAATTATGCTTCAATACTATAAACTGCTAAATACTAAAATGAATATAGACACGAGACAGCTGAATAGTATCCTATAGCCACTTTAAGGTGTATAGCAGCTGGTTCTATGTACAAACAAAAATTGAAATGTCAATGAAGTAGTCACAGGATGTGGTTAAGAACTTGCGTTTTTTAACATATTGGTTACTCACAACCATATCAAATAATTCCATAATGTTGTAAATTGTTGTTGATGTTGTGTTGGGGCTTTTAATTGATCAGGATGATATTCTGCCAGGTCTGCCTTCAGACCAGAGATGGTCTCCCCAAGAAACTGTTGAATGTATCTGGACAATAAGATGCTGAACTCTATGCTTGGTATATTCTTGCAATGAAAGACTCTTGACTGAGTTTGAACTGTAATACTGCAACAAGGTGGAGGAATCCACCATGGAGGGAGGGTGCGGGGAGGGGTTGGGGGAATCCTGTGTCACATAATGCAATGTAATTAATAAAAAAAATAATAAAAGACATGATGAAAAATGAGCAAAAAGAAAAGATAAAAGCAAATGAAAAAAAAATGACAAAACAGTTTTCCTGCCATTAGTCATATTACAACATTTCAACATGTCATACCACATTCATTAAATAAAAAACCAAAAGTGAAAAAACAAACAAACAAACAAAGAATTCTGTCCTTTTTAACTAGCTTTGTAACTTTATTCATGTCCCTGGTCCCTGTGTTGTAGAATGTGAACATCTCTCACCTGAACTCTGTGACCTCTCCTTTGAATTATGTAAGCCATTGCCATAGTTTTCTTGGTTCAATCTTTTGAAGAGACTTCCAGCTTTTTTTTTTTTTTAATTTATTTATTTTTATTGGAGAGTCAGATATATACGGAGAGGAGAGATAGAGAGGAAGATCTTTCATCCGATGATTCACTCCCCAACTGACTGCAACGGCTGGTGCTGCACCGATCTGAAGCCAGGAGCCAGGAGCTCTTCTGGGTCTCACACATAGGGTCCCAAGGCCTCAGGCCATCCTTGACTGCCTGTCCAGGCCACAAGCAGGGAGCTGGATGGAAAGTGGGGCTGCTGGGATTAGGACCAGCACTCATATGGGATATCGGCATGTTCAAGGCGGGGACTTTAGCCGCTAGCCCACCGTGCTGGGCCCTGAGATTTCCTGCTTTCTTAAGATGTTTTGGCTGAACACAGTTCCACTGAACTCTGTCTGATGTGTTTTCTCTAGACTCTGCCAGAAAGTATTTTATTTGTCTACACATTTTGCTTCTCAATTGTATTTTATTTCTTTATTTAAATTTGTCCATTATGCTCAACCTACTGTATGACTAGCTAACTTTGAAATCTCACCTTTATACTGTTCATGGAACGCACATACACCATGTTTTCTTTCCCTTCATTTTAATATTCTGTATTATAAGCTTGTTGCTTACATGTTACTGTATTACTGCTTTCTGTGTAATTGGTATTTAATTGTCCCTGTGACATTGTGTACTGGTTTTTTTCTTTTGGAAATTGAGGATCTGAGGAGATCTCTATTTTTTTTTTTTTTGAAATAACTTTTTAGTATTGTATCATGTACAGATACGGATAACCAATTTAATGCCTTTGTGATAAAAATGTTTAATTATTCATGCCATCACTGTGATCATTAAAACTGAATATTGCCCATTATTCTAGATCTTGGAGCATTTGACATTTCTTGAGGAGATACTTTTATGATTTAATTTGATAACCTCTTTATAAAAACTAAACATTTCTAAAATCAAATCAATAACCCCCCAAATTTCTTAAATACTCCATATTATAGTTTAGATCCTGTTTCCTTCACTATAGAGATTCAAATAGGTTATCTGTATTTTTTAATTATGTAATTATTTTTTTCAACTTGTTAGGCTGTAGATACATCTCCTTTTTTAAATATATTACTATTATTGAAATTAGCTTTTGAACATGCTAGGTGAATTCTGTAAAGTACATATAACTTTATCTTGTAAAACCAAAATGTGAAGTGCAGATAGAATAGTTTGATGTTGTGTGGAAATTCTTCAGTTGTTCTATATTGAAATCATTCTTTTGTGTATTCCTTAATGAAACTGGCACTGTTAGAAATACGGTAGTCCTTTCCCTGCAATTTTTCGTCCTACAGTCTCGGTTATGTGTGATCTGCTGAGGTCCAAAACATTGATAGCATGTTCCCTGGGGCGACAGTGTATAGGTTTTAGATTGCATGCCATTCTGAGAGGCGTGATGCGAATTCCACAGGCTATGAACCATGCGCAAGTAACTACTTAAAAATGACCCAGAGCTCCAGAGCAGTGAGAGCAGTGACGTTGGCAGGTTAGATGCGGCAAAAAGGAGCCATCAAGTGCCTCCTGTAAGTGAAAAGGTGGAAGTTTTTAATGAAAATTAGAATGTTGAATTGGCTGAAAATGCAGTAAGGATGAATTTTCTGCTGTCAAACTATGAAGACGAAGAACAAATTCATGTTACTTTTGCTGTAACACTGCAAATTATGAAAGGGCCAGCCAGAGAGTGAATTGGTTAGTTAAGATAAAAAGACACTATCACTTCTCAGGCTTTTGGCTAAGATCAAGTGCAGTGTCTGTTCTTAGTTTAACATTTGGTATGTCCTTTATCTGAGGACAACATATTAAATGGATTTTTGGAACTATGAGTTGGAATAGGAGCTTGCTCTGTCCATTCTTATCAACCTGTATTGCAGTACTTAAGGAATAGTACACCCCTTTACGGGAGCAATGGGGGTTAAATAACAGACTTTAAAAAAAAAAGGTGGAAAGACACTAAATTTGCATATATAATAAAAAAGCGTAGTAGCTGCCATGTTTGGATTCAGGCATCCTGAAAGCAGGGAAGGCACTGAAGTCCTTAGAGTGTCTTCTCCGTACTGTGCTGTGGCATTTCTGTAAAATAGTCATGAGTGCCTTTTGAGACTACATATATATATTTAAGTTTACTTGTTTTTATTGGGAAGTCAGATTGACAGAGAGGGGAGAGAGAAAGATCTCCCATCTGCTGGTTCACTCTCTGGGTGGCCCCAGTGGCCAGAGCTGAGCTGATCCGAACCCAGGAGCTTCTTCTGGATCTCCCAGATGGGTGCAGGGTCCCAAGGCTTTGGGCCGTCCTCCACTGCTTTCCCAGGCCACAAGCAGGGAGCTGGATGGGAAGTGCAGCAGCCAGAATATGAGCCAGAACCCATATGGGATCCCAGTACCTTCAAGGTGAGGACTTTAGCCTTTAAGCTGCTGCACGGGCGCGAGACTACTTTTTTCAGTGCAAGGCAGTATGCTTGTCAGTAAGAGAAACAGCACCCTTAATGAATCTTCTTAAAGAGAGCCGAGGCATATGCGTTGTGCTTAATCAAATGTAATAGTGAAATTGTTGTGAGAGGCTACTTAACAGAAAGTTTAGGAAAGACACATAGTATTAAAAGATACATAGGTGCAGTATAAATGATTTTTATTAAGTATTTAGAGATGGATAATGTGAAAATATTCTGTTAGTGCTAACAGAAAAGGGAATGACCATAATTTGTCATTTTTTAGTTTTTAATACAAAATACTTTTTTTCAGCGGTATTTTAAGATATTTTTACAAGATGTCTTACATATGTGGGTATAATCATTTTGCCAGCTATTTTAGAAGTTGTTATGCAAGTGTAATAAGTGAATCATGATATTTGTACATTGGAGAGGAAGGAGTTTGGACATGATAGTTTTTTTTTTTTTCATGTTATTTAGGACAGGGATTATTTTATTTCAGGTCTGGCTTATCCAGCACCATAAATCTAGACGTTTGAGGAGTGTTCAGGTCATTCATTCAGCAAAGTAACTATGTTGAACAGACAGATGAGTTTTTCTGGGGAATTGTTCAGTGATTCTCAAAACAGTGTTCCTTTCTCTGACATCTTGTAGTGTCTCATCAGACAAGGGAAGGTCTCCGAGGACTCCGACATCTCCCCTTTCTCCAAGTTCCCAGAAACTGTCTGACCTTCCCGGCACTTCCCTGGACAGATCCAAGTCCTCAGTAGTGATGCCTGCGAGCACAGGAGGCCTTCAGCCCACGGCAGCCTTCACCGACGTGAACCTGACCTCCAGCAGGTCGGTCGGCGAGACAGCTTCACCACCAGGTGAGCGGGGCTGCATGCAGTTAACATCTTCAAACTCAGGTAGCAAACCTCATTCCTGAGACTTCTGTTGCTTTCAGCTCATCTATAGTGAAATGTTATTTCAGGTGAATGTGGTTAATCTTTGAAGTATTAAATGTGCAGGATAAAGAAAAGCATGAAAGATTAATTAGTGGTGATTTTTCCCATCTTGCCAGCTGATGTCAAAACAGTCTTGAGAAATGTGCACCAGATACACACTCTTAAGTGTTGGTATGTATGTGTATGCATTTATAGATGCATACACGGAATAAACTATTGAAGTACATTTTAGTAGGAAATCATTCTTTTCTACATAAAATAGCAACCTTCAGTGAAAAGTACATTTTAGAAGGCCGATGTCTTACTTCCTGAATGTCTCCGGGTGACAGTTGCTGTGTCCTTCCAGGTGCTAAGCGCTTTTCCCCTGCCGGCCTCCAGCACCGGATGACTGCAGAGCTCAGCTACCTGAGTGCCCTCGAGGAGTCTGTGCGTCAGCTCTCAGACGTGGAGCGTGTGAGAGGCATCTCGCTTGCTCAGCAGGAGAGTGTGTCTCTGGCTCAGGTCATAAAGGTATTTCTTCGTATTGATTCATGGGGAAGGCAGAGCAGCCGAATACTTCTTACGGTTCTCCAAGGGCTGCAGTGGCCAGGCGCCACCTGGAAATTCATCCAGGTCTCCCACATTTGTGGCAAAGGCCCCACTACTTGGACTGTCGTCTTGGGCAGAGCTGCGTGGAAGGGGAACAGCCAGGACTCAGGTCGGCGGGGGCACAGTGGATGGCACTGCTGCGCACAGCCCCTTACCCTCTGAGCTGCAGTGCTGACCCTGCAAGTTTCTTCCTCAGCTCTTGGTGGTTTCTCTATTTCCTTTGTTACTTAGACTAGTCTTAATAATGTGGAAAACACACATTATTTTAAACTTCCAAATAGAAACAAATAGTGTCATGTAAAGGGCTCTTCAAAAAATTAATAGAAATATATTCCATGAAAAATATATACATGGATTTTAAAATGTTTGTCCCCAAATTTATCTTTTTTAAGGTAAAATTATTTGAGGACAGGTGTGGTGGTATTTCAGGCTTACCCTCCGCATGTGGTGTTGGCATCCCATATGGAAGCCAGTTCGAGACTCAGCCGCTCCACTTGTGATCCAGCTCCCTGTCTTGTTTTGTTTTTTAAAACATGTATAACATGTGTTTTGATTTTTCTTATATAGGAGTATAATTGTGTAATTCATTTGTTAAGTATTTGAAATGTCATTAGAAGGTACTGTACTGTTCCCACCATGGTCCTAGCATTCTGTACTTGTACAGCAACACAGGAACAGTCCCGTCGTTTGCTTTGATTACTGTCATTTCATATCACCACTCTTTTCTAGTGATCATTCTGCCGTTTGTCATACACGACCCCATTGTTACTGTGATTTATAACTCTTAACTCATGAGGTTGATCATAATCTTTTTATTTGTTTTTAAAAATATTTGTTTACTTGTATTGGAAAGGCAGATTTATAAAGAGGGGCATAAAGAGAGAAAGATCTTCTGTCCACTGATTCATTCCCTAAGTGACTGAGCCGGTCTGAAGCCGGGAGCTTCTTCCTGCTCTCCCATGCAGTTGCAGGGGCCCAAGGCTTTCTTGGTCTCCTGTCCCCCACTGCTGTCCTGTGTCACAAACAGAGAGCTGCATGGGAAGTGAAGCAGCCTGGATACAAACTGGTACCTGTCTGGGATCCTGGTGCATGCAAGGCGAGGATTTAGTCATTGAGCCATTGCATTGGGCCATTTTTTAGATTTCTGACTTTTTATTTACAAATGTTTTAAAAATATCTGATTAATAATCTATCACCCATGTCACATTTGGGTTACCTTTGATAATCATTGAGTTACAAGCTATATGGTAAGTCTTGAGATTAGCATATGATTCCTTCGAATATTGTTCTTTGAGATAATTTTGTTCTTTGAGATAATTCTGGCTATCTTAGTTTTTGGTGTTTGTTTTGTTTTTGCAGTCTCACATAATTTTTAAAATCAGTTTATCAGTTGCTACCAAAAAAAAAACCTGACTGGATTTTCTTTTTAAAAATGTATTTATTTTTACTGAAAAAAAAAATACAGATTTATAGAGAGAAGGAAAGACAAACAGATCTATCTCTTGATTCATTTCCCAAATGGCCACAATGGCTTTAGCTTAGGTGATCCTAAGTGAAGAACTAGGAGCTTGGGACATCCTCTGCTGCTTTCCCAGGCCAAAAGCAGGGAGAGTTGGATGGAAGTGAAACAGCTGGGACACAAACCAGCTCCTCTGTAGAGTATTGGCCCCTTTGGGATTTTGGTCAGAATGGCATTGAATCTATAGATTAGTCTAAGGAGAACTTCTAACTTAATGTCCTCTAGATTTTGAACATGATATATTCTTCTATTTAGTTAAGTCTTTTAATATCTCTCAGCAAGAAAATTTTCCATGTTGAGGTCTTACACATTTTATAGCTTATTCCACATATTTTAGATTGCAGATTGTATTTTTAAAATTTCATTTTTCAGGTGTTCCTCCCAAAACCAAGATACAATTCTATGGGACTGTCCCATAATTTTGTGTTCCTGCATCCTTCTCACTGAGTAACAATAGAGCATCTAGGCACAGTGAGGGTAGAAACAACTTAGACATTTCTGAGTGCTGCATGGAGGAGTATGCAGAGAGGCTGATGGCTGCCATGTTGGTGTCCGCTAGACTCAGAAAGTGGCTCTGGGGTGGGGACCATGCTCGCCTAGAAATCCAAAGAAACTCTCAGATTTTTACCATTTTAATGGTACATTGTAGTTCTGGGTTGACAGATTGGGTCAGGACCATATATGACTTTACATAGGCTAACTACCTTTAGGGAACCTTAGCTATTTTTATTTAGCATTATTCCAAAATAGATGAAAATATGTACATTGATGGGTGAGATTATATGTAGTAAAGGCAAGACTCCTGGAATAAGGAGACTTTTCTGGGTGTATCATTTTTTATTAAACTCCTTTAAAGTCTAGAAAAAAACAATCAGGATTATAAAATGTGAAATACCTTTATTTTTATATTTAGGTCATATTTTTGTCTTTCCCAGATAGATGCTATAGCATTGCTCTCTAGGTTTTTGGTATCCTTTCTCTTGCATACCTTGGGAAAAGTTTACAGATCAACATTTGACCCTACATTCTAATGATTTTTATTTATTTTATTTGAAAGGCAGAGACATAAAGAGAAATAGAAGTATCCCATTCAATGGTTCATTGTGTAAATGCCTCGAACAAATAGTACTGGTTCAGTCTAAAGCCAGGAGTCAAAACTCAGTCTAGGCCTCCTATGTGAGTGGCAGGGACCCAAATATTGGAGCTGTCCACTGTTGTCCCCCAGGGTGCACGTTAGCAGGAACCTGGAATTGAGATTGGTGCAATTACCTCCCTGCACTCAGGCATTCCTGATGCAGATCGTGGGTCACCCCTAGCAGTGTGTTAACACTGTGCCAAATGTTAAATACTCTGATAAATGGTCCATTCTCCTTCCTTTACATTCTAATCAGTTGCTACAAATTATTTCTGTTGGGGAGATAGCACATTCATTGTAAGTCACTGTGCAAAAAGAATTCTGCATCTTGAGCGTTTCTTTATTTTGAAGGCACAGCAGCAACGCCATGAAAGAGATTTGGCCCTTCTGAAACTGAAGGCTGAGCAAGAGGCCCTGGAGTGTCAGAGACAATTAGAAGAAACCCGAAACAAAGCAGCTCAGGTAACTGACTCCATGGCAGGTAGTAGCTTTTTCAACCTATAGATCTTAGGAATCCCTTCCAAGTTGTTTTAATTATATAGGAGTGAAAAAGAAAAACTGTATGCATTATTTCAGTACTTAATATAGAATAAATTCATGTTATATCCTTTTTGTGGCAAACCTGTGAAATAGTCAAGATTTATCCCTAATGTAGAGATGTACCAGCAGAGCCAGTAACGTGGACACAGAGAGGGTCTGGGGATGAAGCACCAACAGGAAACCAGTGATGGTGGAAGTCTCTGCGAAGTCTCCCCTTATTGCTCCTTTGCCTCTCCTTATATCCTCTTCCCCCTACATCCTCATTTAGTAGGATATTGGATACAGATGAGTCCAATTAGTCTAGGTGTTTTTAGCTACAAGCCCAGTTCCTGTTCCCATCCAGGCTAACAAAAACCAATCAACTCCTTAGCCCACAACAGTGTGGCAGCTGAGGTACCTAACAGTTACCTACCTGTCCATAAACCCATGACCTCCTGAATAGCGCAGTTAAAATGCAAACCATGATCCAGATTGCAGTTTAATCTTCCCAGTGTAGTCAAGGCATTTGATTCATGAAATAAATTTACAAACTTGGAGAGGAGTTTGAAACATGAGTTGCTTATTCTCCTCCTTTATTTATAGGTCCATGCAGAATCATTACAGCAGGTGGTCAAATCTCAGCATGAAGTAACGGAAGTCCTACAGGAAGCAACACGTACGATAGCAGCCCAGCAAACAGAAACTGCTCGCCTCACCACAGATGCAGCACGCCAAATCTGTGAGGTAAGAACCACAGGGAATACAATTCTTTTTAGTTCTTTCTTACTCGATCTCAGTACTCTTGTTATTACCGGTCGTGGATTTCCAACAGCTAGCTAGCGAGCAAGTGCTTTGAATGAGTAATGTTATTGGGGAGGTCATGGTCTGCTGACATAAGAGACACTCGTTACTGACCGGTGTTGTAGTTATCAGTGTAAACAGGAAGGAACCAGTGGGGAAGAGCTCTAAACTCACGCTCGTGTAAGCTTTTGGAAAAGAATTGACTTGCTGATATGCACTTTGCAGACAAGAAATACATACATTTTAAGTATATAATGTCTGTTGTCCTCTATAATCAACATCATAATCGAGAGAGAGAAGTTTTTGTCACTCCAAAAAATCCCCTTTTTGCTTCTTGGTTGTCAGTCCCTAACATCAGGCCCAGGGAACCGCGGATGAGCTTTGTATGAATCTATCTCATTGGGCCTAAATGATGTTATTCTTTTATTTTGCTATAAGAAAAGTAAAGCCAGAAGTAGTTTTACTGATTCTTTTTAGAATCTCATAATCTGTAGACTCAGTTTTACTTTATTTTAGCAATTAAAAAAAATTTAAACAGAAGACTGTAAAATGACTCCTTTTTTCTAATAATAAATTTATTTTATTTTCAATGATGTTTGCATGGTTAAGAAGAATGTATGCCCATGTGGACCAACGATTAGAGTGAGGAGGGTCAAGGAATAGAGAGAAGTGGACGAGTCAACTGCTTCCAATGCCCTTTTTTTCTTTCTGTGTCTAGGAGAAGTGGGGAGAGAAGAGGAGAGGGCCACTCCCAGCAACTCAACAGTTGCATCAGTACCCAGGAGTGGCAACGGCCACCAGTGTTAGCCGAGGTTGCCCAATGTGGAGCATATTCCGAGGATATGGCTTACGTGTTTTTGATAGTTCTGAGATGCTGCTGGTTTTGTTTCTGCAGGGTGAGGAAATCCTTCCAAGGTCCATTGGCTGACATAGTCTCCCTTGGAGTCTTCACTCACCCAGATACTCATTGCCAAAGCTTGTTCTGCCCTCCATGGGCAGACGGAAATGATTCAGTTTTGTAAAAGATCCATGAACCTGCTGTGTGTTGGGCACTGTAAGGTCATACAAGAAAATATGAAGATTGAATCTTTTTCCTCAGTGAAATTTAAATGTAGTTAAATAACATCAATAGATTTCAACAATACTTTTAAGTCATCATTAGGAGTATCTTAAAATAGCAATTGAAAATATACAAATGAATAATACCTATAGAAGTTGCAATATGGTTAATAATAAGGAACATTTACTTCAGTGTTGGTTAGAAAATATTTAGGAAAATAATGACTAAATTTATTCTTGAAGGAAAATTTAATGTTGGTTTACTACTTCTCAAATGAATTAAAGATTTTCTGTCTAATTCTTATGTTATAATAACTTGGTATTGATGCAGTACAACTCTTTATTTTTATGAGATGAAGTTGTTGAGACTTAAAGAAGCTAAATGACATGCTCATAGTACTTATGTGTTATTGGCAGAATTCCTTGCTTTTAATCCAGTGTTCTTTCCAAGACACTGTGTTCCCTTTCAGTACATCTGTAATATGATATTTTTATGCTGACTTTTGCCTTTGTTATGTGTGTCCGTATTTAGATGGCAGAACTGACTCGAACCCATATCTCAGATGCCATCACTGGTTCAGGAGTTCCCCTAACAACATTGTACGACCACCAACGGCAGCACCTTCCAGAATTCATGAAACATCTGAGGACCAGAGCTGAAACAGATAGGTGAATATTCAACCATTCATCTAATGTGTGATGAATATCAGTTATGTCCTGGGCACTCTTCTGGGTACCAGGAGTATGGTAATGGACATTGAGTCTAGTGGGCAAGATAAACTGTAGACCTATATTCAGTTTAGTGAATGAGCTCCTGGTATTATGAAGGACAGGAACATGTGTCAGAGACATGCAATTCAGGAATCTGGACATGCAAGGAGGTCCGACCAGGCTTTCCAGAGGAGGAGAAGGTCATGGTGAGACCTGGTGCCTGGGGTGTCGGTGAGGAAAGGAGGTAAAGAGTAGGAGGACCGGGCCTGATGCTGTAGGTCAGCAGCTAAATCCTCGCCTGGCATCTGACGGGATCCCAAGTGGGCACAAGCTCATGTCCCAGTTGCTCTACTTCCCATCCAGCTCCCTGCTTATGGCCTAGGAAAGCAGTGGAGAATGGCCCATAGCTTTGAGACCCTATTCCTTCACGGGAGACCTAGAAGAAGCTCCTGGCTTTGGATCAGCTCAGCTCTGACCGCTATGGGGAGTGAACCAGTGGACAGAAGATCATGCTCTCTGTATCTGTTCCTCACTATATACCTACATTTCCAACCAAATAATAATAATAATAAATAATCTAAAAAAAAGAGTAGGAGAATCAAAAGTGCTGAAGGAAGAACATGGTATGTTTCAGAGGAGGTAAGTAAAGCCATGTGACTGGAGAAAGAGCAGAGAGGAAATAGGGTGAGATGGTGCTTCCTGGGGGGACCTCTCAGACTAGGATTTTGGAGTTTGTCCTGGAAACAATGAAGTTATGAACAGAGGTTTTTAGCCAGGGATGGGTGACATCATTTTTGTGTATGTGTTTTTAAATTTTCTTTCGATTATTAATATATATTAGGTCTTTTGACATTCAGTAATACTGGGAGTAATCATGTTTATTTCTCTTAATAAAGAAGTATTCATGGGCCCGCGCGATGGCGCAGTGGTTAAGGTCCTCACCTTGCACGCCCGGGATCCCATATGGGCACCAGTTCTAATCCCGGCAGCCCCGCTTTCCATCCAGCTCCCTACCTGTGGCCCGGGAAAGCAGTCGAGGACGGCCCAAAGCTTTGGGAACCTGCACCCACATGGAGACCTGGAAGAGGCTCCTGGCTTCGGATCGGCATAGCATCGGCCATTGTGCTCACTTGGGGAGTGAATCCTCTCTGTATATCCGCCTTTCCAATAAAAATAAATCTTAAAAATAAATAAATAAATGAATAAATAAATAAATAAATAAAGAAGCATTCATTAGATATTACATATCCTTTTCTATTGAATATTTTAAATACTTTCTAATAGTTCCTTCATGATTTCCATTCATTCAGACCTTAAGTCATATTATTGTAAGCAGTATCTAAAATCTTTATCTTGTTGAAGACTTCGAACGTTTATGTAATTGTGATTTTCTTTGCAGGGTGAGTCAGTCTGTTTCACTCTCCCAGAGTAAAGAAGGCACCGTTGACTCAAAGCAACACAAGTATTACTCTTCATATGATAGTTATTCTGACTCGTCAAGATACAAGAGGCATGAGCGAAGGTGAACAGAGCTGGATAATGAACTTTGAAAAATATTTCAATATAGCTTTTCTTTGACATCTTACTCTTGCATGCTTTTGTTGTTGTTGTTTGGTTTTGTTTAATGGAGCAGCATCTGCCCTTCAAAGTACTGTCTTCTCAGTTTCCAAAATAGTTGGTCCTTGCTGTAATACTAACCCTTGAGTGCCTAGTTGTGTAATCATTGCATAAGTTGCTTTTCCTACATTTAGTCTCCTAATGATGCTGTCTTCCTAGATTAGCGAGCTGAAGTCCATGGAGCGCTGTAGAAGCCCACCAGGGTCACAGAGTAGTTAGTGTCAAGCCAAGGATTTAAACCTTAATTTATCTGTCTTTAACACCTGTGTTTATTATGTATTTCCTTGTTAGTATTAATGTTAAAGGTTTTATTTATTTGAAAGGCAGAATTAGAGAAAAATGGAGTGACAGAGAGAGGAAAGTCTTTTATTTGCTGTTTTACTCTCCAAATGGCCGCAGTGAGCGGGACTGGGTCAGGCTGATGTCGGGATCAGGAGCTGCTTCTGCATCTCCTGGGTGGTTGCAGGGGCACAAGCATTTTGATGTCCTCTGCATTTGGTGTCCTCACTGAATTAGCGGGGGCTGGGTGAGATGTGGAGCAACTGGGACTGAAAACAAAGCCCACATGTGATGCCAGCACTGCTGAACAGCATAACCTTGTGTTCCACAGCACCAGCCCCAAGATGGACTGATTTGTATTATAAAAATGCTGAATATTTGGTGCTTGGCATTTTATTGGTGTTTAGCTTTCTGTTATGGTTCTGTCCTCACCTTGAAATCATTTTTATTCATGAGACTAAAAAATATGAAGGTTAATGTAGGATAACTACCAGCAGTTACTGAACACCTATGTGGGTCGGAAACTGTATGACCTTGACTTACTGACACTTATCTTCTCACTGATGTTTCTTTTAAGCCACCATAATCTGAATCTTTGCAATGGTTTCTTTTTAAAAAGTGTTTGATTACCTCCATGTATCTCTGTTCCTTTACTGAGCAGTTTTGAAGATTTTATTTTTATCATCTTCAAAAGAAATTCAGTGTCCATTAGCAGTAATTTCTTCTGTCCCCACTCTAGCAGCATTAATCCACTTCCTGTCTCCTTTGTGTTTGAATCTGCCCACTTTGGCATTAAGATCTGTGATGCTTTTGTAACTGGAATCTTTCACTTAACCTGATGTTTTGAGGGCTCATCTAAATGTAGTAAGGTATTATAGCCTCAATTATATGCCAGATATTTTGTTTCATAGATAGACCATATTGCACTTATCCATTCATCAGTTGATCAAAATTGACTGTGTAGTAGTGTGAACATTCATGTACGAGTTTTTGTGTAGACATTTTGATTTCTCTGGAGTATATACTTAGGAATGAAATTGTAAGGTCACATGGTAGGTCTGTTTAGGTTTTGAAAGAATTTAACTTTCTTAGAAAAAAATTTTTTTTATTTGACAGGCAAAGTCAGAGAAAGAGAAGGGATGGTGAGAGGGAGAGAGAGATACAGAGAGAAAGAGGAGATGGATCCTGCATCTTCTGGTTCACTTCCTAAATGATCATAATGTCCAGAGCTGGGTCAGGTTAAAGCCAAGAGCCAGGAACTTCTGGGTCTCCCACATTGGTGCAGGATCAAAGGATTTGGGCCATCATTCTTTTTTTTTTTTTTTTTAAGATTTATTTTTATTATTTTTTCATTGGAAAGGCGGATATACAGAGAGGAGACAGAGAGGAAGATCTTCCATCCGATGATTCACTCCCCCAGTGAGCGCAACGGCCAATACTATGCCGATCCGAAGCCAGGAGCCCTTCCGGTCTCCCACGCGGGTGCAGGGTCCCAGAACTTGGGCCGTCCTTGACTGCTTTCCCGGGCCACAGGCAGGGAGCTGGAAGGGAAGCGGGGCTGCCGGGATTAGAACCGGCGCCCATATGGGATCCAGGGCGTGTAAGGCGAGGACTTAACCACTTGCGCCACCGCGCCGGGCCCAGGCCATCATTCTTTGTTGGTTTCCCAGGTACATTCGCAGGGCGCTGGATGGGAAGTGGAACAGCCAGAACATGAAGTGGTGACCAGTTCATGAAGCAGCTTAATTTGCTGTACCATAGTGATGGCCCTTAATTTAACATTTTGAAGAAATTCTAAATGGTTTTTCAAAGCAGCTGCACTATTTCACATTCTTATAAGTTCAGAATTTTCCTGTGTCCTTACCAATACTTGTTACTGTCTTTTTGATTATGGCTATCCAAGGGAGGCCCAGGATTAATTATATCCCCTACACATAGCAAAGTTCTTAGCATACAGTCTGCAATCTGCTACATGTTTAATGAGTAAATCATTGGTTTATAACTACTGAGTGATAGAATTAGTATTTAACCTGATGAATACACATATTTTATCTAACAGCATTATTGTAAGATTTATCCTTTTTTTTTAAGATTTATTTATTTTTATTGGAAAGTCAAATCAGATTTACAAAGAGAAGGAGAAACAAAGATCTTCCATCTGTTGGTTCACTTCCCAAGTGGCCACAACAGCCGATCCAGAGCCAGGAGCTTCTTCCTGGTCTCCCAAGTAAGTGGAGGATCCCAAAACCTTGGGCTATCCTGCGCTGCTTTCCCACATGCAGGGAACTGATGTCCCTGCTGCTCCACTTCCCATCTAGCTCCTTGCTATTTATGCCTGGAAAAGCAGTGGAGGTTTGCCCAAGGATTTGGACCCCTTCATTCATGTGGAAGGCTTGGAAGAAACTCCTGACTCCTCCTGGCTTTGGACTGGTCTGTCTGCCTGTTGCAGCCATTTTGGGAGTGAACCAGTGGATGGAATATCTCTCTAATTCTGCCTTTCAAATAAGCAAAAAGATTTTTTTGAAGAAATCTAGATAGTTCATTAAGAACATTTCTACTAGGGCAATTGTGATTGAAGCAGATTGTAATAAATTGTGATGTTAATAAAAAGTGAGAGGAAGCCACCTTTCCCAGAAGTTTAACTTTTGAAATGAAAGGAGAAAAGGGTAGTTTAAACATGGCAATTGCCTTTTATGATTATTTCAGGATAAAACCTTCCTCTCTGCTATTCATCTTTTCTAGAATAGTTTATTCTCAAACTGTTGTATTGTTCTTCATTTTATATGGTGATTAGAACGTATAGTCCTTTGGCAAGATAACTTTACCTTGTAGTTATGATTCTTACTGCTTTTCAAAATTGTCCTTTAATGCTCATGAACAGAAGCAGTAGTGGTAGCAGCCGTCAAGAGAGTCCATCCTGTAAGGAACATGAGAAGAAACTTCCTGGTGAGCAGAGGGAGAATTCAGTTGAAGAACAGGTGCAGACTGCCGCGGATGACTCCCTGAGAAGTGACAGCGTTCCCTCTCTGCCTGATGAGAAAGGTAACTGCAAAATCACGTGGAACCTAGAGGAAACGTGGTCCTTATTGTAAAGTGGTAAATTGTTTGGCTAAATTGTGTTCTAGTGATTTGTGGAAAGTAGAAGTTAAAAGTGATGGTCTTGGGTATTTGGCTGAATATATTTCTAAGCAGAGTAATGAAAGTATGTCTTGGTTTCTCATTGCTTATAGTAAAAGAAAATAAAAAGCCAATTTGAATACTTGGGAGACTCTTAGCTTATCCATGTTGTAAAAAGCAGTATGGAAGCCTGATTTGAAGAGAATACCAAGGATGTGGCTTGATGGTCACTCCATGAAGAGATGACCTGTGAATCTGACCAGAAGCCAAGAGTAGGGATGAGATTGTACTCTTAATTAAACAGTTTGAATTTTAAAAGACAGGATGATATCTAGGGTTCCATTGGATGGGGTAACAAAAATCTTCCAGCTATGATCATGTTTTATTCAATAAAATGGAAAAATGACCCCTGCTGCTGTCGCCATGAGCCCAGAGGACACAAGCCCAGGTGGCAGCATCTTCAGTTTCAGAGGTGGGGTCATCTTAGGTTGGGGGGCCAGGCTGCCCTGTTTACAACCTTAGGGATTGAGAGTGTATGGCCTTTGCCCTGTGGGTCTAGAAAATGGAGTTGCCACTGTAATTGGCCGGGGGCAAAGCATCAAGCCAAAGATTGTTTTCTGGTATTAAGATCTAATGAAATCTGCTTTGCTGGTCATCAGACTTGCTTGGGACTTCTTTGTTCATTTCTGTTTGTCCTGTTTGCATGGGAATGTTTGTTCTATACCTCTCCCAACATTGTATTTTAAAATATTGTGTGTTATGGTTTTACGGATTCAAAATTGAACAGGAATATTGCCTCAGGATAGAATCATAACTTGAGTTCCACCCATTTCTGATATGGATGACCCATGAAAGGAAAATGGAGGTAGTGCACTGATTTATGTTTAAAGATTTTTGTTCTCTAAGTGACACTGTTAAAATGAAAAGGATAAGCTAGAAGCTGGAAGAAAGCTGCAAATCACATGTTAAAGGGCTTCTATCCTGAATATGGAAACAACTCCCAAATCTACAATAAAAACATCACAATTCCAAAGTGTATGTAACCTGCATCACTGTGAAAAAAAATCGGCAACTAGAGTTCAAGTTTGTGTACTTTTGTATTAGGCTTATAGTTTCCAGCCACAATACCAGTTTTGAAGTTACTTAGGCTAATTCTTTCCCCTACTCCCAACCTACTTCAATCCGGTTAAACACACATTTATACTACAGTTAGATTCATGTGTCACAAACTGCATTTCATTCTGTGGTCCTCCAGTATCTTGTTCGTTATGTATATGAGCTTGTGTTTATACATTACAGCTTAGTTTTTCTGATAATCCCAGGATGCACAACATCATACAAAGTATACAAATATCACATCATATATAGTTCCTTCAGCTGAGCTTTCTTGTTAGTAATCAACTACTTCCTCTTCCTCCAGATACCTGTAATCATTCATCTTTATTTCATCTTAAAAGTTTTGCCTTTTTCAAAATGCCATAAAAATGGTATAATCACTATATATCCTTTAGAGCTTTTTTTTTAAAAGATTTATTTATTTTTTATTGGAAAGGCAGATATAGAGAGGAAGATCTTCTGTCTGATGGTTCCCTCCCCAAGTGGCCACAGTGGCTGGAGCTGAGCCAGTCTGAAGTCAGGAGCCAGGAGCCTCCTCCAGGTCTCCCACACGAGTGCAGGATCCCAAGGCTTTGGGCTGTCCTTGACTGCTTTCCCAGCCAGAAGATGGGAACTAGATGAGAAGCGTGGCCCCTGGGATTAGAACTGATGCCCATATGGGATCCTGGCACGTTCAAGGCAAGGATTTTAGGTGCTAGGCCATCTTGCTGGGCCAAGCTTGTTCTTTTTAATAACTTAATGCTAGTTCATTGTGTGCATTAACTGAACATTTCATAAAGGACATTTTAGTTGATTTCACTTCCTGTCAATTACATATAACACTGCTATAAACGTTGGTATATAGGTTTTTGTGTGGATGTAAGTTTTCAAATCACTTGATAAATACTTTGCATTTGGTTGCTGTATGGTAGTATGAAAGTGTCGCTCACTATTGCTGTATCTTTTTGTGTTTTCATTGGCAGTGATTGTAAATTCCCATCTCTTTATATTCTTGCCACCAGTTTTTTATTACCAGGCTTTTGAATTTTACCCATTCTAAAATTCACATTGAAGTATCTCATTGTCATTCTAATTTCTCACTGATGACATATAATACTTAACACCTTTTCTTATATCTGTTTGCTGTCGGTGTATTTTCCAGAAAAAGGTGTCTGTTGAGATCAGAGCTCATTTTTAAATTCATATTGTTGAAAATCATGCTTATGAATTCTCGTTTGATCGTCCCATGGAGAGGCAAAAGATTGCTAAGTGAGTATCTGTTGAGAACAATTAAAATGATCTAGTTTCTCTACATTTTTTCTTAGATTCAACTTCAATTGCAACAGAGTATTCCTTTAAATTTGATGAATCCATGACGGAAGATGAAATAGAAGAGAAATCGTTTCGGTCCTTACTGCCTTCTGAGAGTCACCGCAGATTCAACATGGAGAAGAAGAGAGGCCACCAGGAGGACTCCGATGAAGAAGCTTCCCCAGAGAAGACCTCGCTGTCTTCTGCCAAGGTGAGTTTTTCTTTCACGTAGGGTGAACCAGGAAGGTGCATTTCATATTGAACTTAATTGTCAGCTACCACGATTAGTGTGCCAGGATATTTTATGGTTTTTTTTTTTCTGTGAAATCTTAGTTCACTTTCCTTACAGAGCAGGGTACTAATCTATGCTTTGAGTGATATGTGAAGCCTCTGAGGTTCTTAGCCATTACTGTATTTCTGGCTCTCTCGCTTGTTTCAGTCTTTTTATACTTTTTCCATTAAAAAACTTACATTCAGGTTAGGCATTTGCTGAAGTAGTTTAAGATGCTGCTTGAGACACCCACGTCCCCATCACAGAGCCTCGGTCCCACCTCGCTCTATTGAGTGCACCTTCCTGCTGATGCACACTGACGAGGCCACAGCAGCAAGTAGTTGGGTGTCTGCTACTCGTGTGGGCACCCAGACCGAGTTCCTAGTTACCGACTGTGCTTTGGCCCAGCTTCAGCTGTTGGAGGCATTTGGGGAGTGAATTAGTGGTTGAAAGCACTCTTTCCTTTTCACACAAATGAAAAAATCAGATTACATTCATTCTTAGCAGATCATGTACTTTTTAAAAAAAAAGATTGTTTTATTTATTTGAAGGCAGAATTAGAGTTAGAGGGAGATATCTTTCATCTGTTGCCTCACTCCCCAAATGACTGCATTAGCCGGGCTGGACCAGGCCAAACGCAGGAGTGTAGAATTCCATCTGGGTCTCTCCCACATTGGTGGCAGGGGCCCGTGCACTTGGGCCATCTTCTGCTGCTTTCCCAGGAACATTGGCAGGGAGCTGGATCAGAAGTGAAGCAGCCAGAACATAAAGCAGCCCCCATATGGATGCCTGCATTTCAACAAGTGGCTTAAGCTGCAGATGCTGATGTCAGGTACCTTTTAGAACAGAAGCGCCTTGTTACCCTACTTTGTATCACCTGAGAACAGTCTAGTCATAGTTACTAAAATCCAGTTGGCTGGACAAATTAGTACGTTTTAAACTTTCTTCTGTTCCATTTTTTTTTTTCCCGTATGTGCCATTTTAAGGAATATTCTTTCACATTATTGGTGATCTTGATAAATCTATTTTATTTTTATAAGTGCATACCTCTTTTAATGAAAGCATGTCCCAGAAGATTGCAAAGGTGACAAACCAGATGAACTGCTTCCTTTAGGAGCTGAGCATGCCATTCTCCGGAGGGCAGGACAGCTTTTCCAGGTTTACCATGGAGATGGTCCGGCAGTACATGAAGGAAGAGGAAATGAGGGCAGCCCACCAGTCCTCACTGCTGCGGCTCCGTGAGAAGGCCCTGAAGGAGAAGACTAAGGCCGAGCTAGCCTGGCTGGAGCATCAGAAAAAGTACGTGCTCTCAGTGAGCGTGGGTCTCGTGTTTCGGTTGTACTTCATGAAATGAAGCTGATTGCGGATATTTTTGTTTCATTCAGTTTGATCAATACAGTTTTTTATACTAGAAACAGAGCAGTAATCCTCGATTCATGTTAACTAAGCGTTTGCTTCATACCCACATAGCTTTTTTTAAAAAAATTTCTTCTGCTACCTAACCAACTAATCTTATTTTGTACTTCATTCTTCTAAAATGTTGTACAAAAAATAAATAAAATATTGTATATTTCCCAAAGTCTGTGTCTTTAAAGGACTTACTCTAGGGCTTTTTGTATATGTTTGAATTTGATCTTTGCCTCCATGAAACTTCTATCTGCAGACATCTGCGAGACAAAGGAGAGGATGATAAAATGCCCCCACTCCGGAAGAAGCAGCGCGGGCTACTTCTGCGACTGCAGCAAGAGAAGGTATGTGGGGAGACACAGCCCTCTAGGACAGTTCATCTTAGGCTGTTTTGTGAGTCCTTTCTCTTGCCAGATCTCCTTTTCTTCTTATCACCTTGAATGAGATGTAGCTGTACTTAACCTGATGACACCTATACTGCTATAGTTACAGGCAATCCGCCTCGTTTCTTCCAAGTTAGGATTGTGCATCACTACCTAATGTATACAGTCAGCCTTCGCTGTCATGTTATACATGGAATAAAGTAGTCTTTTGAAATGGCTAGTTAAAGATTTGCCAAAATTAGAGTTTTTTTCTTGTAGAAGAACAAGATGCAGAGTACATGTAGTATTATGCTATTCTTGTAAATTTTTAAAGTAGCCAATTAGTAGCATAATTCTGTGAAATGCTAGTATATCAAAGTAGGGGGATGCCCCAACTAGGTTCTGGGTTCCACTAGTGAGCACAAGGGTTGGAATTGGGGCAACGGTCTGGGCAGCACATGGCTGCAGTGTCCCTTGGCATGGGTGTGGACTGGATCTGGATTGTGCCAGACTGGGCTATACTCTAGCACACACTGGTGCTCTTGAGAGCCCGGATGGGTGTGGGATAGCTGAGCTGGGTCTTGGCTTCCTCCTGCCTCTGAGCCATGTGTGAGCTATGTTTAGGTGTGGTCCCGGTGGTTGAGCTGTAGCTCCCAAAGCTAAAGCCGGAATGGGTGTGAGCAAGTTGAGGCGAGGAGGTGGGCTACGATAGGACATGGGCTATGATAGGAGGTGGGCTAAGTCAGCCTGGGCCAAGGACCCACCAGTGTGCACAAGATCTGCCATTGGGAGGAGACCTGTTAGAGGAGCTTGGGGAACTGCTTTGTCAGGGTGCAGTCCCTGCAGGTGAGTGCAAGTACCAAGGCAAAGAACAGCTCAGACCAGGCCAGGTTATAGTAGCTACCGGCATTCGTGGAACAAGCTGGGCCAGTTCATAACACACATTGGCAGAGCAGATCTGAGAAACAGGACAGGGTGCCAAGATGGGCCAGGTTGGGCCACAGCACCAGCCAGTTCCCATTTGGGCCAGGACTTGGGGGACTGGCTGGGCCTGGTTGGGTGGCAGCACCGGCCAGTGCAAGCTGAAACAGGGATAGACTGCACCGGACTGGCTACAGCACCCATTGGCAAATGCTAAAGTGAGATGGGCCATGCCAGGTTGGGCCACGCACCCACCAGCACAAGTGAGACCAGGGAGTGAGTGGATGTGAGCCTGGTAGTGGAGCTATGGGGACTCTCCTGGGCCAGTGTTCCTGCTGGTGAGTGTGAGATCTGGGACTGGAACAAATCAGGCTGGGCAGGGCTGTAACACCTACTGGCCTGGATGTGAATTGGGCTAGGGGATAGCTAGGCTGGGCCAACTGACTGTACCCACTGGTTCAGGCATGAGCCAGAGTAAGGGCAAGCTGGTTGGACTTTGCCACAGCATCAGCTGGCAGGTGGTAAGAGTTGGGGGGCAAATCCTGTCAAGCTAGACTATAGAACCATCTGGAGAGTACAAGATCCAGGGCTGGGTGTGGGCCCAAATAGGGAAACTGGGCACCTCTCTGATGGGCTGCAACTCTCACTGGTGAGCATGAGAACCAGGACCGGGGCTGTGCCTGGCTAGACAGGCAGTGGCACCCGCTGGAATGAGTGTGGGCTGGAGGGTGGAGTCGGTTGGGATGAGTTAGACTTCAAAGCTCAATTATGTGTACAAGAGCTGAGTGAGATGTGGGACATACCAGACCAGTCCATTACATATTCTGGTAGACATAGAAATCAGGGCTTGGGGCTGGTCCAGTGGGGGTTATTGGGAGTCGCTCTGACTAGGCTGCATCTCCCGCTGGTGTACATGTGGGCAGACTGTGGTGGGCAGGGTTGAGCTAGGCCACAGCACCTACTGGTTTGTGTAAGACATGGGGGCGGAGATAGATCTGACTTAGGAATTGGAATTACCAGTGTGGACATAGACTGCTGTGAGTGACAGAATGAACTGGACCCAGTACAGGTGGGCGCACATGCAAGAGATAGGTCTGAGACAAGATTTCTTTGAGGGTCTTCCGGCTAAACCACTGGACTCTAACTCCAGCCATGGAGAGAATGGCAGGACCTGTGGTCTGACAGTGGAATGCATGTGTCAAAACTAGGCCTCCTCAGTGACTTAGAGCCATAGACGGCATATCCAGAAGCACATGGAGGATATGTCAGACCATTGGAGCCTGTAGAGGACACCTGGTACCATAGCTGAGGAAGGGGGGCAGAACAAATTGGACTACTAACCCATGAAGCATGATAGCAAATGGAGACCCGGGTGGACTGTGTCAGCCACTGGGCCTTGGAAGGATATCCACATGCTTGCATCTGTGAGATCAACATTTCACAACTATAGAAACCACTTGAACAGACCCCTTGGAGCATGCTCTACATCGGGGACTTTGGGATGACATTGGGTGGCTGTTTGCCAACCCCGGGTGTTGAGGCGGTTGGGAGACTGGGTGTGGTTTCTCCTCTTGACTCTTCCCTTTCCCCAGGTACAGGAAGAAGTAAAGGAGATGTTGAAATAATAGTCTCACCCACTTTCCCCTGATCCTGGACCCTTCCTACCCTGATCAACTATATAAACATCATCAAAATAAAAATCTTTAAAAATGCGTATAAGGCCAACACATACTCATAAGAAAATAAGAGTGTACAGGAACCAATAATGTCAGTATTAGAGAAAGTGTTGGACCCTGAGAGTCACCCCTGGCGTCTCGGGGCGCCCCAGTGTCCTGTGGGCTGCTCTCTGACCTGGACAGTGTCGGTGTCTTCGTCATGATTACCTCATTGGCAAGGAGCAGAGGTAGACAAACGTGAAGACTGAACTGTATTGAACTTCAGCAGTTATTAATAGTAAGGCATATCATCTTTTGTCCACTTAATTAGCCATCAACACATAATATCCTGAATGGAGAGAAATTGATACAATGTATTCTTACTTTCTGGCAGCACCGTAAGCAGAAACAATCTTTTTATGAAAGCATTTTTTAAAATTTCAAGGATCATTAAAAGACTCATCATCTTTGATTTTTCTTCCTGTTCTTAAGTTCTCCTAAAAAACTAGTTCATAGTATGAGGCAATTAATTATAGGCATTAAAACATTATTTTGGATAGTGAAAAATTATGAGGATCTAAGAATTTAATAATAGGGATTGTTAGTTGACTTGCCATGCAACTAAACAACTGGTAGGACCGAGCGGCATTACTCAGAGATGTGAAAGGTATTAAGTTTAGAAAAGGAGTGTGAAATTGTTGGTTTGTTACAGTATCACTTATTTAAATTAAAGGATCACATTTATTTATTTCAGAGTGATGGATGTGTTTATGACTTTCCCCCTTTCTTTGAAATGTTTCTGCTTTTACCTAGTTTTTAATATGTGATGATTGGATTTTCTTTTTAAAATACTACACGTGGTTGCTTGAAATCTCAGTTTCCTCACTCTTTAAACCTTAGGCAGAAATAAAACGCCTTCAGGAAGCCAACAAGGCAGCTCGGAAGGAGCGGCAGCTGATTCTTAAGCAGCAGGAGGAGATAGAGAGGATCCGACAGACGACCATGAAGCTGCAGGAGAGGCTAAAATCTGCAGGCGAAAACAAACTGGTGAGTATGATGCAATTACTACGAGCTTGTGTTCTGTCTAATGAGGTGTCCGCATACCTTACCTTGCCTTCTGTTCTAATCTGTTGGATGCATTCATTCAAAGCCTGTGATAACAATAATGAAGGGCTTGTATGGGCCTATAGGTATGGGGAGAGTTTTTATCTTTTTCCCGTGGAATACTCAAATTTTGAAAGCAGCGCAAGATTTTTATATTAGCTTCAGCGTATTTTGCTTATAGGTAGGCATTTGGTCTGTTAAATGCCGGCTGGGGATCTGGTGCGGTGGCCTAATGGTTAAAGTCCTTGCCTTGCACATGCTGGGATCCCGTACAGGTGCCGATTCTAATCCTGGTGGCCCTGCCTCCCATCCAGCTCCCTGCTTGTGCCCTGAGAAATCAGCTGAGGATTGGCCAAAGCCTTGGGACCCTGCACCCATGTCGGAGACCTGGAAGAGGCCTCAGGCTCCTGGTTTCAATTGCCTCAGCTCTGGCCGCTGTGGCCACTTGGGGAGTGAATCAGCAGATGGAAGAGCTTCCTCTCTGTCTCTCTTCATCTCTGTATATATGACTTCTAAAAAAATAAATCTTAAAAAAAAAAAAAGATGCTGGCTGGTATCATCCCATTTTGGACTTTCTGGGCTGGGGTCTGACCGACTGCGCAGTCCTGCTGTTGCAGGCGCTGGGAAGCACAGGGTGATGGCTCAAGCCTCTGTTACAGTCTCCTGAGGTCAGTGTCGCTTAGCTCCGGGCGGTTGTTGCAGGCGTTGCGCAGTGAACCAGTGGGTGAAAGTACTTGCTCATACCCTCTATCTCTTGCAAATTACAGGGGAAAAAAAGCCTTCTACTTATAGACTAAATTAGGACACAGAACTTGCTTCTGCTTATCACTCCAAATTTACTCTATGGAACTCATATGCTGTTTCTGTGATAAATATTTCAATTATTCAGCTTTAATACAGTGATACAAGATTCAAAGGAAAGGATCAGACAAAAACTAAGGAATATATTATATAGATATACAGTACTAGTTGGAAAACCCAGATATAACAATATAATCTGAAAAGATCTCAAGTGTTTTCTGCTTTGTTCTTTTTTTTGGAAAGTAAGATATACAGAGAGGAAGATCTTCTATTCGTTGATTTATTCCCCTCGCGGCTACAACCGCGGAGCTGCGCTGCTCTAAAGCCAGCAGCCCAGGGCCTCTTCTGGGTCTCCCACATGGGTGCAGGGTCCCAAGCTGTCCTTGACTGCTTTCCCAGGCCACAAGCAGGGAGCTGGATGGGAAATGGGGCCCGGATTAGACCATATGAGATCCCAGCACATTCTAGGCGAGGACTTCAGCCACTAGGCCACCCCACTGGGCCACTCTGCTTTGGTTTTTTAATGGCACTTTAAATTTTAAAACAATGCCAAACAAAAGTTCACAGTAAAGATAATTATTTTCCCCAGTCATTTGAGAGTAAGAAAACAAGAGGTTAGAATTGATATGTTACTACTAATTAGCAGGACTGCTGGGATTAGAACTGGCCTGTTCAAGGCGAGGACTTTAACCACTGCGCTATCATGCCAGGCCCGAGGAAGATTGTTTATAAATCAAAATTTGGTAAGCATGTTCATTGTCATTTAAATTTAGGTTCTAATACACAGCAAATCTTGGCAATATATTAAGTATATGTAGACAATTGACATGGATATTTATGTACTGATGCCACTTCAAAAGTTTGCAGAAATTGAATTAAAAGATTTATTTTGGTTCAAAACATCTGAAATCTATGCATGTGATGAGTGTTGAAAAAAATTTCATGGGTTCATGAAAATGAATATTATGAAAAATGCTGTGCATGAATTCAAAAATAATTTTAACCAAATAAACTTTTTATTATATCCCATAAACTGTTAGAAGTTCATATTATAAAAATTATGAGCCCAGGGCCTGCCACGGTGGCCTAGCAGCTAAAGTACTCGCCTTGAACACACCAGGATCCCATGTGGGCGCCGGTTATAATCCCAGCTGCCCCACTTCCCATCCAGCTCCCTTCTTGTGGCCTGGGAAAGCAGTCGATGACAGCCTTGGGACCCTGCACTCATGTGGAGATTTGAAAGAAGTTCCTGGCTCCTGGCTTCGGTTGTTGCAGTCACTTGGGGAGTGAATCTTCGAATGGAAGATCTTCCTCTCTGTATATCTGACTTTGCAATAAAAATAAAAATTAAAAAAATCTTTAAACAAAAAAAAAAAATTAGGAGCTCAGTTTAATGTCTCAAATTCCAATTCATCACAAGACTTAACTTTTTTTTAGTTACTTTTTTTTACTGTGAATGAGAGAGAAGGAATTGGCCAGTAGTCCCATCTTATTGCCTTCCCGGATACCTGCAGCAGCTAGCACTGGGCCTCTGCAGAGCCACGAGCCAGGAGTCCCTTAGACAAGACCTCCCTGGTGCTCCCAGGCGTGTCAGCAGGAAGCTGAGATTAGAAGTGGAGTCAGGACTCAAACCCACACACTGACATGTGGATGTGACTCACGTGGTGTTTTATCTTGAAAGATTTCTTTATTTTTATTGAAAAGGCAGATCAGATTTACAGAGAGAAGAGACACAGAAAGATCTTCAACCCGCTGGGTCCCAGGTGATATCTTAACAGCTATGCTAAGCTCCACCCCAAATTTTTTTTCCCCCGAATCTTTCTGAAGTATGTGGTTTTTTGGTACATGTTAAATGCTATCTTAATTTCAGGCTTATTATAAGCTTTGTTTTGAGAATGAAGTTAACTTTGAATTGATAGTTTGTAGATCGCTTTACGATCCTTTTAAAGGTGGTAAGCTTTAGCCTTTTGTTTGCAGGACTCCCGTAGTGAGTGTGATATGCAGGATAATAAAGCAGCTAGTCCTGGTCCAGCCGACGTGGAGACCCGCAGTCCTTCTCCCATCTCCATCTCCAGCAGTGAAACTAGCAGCATTATGCAGAAACTGAAGAAAATGAGAAGCCGTATGGATGAAAAGTAATTCATTTTTGTAAATATCTCCTGTGTAGTTACCTTGAAAGTAGTAGGAATGAGTAATATTTTGATATACTTCATTAGATTACATAGTTGATATACTTTGTTATATAGTATTAGATTTTATAGTTGATATACTTTATACTTTTGTACTTTATAGCCCGCATATTTTAACATGCTTTATTAAATTAAAACAAAAATATTTTATGAATTCAGTAGCATTTTGGTAGAATTACTAGATTAACCTAGGAGTCAGTTAACTAGAACTTACTTGTAATCAGTTCTTCTTGCTTTAATAAAATTAGGTTTCTTATTTTAAAAAAATATTTTTTGCATGTATATAAACATGACAGTGTTTTTCCTTTCATACTTTTAAGGATAGGTAATTTCTAGCATTTTGGGGCAGCAGCTTGTTGTGTATACTGGCATCTTACTATGTATCAGGCTTATCTGTCGGAAGAGTAACATTTTAGCCTCTGAGTAGGTATGAGTTGTTCAACTAAAACCAGAAACGACTGCCATCCTCTTGGGATGTTGACTGATTTGGCATTCTAACCTTTCTCTGAAAGGTTTCTAAAAATTCTTTTATAAGACCCTTTTAAAGAAAATTACTCCTGCTGGGCTGTAACTCAGTTGTACATCAGCTTTGACCAAATAAAAGGACATTTACATAAATGTTCAGGTTTTACACTTGCAACATAAATGACATTTACATAAATTCATTTATTTGCTGCTGGGTATGCATTGAATTAAATGCAGTGGTAAATTAGCTGCCTGTGGACTCTGTCCTTGCCTGAGTAACTTCTGCCTGAAGCTGCTTCAGTATGAAAAAGACAACCATTGGAAAACTTTCTGCTTTTTCAAAGTAGCGATTTGAACCACAGCTTCAGCTTGAATTGTGTCTATGTCTTTCCACAGTGTGTGTTACATCACCAAATTTAGTAATGTGCTGTAGTTACATGTGACACCACCAGTAATACAGTTCGTTTTGAATAGTCGTGAGACTTCCTATTGATGCACGTACTTCAAAATGCTCAGAGAAAAGAGAATGAAAAACTAAATCCATGCGTTCTAGGGAAATTTAAAAAGTTTATGAAATTTTCATATTATAAGAAAAGTATGAATGAATTTCAGCAGTTTTACCCCAAAATAAACTCATTTTAATTTCATTCTTGCATGAAGTACTACACCTTGTCAATAAACTGGCAAGACAGCCATTTCATAACTTAAAAATACTTAAATTGATCATGAAAATAGCTTTGCAAAATACATACATATTTTAAGTTTAACAATATAAGAGAGTGAGATCCTATATTTAAAAATACCTGGGATTCCTTTTCTGTGACTTCCAGGGGTTAGACTAAGAATTCTTTGGATAATTATTTATTGAAATTTAGACCAGAGAGGCTTTCTTTCTTGCCTGATAGTTTTTTAAAAAGATTTGTTTATTTATTTGAAAGTAAGAAAGATAGGGAGAGACGCTATACGGGGCTGAGCCAGGCTAAGCCAGGAGCCAGAAGCACCATCTGTGTCTGTCTCATGTGAGTAGAAGGGCCCCAACTGCTTCAGTCAGCTTCCATGGAACTGGATCAGAAGTGGAGCAGCTGGGACTGGAACCAGAACCCATATACAGTGCCAGCTTTGTAGGTGGTAGCTTAATGAGCATATATCAGAATCCTATATGGGCACCAGTTCATGTCCTGGCTGCCCCACTTTCCATCCAGCTCCCTGCTTGTGACCTGGAAATGCAGTCAAGAATGGCCCAGGGTTTTGGGACTCTGCACCCATGTGGGAGATCTGGAAGAAGCTCCTGGCTCATGGCTTCGAATCAGCTCAGCTCTGGCCGTTTTGGCCACTTGGAGAGTGAATCAGCAGACGAAAGATCTTTGTCTCTCCTTTCTGCAAATCTGACTTTCCAATAAAAGTAAAGAAATATTTTTAAAAAAAGATTATTCATTTTTGAAAGGCTGGATTGCAGAAGATGCACAGATTATTTCATCCATTGGTTTACTCCCCAACAGCCACAACAGCTGAGGTTGAACCAGGCTGAAAGCAGGATCTAGGGATTTCATGTGGGTCTCCTGTGTGGGTCCCCTGTGTGGGTTCCATGTGGGTGCAGGGTCCCAAGGCCTTGGGCCGTCCTCAACTGCCTTCCCAGGCCACAAGCAGGGAGCTGGATGGGAAGAGGGGCCGCCGGGATTAGAACCAGCACCCATATGGGATCCTGGCGCGTTCGAGACGAGGATTTTTAGCCACTAGGCCATCATGCCAGGCCCCAAAAATAACTTCTTAAGAAGGAGTTATCCCAGGCCTGGCACCATGGCTCAATTAGCTAATCCTCCCCTGGCAAGCCCGTGTCCCGGTTGCTTAGCTTCCCATCCGGTTCATGCTTATGGCCTGGGAAGCAAAGAAGGGTGGCACAAAGCTTTGGGATCCTGTTTCCCACATGGGAGTCCTAGAAGAAGCTCCTGGCTGCTAGCTTAGGATCATCACAGCTTCTGCCATTGTGGCCACTTGGGGAAGAAGTCAGTGGATGAAAGATAGTTCTATCTCTCCTCCTCTCTCTAAATCTGCCTTTCAATGAAAATAACTACGTCTTTAAAAAAATTAATTTCTATAAGAAATGTGCTTCAAATTTATACTCTTTGAGCTGGATAACTTTGTAGATAAAAATTACAGCATCCAAAGCTTAGAAATAAGATATAAGGACACCTCTGTATCTTTGCAGTGTTATATGGGATTTATTCCACGGAAGAATGTGTCTTTGATTTACTGTTTACCACTGTGAGGGGTTTTAAAATCCTCATTTCTCATATATGTTGCACACAAGTGGGAGACACAAGGGCCGGCATTCTGGCATAGCTGGTTAAGCTGCCACCTACAGCCCTGGCCTCCTGCGTGGCCTCAGGTTCAAGACCTGGCTGCTGCACTTCTGATCCAGCTTCCTGCTAACAGCCTGGGAAAGCAGCAGAGTGAGCCAGTGGATGGGAGAGCTTTCTCTTTTTCTCTCCCCTTCGCTATCCCTATCAAATAAATAAATGTTTTTTACAGAAGAGACTTACTTCACTAATTTGAAAGTCAGAATGACAAAGACAAGAATGACAGGTCTTTCCTCTGCTGCTTCACCCCCCACATAACCACAGGGGGGAAGCCCACGCGGAGCCCAGCACCTGGCTTCAGCCTCGGGGGAGTGAACCAGTGGACAGAAGACCTCTCTCTGTAAATCTGGCTTTAAGTAAACAAACTTAAGAAATAATACATAAATATCAAACTGCTTTGATTACTTAAAACTAGTCTTCAGTAGAAATTAATCTTTCTGAATTGTGTTTGCTGAAACTAGAGAGGTCCTCGAGTTGAACAGCATTTCAGTAGAAGTTGGAGAGTGAAAATCTGATTTCTCACTAATGCCCAGGGTTCAGGCAAGGAAACACAGTGGTTGTGTACTGCATTAAACCTGCTGTGTACCTCTCACGGTCTGCAGCTTGTCGGGACGGCACTGTGACATTGACAGTGCCTGGTAGTGTGATTTTCTGTAGTCATTTAGGTTCTGCCATTCACAAATTTAATTTTTTTTCCTTAACTTGTATAACATCTGGGAAGATTGTTGCCTCTTTTAGGAATTACTGGTATTTTATCTCAACTTCATTTTGCTTTTAAAGGGTATACTAGTGTTCTCTGTCTCTCTCCCTCTCTCTCTCTCTCTCTCTCTCACACACACACACACACACACACACACGTATGTATTTTAAATTTTATGATTTAAAAGGCAAAGGAGGGCAGAGAGATTTCCCACCCACTGGTTCACTCCCCAAATGGCACAACAGTCAGAACTAGGCCAGGCTGAAGCCAGAAGCCAGGAGCTTCATCTACGTATCCTACCCAGATGCCCACTGCTTTCCCTGGCATGTTAGTAGGGAGCTGGGTCAGAAGTGGAACACCTAAAATTCGAATTGGCACCTGTATGGCATGCTGGCATTGCAAGCAACAGCTTAATGCATTATACCACAGTGCCAACCTCTGGACTATATTTACATTTCATTAGGAACAAATTTTCTGGAAAGAAATTCTAACTTTAAAACTTTTCCTACATCCTTTCTGAAGCTATTTTATTTTGATTTTATATTGGCCATTTCTTTTGTCCTGTGTTTCTAAGCTAGGATTTTTGAATATACTTAGTTTTTATAAGTGAAAAATAAGTGTCAACCCTCATTCTAATTGAAAAGGTTGCCGTTCTGTATTGGGTTGAACAAAAAAATCTAAACAATATTTTCACAGTTCATTTCACATGTTCCAATATTTACTTTTTGTATTAGGTCATGCATGTGTTTAGCGGTTATATATCTAAGAGGGTGGGTGAAATTTTAATGTTTGAATCTATTTTTGAGCTTTTTCTGTGTAAATTTGTCTTTGCAAAACATTTTGATAATTTGTATCAAAATAAATTTATTGTTCATTCTGAAAGAATGACAAGGAAAATTGCAGTGTCTTCCTAAAATTTGGCAAAAAAATTTTTTCCTTGAACTTCAGTACAGAAAATCAAGGCAATCCAGATGTGTGTGTGTGTGTGTGTGTGTGTGTGTGTGTGTGTGTGTGTGTGTGTGTGTGCATGTGTGTTTGCATCTGTAAATAAAGGGGAGATAAGTGCTGTGCTCCATTTGGGGAACAGACATTAAAATAGTCTTTTATTTAAAGATACAAGTACACAAGATTACACAGGCCTTTAAAAATCTAAATGAGTGGCTGGATTCATACCTGGATTTTCTCACCTCGGTGATGTACTGATGCGTGCCTAGCCCTCCCAAGGCAGTAAATGGTGCCTTGCTTTGTGAGCTGCTGTGGTGTCCATGTGAGCAGAAGCATGCTCTGTCAAAGAGAACTGACCTGCCCCAACTCCTGGTAGACTTAAACCTTTGTATATAAATTATGTACAGTGATTTACTCTTATAAAGAACTATGGTTTGTAAAGTAACTTTGTATATGGAATTTTTTTTCCTTATGCTTGGGCTTTAACAGGCAGTATTCATTGAAACGAGCTCACTTGATTCTTAACTGTACATCCTGTTATTTTATAGGCTGGGTTTATATTTTAATAATATTACTAGGGCTGGAGAAACTGATTTAAAGCAAGATACCTCCAGTGAGTCCTGTTAACAGCAAGGTTTATGTTGTAGATGTTAGCAGGGTTATTTCCTATAAGTAAGTTTCTAAATTATTATTTTCAAGCTAGCTTTTGGTGGTGAGATTAGAAAATACACGGCAGGGTACAGATGAAAATTAGTCTCAGGATTATACACGTGTGCTGATGTACTGGGTTCAAGGCTGTGACTGCTGTACTGTATGTTAAAGCATCTTTGAAAACTTACTGAGCGTCCACAGAGTACTCCTTAGTAATCTACTCTCACAGACAAGTACGTTTTTTCTGCAACTATGGACGATGGTGAAGTTCCGGTTGAGAAAGGCATGTTCATTTAGAAATTATTGGTAAGATCATTAGACGTGGTTTTTATGTCACATGGATTCAAGCACATGCGTTAACTGAGCAGCTTATGAAATTCTTCAGGAAGCATATAAAAGGTCTTTACTCAGCTTTTTGCTTTCCCCTTTTTCATTCTTCCTGCCTCTTGTTCTCTTGGGTTTAAAATCTCGCTCCTTCTTTTGTAGACACTGCTCTCCTGTTCACTACTTCTTCTCTGTCTTTACGTCTCATCACTGGGCCTCTCTCAGTGTCTGTTTCCCCAACCTCCATCCCAAATTCCAGCTGTATATCTACAACCAGTTGGTCAGGTAACTCAGCACCTTTCTCAGTGCACTCTCTGATAGAGCATGCTCTGATCTGTTTGGTTTGTTTGCCTTTTTTTCTTCTCTTCTTCTCTTTTTTTTTAACAGCCTTGAGGCCTGTTGTCAAATGTCACCTAGATTTTACCTTTTTTTTTTCCTCATTAATCTGACATGATTGCTCAAGCGGTTGAGTGGCAGTTCCTCTTGTACCTTTTGCTTGTTGGACGTGTGAATGCATTTTTGTTGGTTGGTTGGTTGGTTAACACCAGTGATATAAGCTGCTCACCTTTTATATAGCTGTGGCATCTACATTTGAAAAAAGCTTATTGCAGCCCCTAAACTAATCAAGTGATTTCCCCCTAAATCAAATATTTCTCAATCCTTTGAGCCTACAATCAGATTAAATTGAGGGGTTTGATAAATTCTTTTATTAAAATAAATTCTTATGTACATAAGACATTTGACTAATGAACAGTGTGTTCTCTGTGAAGAACAACTGGGCATGTCTCGGGTGGCAGGAGCTAAGCCAGACAGGATCTGATAATTAAAGTAAAACAGGCATGTGAACATACTTTCATTTGTTTGCTTGCTTCTTTGGGGATTTGGGGGTTGTTATTTGTTAATTTTGGTCTTTGTTGTTTGAGTTTTGCCTGTTTTCTGGTCTATGCCTTAAGAATGAATTTCTTTTGTTACAAAAAAGAATTGCTTATAATAGATGAGCATTTAAATTAGGTATCAGGATCCATTACGACTATTGGTATTCTGAAGTTTTTCTTCTGAATTTAGTACTATTTTTAGAAACCATTGGAAGTTAAGTGCAGACTCTGATTTTCCGAATGAGTTGACTCATTAACGCTCCTGTGATTGAAACTTTTTCCCGAGAGGAGCACAGTGTGAAGGTTGTGCTTTTGCACAGCTGATTGTTGTAGCGTGGTGAGTGGTAGAGCTCTCCCAGTGACCTCTGCCAGCAGGTGGGTTCTCTCACTGTTCTTCATGTGCTCACAGGTTTCTGACAAAGCGAGAGCAAAAACTCATGCAGCGGCGACAGCATGCAGAGGAACTCCTAGAGTGGAAGCGACGCTTAGATGCAGAAGAAGCAGAAATTCGTCAAATGGAAAAACAAGCTTTGGCTGCTTGGGACAAAGAATTAATAAAACCCAAAACTCCTAAGAAAGAGCTGGAGGGCCAGCGATCAGAACAGAAAGGTAATAAATACTAACACTTGAGCACTACAAGCTGAAGCGTAACAGAACAGAAAGACTTATTGCTATTATTGATTAAAGTGTAAGTGATTAAGGACGAGGAAGACAGTGCAGTTACAAATGCTGTGGAAGTTAGAATGGTCAGAAGATACAGTGACTAGACCTGAATAAGTGAGTGACTTGTCGCCGGAGGACAGTCAGGAGAGGCTGTAGCTGTTGTGCCCCGCCCCTGAAGAGGTTGCACCCAGCAGGGATCATCTTTTAACAGACTTCTGACTTTGTCACTATACTAGACTTGTTTTTTTTTATATATATTTATTTATTTTTATTTCAAAGGCAGATTATACAAAGAGGAGAATCAGAGAGAAAGATCTTCCATCTGCTGGTTCACTCTCCAGTTGGCTCCAAAGGCCAGAGCTGAGCCGTAACAAAACCATGAAACCTGGAACTTCTTTCCAGGTCTCCCTTGTGGGTGCAGGGGCCCAAGGGTTTGAGCCATCCTCTGCTACCTTCCCAGGTCATAAGCAGGATTGGAACTGGAGCAGCCAGAACATAACTGGTACTAATATGGGATGCTGACAATTGCATGTGGAGGATTAGCCCCAACACATTTCTAGGAAAAATAACCACCAACTGCAATTAATGACTTTACCAGGTAGCACAGCCTCTAAAGATGCAGTAATCAAAACAACATGATAATCTGTAGAGAGATAGGCAGACTGTTTAACAGCCCAGAAAATACAACTCTGTGGAAAGTGACTTGTATGTAAAATAGGCAGATGTGCAGAGCAGTGGGGAAAGGAGGAACTAACTGTCCATCAGGTGTGAGTGGGAGGAGGTCCCTGCCTGCCAGTGTGAAACACCTCCAGTCAAGGCAGGTGATTCGTAGTTCCATTTCCTTCTCTGCTTGATTTCTTATTTTTTAAATTTTGTTTTATTTTTAACTGACACATAAAATTATACATGACATGTAAGGATTTTATACATGTATGCACTGAATAATGCGTATTCAGGGTAAACCTACCTATTCCCTGAAAGTTAACATTTCTTTGTGGTGAAAAGTTTTTAAAATCTTTTGTTCCAGTTTTTAATTGAAAAAAATCTACGGTATAGTGTCATTATGCATATACAGTTTAAAAGTGTTGACTTTTTCCATTTTGATTTACATTGTATTATTCTTATATCATGTTTTTAAAAAAATGTCAATGATTATCCATGTTCTGTATAAGGATTCAAATATTGTCAGAGTGCTCTTGACATACCCCTGTCTTCAAGACAGAGGAGTGGCTATTAAAATTAACATGATAAAAATGTAAATGAGGACGTGGGAAGATTGAAGCCCTTGTACATTGCTGTTAGAAAGAAATATAATATCAGGTCCAGCATAATGGCCTAATGGCTAAAGTCCTTGCCGTGAGCACACCAGAATCCCATATGGGCACCAGTTTGTGTCCCAGCAGCCCCGCTTCCCATCCAGCTCCCTGCTTGTGACCTGGGAAAGCAGTCGAGGATGGCCCAAAGCCTTGGGACCCTGCAGCCATGTGCGAGACCCGGATGAAGCTCCAGGCTCCTGGCTTCAGATCGGCACAGCTCTGGCTATTTCAGCCACTTGGACAGAAGATCTTCCTCTCTGTATATCTGATTTAACAGTAAAAACAAAAAGCAAATCTTTAAAAAAGAGAAATATATCTATGGAAATAGTATGATAGTTTATCAATTTTTTCTTAAGGATTTATTTATTTGAATGTCAGAGTTAACAGAGATAGATCCTTCCATCCACAGGTCTACTTCACAAATGGCTGCAACAGGCAGAGTCAGGAGCAGCCACAGTCAGGAGCAAAGATCCCCCAGCCCCAAGCCCCATCAGGTCTCCCACAAGGCTGGCAGGGACCCAGGCCCTCAGGTCATCCTCTGCTGCCTTGCCCAGGTCATGGGTAAAGCCAGAGCTGTGCTGCTATAGCTTATTGGCTAATGTTTAATGAAGTTCTGGAAGTACAGCGGAACCAACTGGATCACCTCAGCATACTCTGGTTTGCTTCCGAGGTGTAAACTTTCCATCCTGTGTCCCTAAGAAGAGAGAACGTGCCTCTCCTGTTCCCAGGCTTCTTAATGAGCCTAGAAGGGGGATTGATTGCTTGATACCTTCCCAGGTCCCAGGAGAAGGGAAGGGGTCATTTGATTGAGAGGTAGGCAGATAGTATTGAATTGGATAGGGGAGATGGGACTTCCAACTTGTGAACCTAAATTAGCTACCTTCCGTTCCCATCTTCCCCCACCCCTCAGAAAGTTATGACCCTTAATTTTAAGGATTGCTGAAGCATGTAGCTTTAGCTTATCTGCAACTTGTTCCTGCTGATTAGGGTTGTCGGCTTTGCCCACTAGGGGTTTGGAACTCTGTCTCATGGATGCCCGTGACTCTGTACCCTGCATGGTCCTCACTGTTCTGAAAGATTGTTAGTCCCTCTGAGAGATATTGGAAAGAGACAAAGTACAAATGGAGTGTTCTTTATGAAAGGAACATTATATTTTATTATTTCCCAAATACTCAGTGTTGAGAGATTGCCTCTGTGCAGAACATTTGAACATTCTATCATTAGAGGCGATAGACTCCATTAATCACTGCGCAGGCTCCTTCTGTCACTATTCTAAGGCTTGTAGTTTATCCATGACTAAGGGTGTCTGAAGTGTAGGCTCAACTACCTAAAGCAATAGGTTTTCAAAAATTAGCTTCATGTCATGTACTGAGATCGTCTAATACATATTAGAACTTACTGAGGAGCTCTGTCAATAGCAGCTTCCAAAGAGGATCAAGAGTAGAGGTTGGCATGTCTACCTTCAAGTGTCACACCTTAATATGGTAAAAACCAAGGCTTTACTTCCTGCTGTTGGAAGAGGTGTCTGAAGTCTTCAACTGGTTCACTACAGTAGGAAGACTTATTTTCATATGTGCCTATGGATGTTCCTTTCCTTTGCCCTATAGTCTGCACAGGAGGTGACCCAACGTGCAATGTGGGCATTGAGGTCAGGATGCATGGCCTCTGAAATCAATGATCCTGAGGTGTCCGAAGTCTACAAGGCATGAAAGTACAAAGTGGGGCCACTTGCCAATGAAAAAGGCCATCCCTACGCTTGAGAGCAGCTGTTAGGACAAGGGATCCTGGAAGGCGCAGGTGGCTAGTTAGTTTTAAAGACATGGTAGGGGCACAGGCAGCAGTACCTGGCTCTAGCCCTTATCCAACTAGATCACCTGGTGGGGCCAGATGCCAACCCTGGCCCACATGCCTCATGCCCTAAGCCCTCACCCGGTGGAGCTGGGCAATCCAAGAAGCCAGGTGAGCATACCAGCCATTTGGGCTCTGGCCTCAGGCTACTGAGTTGTTTTTTGTTTGTTTGTTTGTTTTTTAAGCTAAGATAAAGACTTTATTTAAAGAGAGAATTTTAATTTAGTTATTTGAGTTACAAAAAAGAGATCTTCCACCTGTTTATTCACTTCCCAATGCCATCATTGCCTGGAGCTGGGTTGGTCCTTAGCCAGGAGCTTTCTCCATGTCTCCCATGTGGGTGAGGGTCCCAAGACACCTGGATCAGCTTCCGCTTCCTTCCTGGATGCACTAGCAGGGAGGTGGATCAGAAGAAAAGCAGTGCCCCACCCCCAGGTAGTGGCTTCACTCAGTATGCCACCATGCCAGCCCCTCAAAATTTTGTTTTAAATTATGTGATGCAATAGTGTCACTTGTGAGTATGTATGAAAAAGAATTGAGAGGAAAATCTCAGAAAAATCTCTGTACACCCATGTTTACAGCAGCATTATTCACAATAGCCAAATGGTACAAGCAGCTTGAGTGTCCACCCAGAGGTGAAAAAGCAAGCAAAGTGTGGTCAGTACATACCACGGAATGTTACTCAGCAGTAAAAAGGTAGGAAATTCTGACACATGATACAGTGTGGTTGAAACTTGATGACACACTGCCAAATGAAACAGGCCACTTACAAAGAACAAACACAGAATGCCTCCCACTTAGATGAGGAACCCAGGTTAGTCATCTGCAGGGCGAACAAGTGGAGTGGTGTTGGGTGCAGGCGTGGGGTGGAGAGTGCAGGAGATTGTTGAATGGTTGTAGAGATGCAGTTGGGGAAGATGGAGATGTTCTATGCTAAGGCCACTACTTCGGTAAATTGCAAAGATAGTCGATTTTCTATTGTGTCTCTTTTACCACAGTTTTTAAAAATTAATTTTTGTGCTCACTTTGGCCAAACATTTAATACTTTTGCCAATGCTTTTCTTAGCAGATGTTTCTGTGGAAGATTTTACCTTTTTTCCTCTTACACCTTTTTAAAAGTAGTAAAAAACTAGTGTTAAAAAACAAAACAAAACCTCTAGATAGTATAAAAGGATATACTAAATTTTCACTTAGCAAATTTCCACGCTTTAAAGGCAAATGAGTGGCAGTCCTGGATGGCTGTGTGGGTGTGTGTGCCTTGGTAGACTTCTAGTGAAGTAGTAAATGCAAGTTATAATAGCTCTGCATCCTCACACTTGGATTAACAGTGACTGTCATTGCTGATTCCATGGAATAGATAGCTCCTTCTCAGCTGGCATCAGGCAAAATGCTTAATTAAAGTATGTCTACATGTGACTGGTGATAATATACTTGAAACAAACACAAATGAGTAAAATTATAATTTTCCCACTAACCGGAATTGCATGTTTTTTCCTGTTTTCGTCGATTCTTTCTAGCATCAGTGAGTGAAGAAGAATCTCCAGGACCTTCTTACTCTCATCAACACAGTGAAAGTTCTATTCCGGAAGAACTAGGCAGCCTTGCTGTTGGCTTTGCGCCGTCCGAGTCTGCGGTGCAGGAGCAGCCGGGGAGTCCAGATCGTAGCATACTCACCGAAGAAATGGTTTTTTCACAGGAACTAGAATCTTCTACCTCTCCTAGTAAACAGGTAAATCCGTGTATGATCCTGTATTATGAGCATCTTTGGGGGGTGGAATCTAAAAGGTAATTATTGTTCTTCCTTTAAAAAAAAATTAAGACAGAGGTCTTAATTGGCTGCTTCACTTCCCAGACGGCCTCACCAGCGCTGGGCCAGGCCAAGCCCGGAGTCGGGTGTGAGGACAGAGCCCAAACTCCTGAGCCATGTCCCATGGCTTTCCCAGGTGCACTAGCAGGGAGCTAGAACAAAAATGGAGCAGCTAGAACTTGAACCGGTGCCCAGAAAGGATGCTGGCAGCATATTTGATGGCTTAACCCGCTATACCATAACACTAGCCTCAAATCATTTTTCACTTCTGCTTAATGTCAGAGTAAAAATTTTGGTATTGTTTTAACAGTCTGTTATGGACAGTCTTCTTATATGGCTATTTTTCCTCCTTGCCCCTTCCATAAAAGAAGTATATATACATTTGGTAATTTTTTAAAAGATGCATTTATTAATTTATTTTTAAAGATTTATTTTTATTGGAAAGACAGATATACAGAGAGGAGAAGAGACAGAGAGAAATATCTTCCGTCTGATGATTCACTCCCCAAGTGACCACAGCAGCCGGTGCTGTGCCAATCCGGAGCCAGGAGCTCTTCCGGGTCTCCCACGCAGGTGCAGGATCCCAAGGCTTTGGGCCGTCCTTGACTGCTTTTCCAGGCCACAAGCAGGGAGCTGGATGGGAAGCAGGGCCACTGGGATTAGAACCAGCACCTATATTGGATCCTGGCGTGTGCAAGGCGAGGACTTTAACCACTATGCTATCACACCAGGCCCAAAAGATGCATTTATTTTACTTGGAAGTCAGTTACACAGATCTTCCTTCCACTGGTTCACTCCCCAAATGGCTCCTAAAGCCAGAGTTAGGCTGGTCTGAAGCTGGGAATCAGGAGCTTCTTTTGGGTCTCCCACATGGATGCAAGGGCCCAAAGCCTTGGGCCATCTTCCGCTGCTTTCGCAGGCCATTATTGGAACATTGGATTAAAAATGGAGCAGTAAGGACACAGAAACCAGTGCCCAGTTGGGATGCTGGAACTAGCGGTAGAGGAATAGCTTGCTATGCCACTGCACCGGTCCTGTATTTAGTATTTTTAGGGACAAATAAATGTCACTGACCTGCTGGCCTCTTTTAAAAGCATCCTCTTTTACAACTTTTCTTTCTTAAAAAAAGATTGTGATTTACAAACATTTTTCACTTTTATGTTATCTAAATCTGTGCAAGTATTAATTAAATATGCTAGTATTGCCGTTTAAATAAAGTTCTTCACTGTGTCACAAAGTGGTTCTCATTTGGTTTTATGTGTGTTTAGTCACCTCCCAAAAGCTGCTCCTCCGTGTCCAAGCAGGATTCCAGCAAAGGCAGCCCTAGGACTGGAGGACAGTCTCGTGTGCCTGCCAGGTCCCCGCAGCACTGTGCCAGCTGGTCGGATGAGTCCTTGTCCATGACACAGTCAGGTAAGGCCTGCTGGGGCGTCCTCTGTAGTCTGGCCTCAGCTCCCCTTCAGCAAACTCTGCTGATTATGTGCTACTATACTGTTCACCTTTGGTCCATTCATAAAGACTTTGTTCTTGCCAAGGTGAATTTTTTGCTTTTCATGGATAATTAGACAAATTGCTGTAGTTTCATATGTTAGTGGACATCATCCCTCAAACATTTGTTGAATCTTTTTTTTTCTATGTGAGTTCCTGTTTAGATGTTTCCATAGTACTTTGTATTTCAGCTTGTCATATTCAGCAGCACAAATTGTAAGCAGACTTTGCTGAGCAAGTCCTGCCTACTAAACTACAAGCTTTGCAGAGGAGGATCTGTGTTTTCCAGCAGTTGTAGCATCAAGACCTAGCAGGCACTTTGCATGGAGTCATAGGTGTGTTAAATGTTTCTGGGATGAGGCAATGACAGTAAGCTGGTAGAACAGGATGGGCAGGTCCTAGAAAGGAGAAGAAGTAGAGAAGTAATAAACTGCAAATGACAATGGAGAGTGTTGTCCATTTTCTCATAAAATCTCCCTTACAATAAAACTGGGTAGAGTTCACAGATTATGAAAGAATGAACTTCTGTGCTAAAAGGCTTGTTGGAGTTTGTTGGCCTTGAGTAGCATGCCTAACATATGTTTGCTTTATGTAGGTTTAAGGGTAGAATTAGTACTGGGTTGAATATTGCCATACTAATTATATTGACTGGTTATGTTGAGCTTCCACTATTGCTTCATGAGCTCGTTTTTTAGGTTACTTTTGATAGTAGGCATTTAATAAAGAAAGCGAAAAACAGAATTTGGAGGAGTTGGGGGGACTGTGATCCTGGATACTGTACTGGCCTCCTTTGCTTTCCATATTTTAGACATCAGTAAATCATGGCATTTTCTCAGTCCTGTATTTATAGGTGCCCTTTATTCTTTGGACTGCAAAATAGAAGCATATAAATCTTGGGCTAAAAACTGTATATACTTTTGGGCCCAGCTCAGTAGGCTAGTGGCTAAAGTCCTTGCCTTGCACCCACTGGAATCCCATGTGGACACCATTTTGTATCCCAGCAGCCCTGCTTCCCAGCCAGCTCCCTGCTGTGGCCTGGGAAAGCAGTCAAGGATGACCCAAAGCCTTGGGACCCTGCACCTGTGTGGAGACCCAGGGGAAGCTCTGAGCTCCTGCCTGGCTTCAGATCAGCTCAGCTCCAGCCATTATGGCCCCTGAAATCAGTGGGTTCTGTGGTTCAGAAACTAAAGAAAGCATAAAGCTGATACCCGGTTGTTATCCCCTCATTGAGGTTGAAAGCAGAAATATATGGCTTAACGGACACGGCAGCATAAAGAATGTCGATGTGTTAGTATTATTACTACCATTACTTAAAATTATTTTCTTGTTTTGCAGATAAAAAATGTGTACTTTTCATGTACTAAAATAAACATAGAATGCTAAATTGAGCCAATTGGTGTACATTTGCTCACTTAGTTGTCATTTTTTTTAACACTTAGAAAGTCTTTGTGACTTTCAGTAACACACTGCATTGTTGTTATTGGATTTCTTTTGCTCTTGCTTGGTCGGCATCTTCCCACAGCCTGCAGCCTCGGCCCAGCCCCGTGGTCCTGCCGCCTGCTCCCACTGGAGCAGCTGTAGTTGGCTCCACATGGGACTGAGGCCGTGTGCTGTTTGTCTTTCTGTGTCTGATCCAGTCATCTCTCAGATGACAGGATTTTCTCATTTTTGGAGTCTAAATAGTATTTCGTTGTGTATATTTGGCACATTTTGTTTATCCATTCATGTGTTGATTACCATTTAATTTCATTCCAAATCTACATTTTTTTTTGAGCTTTTACAATATGCCAGACTACATGCTTTTCATACCTTAACTTTTTTTTATCTGTAAAACAGTTTTACAAGTCAGGTCATGGTCAAGCACATAAGTAGTGCTCTAGGATTGAAAGATAGCCTTTGTATGATTTCATTTTATAAGAATATTGATTAAGAAATAGTAAACTGCCTGTGGTAAGGGCCCAGTATGACATCACTACCTGTCTCAGACGATCTTCACTTGCCTAGTGTACGTGAGTGTCATAGAAATGGCAGAAACTCAGATTTCTTTATCTGTAATCTGGATGTGTGGATCCCACTATTAAAGACAAGACTATTCTTTATGCATTCAGATTTCGTAACTAGTTCTTACACAATTGAATCTGAAATCCCTGGGGAAAACCCCTTGTTTTGTGATGTAATAGAATGTGCATGAGTCTTCAGATGTGTATGCAATGGTACTTCTGTGTGAGGTTCGTGTCTACTCAATATCATTATGTGGAAATGATGCCATTGTGTGGTTCAGAGGGAGGTGCCGAGAGCAGTCATCTTTGTGCTGTGTAATTTCCATGTGTAGTGAAATAAGCAGTGTCTTTAGATGATGTCTTTGTTTTCATGGCATGGTGTGACACATTATAATGAGTGGATGTCGTGTGTGTGTGTGTGTGTGTGTGTGTGTGTGTGAACTGTTGGGGGGGGAAAGAAAATAGAATTACCTTCATTCCACTGTTTTAACTATTTTAAGAGCTTTCAAAGAAAGATTACAGCAGAATATAACTATATGTGGAATTAAGGCATCAGCTTTATAAATCAGTTTGAAATGGTGAAATTCCAGTTTAATTCTTTTATTTTTATTTTTATTAGTATTTTTTAAATTGCTTAACATTTTTTATGATACAGTTCCATATCCCATTTTTTTAAAGATTTACTTATTTTTTATTGCAAAGTCAGATATACAGAAATGAGGAGAGAAAGAGAAGAAGATCTTCTATCCAATGATTCACTCCCCAAGCAGCCACAATGGCTGGAGCTGTGCCAATCTGGAGCCAGGAGCCAGGAGCTCTTCTGGGTCTCCCGCATGGGTGCAGGGTCCCAAGGCTTTGGGCCATCCTTGACTGCTTTCCCGGGCCACAAGCAGGGAGCTGGCTGGGAAGCGGGGCTACTGGGATTAGAACTGGCACCCTTATGGGAGGACTTTAGCTGCTTGGATACCGTGCTGGGACCTCCCATTTGATTTTAATGTAACCTAAAAACTGTTGAGGCATAATTAGTTCAGGAAAGGGATATTATTTATGATTATCTTATCAAACTAGGCACTTTGAGACTTCTTTCAAATAGAACAATTAGAAAGTGAAAATGAATAGAAATAAACCAGACAACTAGTAGAGGATTCATGGGAAGGAGAGGAGCATTTGGCTAATGAGTTTGTTCAGAAGCTCAGATTTTTTAATTTTAAAAGTTAGGTTGACTTTAAATGAAGTGTTATATTACACTGTTTTTCATTGGTTCCTGAGTTAACTTTTTATTCGTAAGTTAAAATTAAATAAAGTATTTTGTATCTTTTTTAGAAACTACCTCTGACCAGAGTGACATCGAAGGTCGGATCAGAGCTCTGAAAGATGAGCTGCGCAAGAGGAAATCGGTTGTGGACCAGCTGAAGAAGGAGCAGAGGAAAAGACAGAAGGAGAGACTGAAAGCCCAGGAGGCCAGTCTGATCAAGCAGCTCGAGGTCAGACCCAAGAAGGGGATTCTCCAAAGCTCGCGTGTCTGAGCCCAAGACGCTTGTAGCATCCTACATACATAGTCACGGGCTAGGCTTTTCCAGGATCAGTGCAGAGCCACGTTTCAGCCTAATTCATCAAAAAAGGTCTAGGGTTGTTTAAGCAAACTCTTAGAACATTAAATACCAAGTTTAGATGTTACATTGTAGTAAAGCAAGTGTTAAAATCTTATAAGGCCCTTTTCCTAGATAAAAAGATTAGATCTACAAAAGAAAGATTAATATTCATTCCCTCTTATGCAAAGAACCATTAGAAATCTATGTAACCCTAAGTGTTAGAATTATTATTTTCCTTTTGTGGAAGGATAGAACTTCATGCCACAAAGCTTCCTAGCATAACTCTTTATTGTTCAGATGGTTCCAAATGGTTACTTGAATGGATTTCTCTCCCTAGCTTTACACACCCTTCCTGAATCTGTCCCCTGCAGAAAACCTGATTTTGAAGTCTGCCCATTGTGTTTTTCCCTATCCACTCAGTCACCAGTTTCCAGTTCTTCTTTATGTAATTCTTGCTTGTCCAGTTCCTTTCCTACTGCCATCAAGTTGGCGGAGGCCCTTATGACCTCTTGCCTCTTTTTTTTTTTTTAAAAGATTTATTTTTATTATTTTTTATTGGAAAGGTGGATATACAGAGAGGAGAGACAGAGAGGAAGGTCTTCCGTCCGATGATTCACTCCCCAAGTGAGCCGCAACGGGCCGATACTATGCCGATCCGAAGCCAGGAGCCTCTTCCGGGTCTCCCACGCGGGTGCAGGTTCCCAAAGCTTTGGGCTGTCCTCGACTGCTTTCCCAGGCCACAGGCAGGGAGCTGGAAGGGAAGCGGGGCTGCCGGGATTGGAACCAGCGCCCATATATGGGATCCCGGGCGTGCAAGGCGAGGACCTTTAACCACTTGCGCCACCGCGCCGGGCCCGACCTCTTGCCTCTTAAATGTCCGGCCTGTGCTGTTTTTGTGCTGGCCAGTCAGCCTGCTGTTCCTGACACACTGCATTTGTTACAAAGCTGGTTTGGCTCACCTGCTCACGGCAGGAGTCCCTTCTGATGGTAGCATCAGGCGGTCAGTCAGCTCTCACTGAATGCTTCCGGTAATGTGACATCTTAGGTTTTCAAGGCAGCTGATTTCATTAGTTGACTATAAGTGTTTTCTGAGTTAGAAAGCTCTTTGAATTTAGCCAGAACTTCTGACCTTTTAATTTGCATCTGTTGGTCCTGATTATTAATACCAAGCACATGCTCTGGTTTTAACTTGCTCATCAAATATCCATATTGTGTTTCTGTGCCAGAAAGCCACCTAAGTAAATGTTTTCATTTAATTCTCACAACATCAAAGTGAGGGTAGTTGTCACCACTTTAGTCAGGAGACTGTTTCGGAGACAGTAATGATTGGTCCAGGGTCAAAGAATTGCTAAGTGGTAAAACTAGGATTCTAACCTGTAATTCCCAATTTTGGCCGTTACCATTGTTCTGCCTTCCACATAAAAAATAACTCTGGAAGGATTAAACATTTATACAGGTATGTAATTTCAAGATGGAATAGGGCTTTTAAATTACCCAGATATTTACAAGTAGGAAAAGGGATTAAGGCATGATAACTTTACTGGGGAATTCATGCCACAGAAGTGGGAAATGAAGTTTAAAAGTAAAAACCACATCATGGACCTTAGCTATCAGACCGGAAGATTTGGACTTGATCCTGTAGGTCAAGTAATACGGAACCAATTAGATAGAGAAGTAGTGGAATAAAAGTAGGAGCTTTGTGAAGAAATATTCGTTAACTGCTGTGTTAGTCAGGCAAGAGATCTGCAAGCAGTGCACGGGCTCTGTCTCTGCAGTGTATTAAATGGTTAAAGTAAATACGAGAGAAGATGAAAGCAGAGTGAAGGTGAGGGAGAGGGTGGGGCTCCAGCATTCCCACAGCTGGAAATCTGCTTTGAGCTCCCCTGCAGCAGCAGTAAGACAGCTGCAAAATGCTAACACCGTATGAGCTCAGCCACAGCTCATTTACAGCTGTCTAGTCTCCCATCTTTACTCTTGTTTACATTTCTCTGAACTGTAAGTTGTGCTGCACCGATCTGTGTACAGTTTTACAATTTTTGATATTTTAACTTTTTATAATAGATTCATGAGCATGTGTGTTAATAAGATGTGCTATTATCTACATGTTTTATACATCCAAAGCATAACTATTTTTTCTTAATTTCTTGATATTTCTAGTTAAAATTATTCTGTTTTTCCAATTGTCAGAAATCTCCAAAAAAAATCTGAAGCCTGCTCCATTTATTACATATAGCAGTTCATATTAAAAACAAATCTGTGGTATTTTATTTGATTGCACATTTAATGAATGAACTGCACCTTCAGGTTAGGTGTAGCAGTTCTCACATATACCTAGCTACCTAGCATTTCCAGTGATTTAATGCCAATAGTGAATTTGTCAACATGTTGAGAATTCAGGAAAAACTAGCATTGGTGAGGAGAGTCCTGAAGCTGGACTCGAGTCCTGATTTTAGGGATCTGTGGTAATTAATGAACATCCCTTTATTCTGTAAATGTTTGACAGCCAAGCTTGTGCCAGACATTGTGAATAGACACTAAGCATGCAGTGTTGAACCAAACAGCTGTAGTATCACATAGAGCAGTGAAGGGAAGATTTTAGCTCTGCAAAGGAAAGAGGTTATAGTACACAGGCAGCTGCTGTTAGCTTTTCTACAAATTGTGATTGTCTGTAGAATGATTAACCTGGAAACTTGTAATTATGAGCTGTCATACTCCCTACCACTGCCTTTTGTCCTCAAGAACTTAGTACCTCCCTGGATCCTATTCCCTTAAGACAAATGACTAAATTACTGTGCACTAAAATGAAAGTTATAGTATGCCCTTTAGAGAATAGTAATGTAAATAAGATTTCTAAGGTGACCATGTATGAATTTTTTTTCATAATACTTATTGGGCCCAGGCGGTAGCCTAGAGGCTGAAGTGCTTGCCTTGCATGCAGTGGGATCCCACATGGGCGCCGATTCTCATCCCAGTGGCTCCACTTCCTTTCCAGCTCCCTGCTTGTGGCCTGGGAAAGCAGTTGAGGACAGTCCAAAGCCTCAGTGGCCTGCACCCATTTGAGAGACCCGAAAGTGGTTCCTATATCTTGGATTTGAATCAGCTCAACTCCAGCCATTGCGGCTGCTTGGGGAGTGACTCAGAGAATGGAAGATCTTCCTGTCTGTCTCTCTCCCTCTCTGTGTATCTGACTTTCCAATAAAAATAAATAAACCTCTTTTTTTTTTTTAAGTGAATAAGTCTTATTATAGACTAGGGCTCTTTTTTTTTAAAAAATTGTTTAACTTGAAAGATTTACAGAGAGAAGTGGGGAGAGATACAGAGAGAGCAAGCTTCCATCTGCTAGTTCACTCCCCAGATGGCCACTGTGGTCAAAGCTGGACCCCAAGGGCTTCCTCCCAGGTCTTCCACATTGTGTTCAGGGACCTAAAGACTTGGGCCAGCCTATGCCGCTTTCCCAGCAGGGAGCTGGGTTGGAAGTGGAGCAGCCAGGACATGAACCTAGGCCCATATGGGATGCTGGTACCATAGGTGTGGAGGACTAGTGTTCAATGCCAGTGCACCAGCATATGAATGATTGCTTTATACATAATAAATGCCCATGGGCTGAGACTATAATCTCCTAAATGATAGTAAGATAGTAATTCTATTTCTTACCCACGGACAGTTTTGAGGTTTCATAAGAAAATATAGAGGTTTATGTTGCAGCTTCTTTAGTGTCTGCATATTTTACCTTAAAATATACTATCTGATCATTTACAAAGTTCTTAAACGCTCTGCCTTAATGACTCTCCTGGTTTCTCTGAATGTAGTCGTATGATGAGTTTATTAAGAAAACTGAAGCTGAGCTTAGCCGAGATTTGGAAACCTCCCCGACAGCCAAGCCTCAGATTAAAACGCTGTCTTCAGCTTCTGAGAAGCCGCGGATCAAGCCCCTGTCGCTGCACAGGTACTCCTTTCTTCTGGCCTCTCTGCATCTGCTGTGTCTGGAAGAGGAATATGGAAAGATTTTTAGAAATTATTTTTAAGTAAACATGAAATTACAGAAGTAAAAATACTATTGTTTTTACTAAAATAAAAATATTATAAATGACAAATTCAAGAGAAAGTCACTTTTGCTCATTACTTTTTCTACATCAGGTCTGAAACAACAAAGAGTTGGAAGTCACTTACAGAATCGGAACGTTCCCGAGGGTCCCTGGAGTCTATTGCTGAACATACTGGCATGTATCCAGAATAAATAATTATAGGTTAAGGATTTGTGCAAAGGCCTACAAAATTTAGTGTTTTAATTGAATTAGGAAAAAGGAAAAGCCTCCATCTGCTGGTTCACTCTCCAGATAACCACAGTGGCCAAGCTGAAACCAGGAGCCTATGGATCTCCCCAGGGCGTGTCAGCGGCCCAGGTGCTTGGGCCGTGCTGTTCTGCTGGCCCAGGCCATTGGCAGAGAGTGGTATCAGAAGTGATCAACCAGGCACAAACCAGCATCCTTAGGGAAGGGTGGCATTCCAGACAGCCGCTTCACCTGCTGTGCCATAGTGTTGGGCCCTTAGCATGAAATTCTTGGTTTGGGACAGGCTTTTACCCAACAGTTAAGATGCCACTTGAGCCACCTGAATCAGTGAGTGAAATGTGTTGGCTCTAGTCCCAGTTTGCTCCTGATTCCAGTTTTCTGCAAATAGGCACCTTGTTTGGCAGCAGATGAGGGCTCAAAGCACTTAGTTCCCTGGCATCCACCTGGGCCACGTGGACTGAAGACACAGGTCGTGCCCAGCCGTAGCTGTTGTAGGTATCTGGAGAGTGGACCAATGGATGGAGGCTCCATATCTGTGCATGTGTGTCCCTGTTTCTTTGCCTCTCAAGTACATTAAGTAAATAATTCTTGGTTTGTAACACATTACATTATGTTTAACTTTTGTCTTATTTTGTAAATTCCGCTCTGAAAGTGATGTATCTGCAGAAATAATCTTGTCCTTCTCTTTTACGTTTCAGAGCTTAAAGTCTTCCCCCAAAATGAATTTGTTTAGCAATATAAATAAAAGTATATTTGTCCCTCCAGCCATTGTTTTCTTTTGGGAGGATAAATGAACATATAGTATTTGCCATGCAGTTTTGTTTTTGCTTGAGGAATGATCAGCCAGAACAATAGTTCCATAAGCTGAAGTCCACTAGGGCAACTCTGATGTTGTGTTTGTTGTTGTTGTTGTTGAACACTTATTTTTATCAGAAAGACAGATTTACAGAGAGAAGAAGAGAAAGAGATCTTCTGTCTGCTGGTTCATTCCCCAGGCCAGAGCTGAGTCAATCTGAAGCCAAGAGCCAGGAGCTTCTCCTGAGTCTCCCACACAGGTGCAGGGTCCCAAAGCTTTGGGTCATCCTCGACTGCTTTCCCGGGCCACAAACAGGGAGCTGGATGGGAAGTGGGGCAGCCAGGACATGAACTGACGCCCATGTAGGATCCTGGCAGATGCAAGGCGAGTTTTTAGCCACTAGGTTATTGTGCCAGGACCCACTAAGGCAACTCTTGAAATATTGTTCCAAACTTTAAAATTTCAATAATTAAATTTTTAATGTTTGTATATAGTATAATCTCCTTAAAAGAAAATTGTGGCCAGCTTTGTTAAAATAGATTTAACCTCTTATTGTAATGCCAGCATCCCGTATCAGAATGCCAGTTCAAATCCTGACTACTCTGCTTCAAATACCACTTCCTGCCCATGTGCCTGGGACAGCAACAGAAGGTGGCCCATGGGCTTGATACCCTGTCGCCCATGTGGAGAAAGATGGAGTTCCAGGTTCCTGGCTTCCACCTGGCCCTGCACTGGCTGTTGCAGCCATTTGGAAAGTGAACCAGTAGGTCGGAGACCTCTGTCTCTCCCTCTGTTTTATTCTGTCTTTCAAATAAGTAAGTCTTTAAAAAAGAAAAAATGAATTATATTTTAACCAAAATAGTTCATACTTACCAGAGTGTTCCTTCCTTATTCTTTAAATTCCTTATTCTTTAAATTTAGGTCCTAGCAATTGAAAGATTATGATCAATTCATTTTGATCTAGTTTCTTTTTTTTTTTTTAAGATAATTTGTTGTCAAGTTCTCAGAGATCAGTGTCGGAAAAGTCTGTGTCTGCCTACGCGAAGAGAGTGAATGAGTTGAACAGTCGGACAGAAGAGCGTTTGCAGACCCCACCTCCAGTTCTCAGGTTATCCAGGACAGCTGGAGCAGAAGCTGGGGATTCTTTGGAAAACACACCTTCATTGCCTCTTCTTCAAGAATTGAGTACCCCTAAGAGAGTTCTTGATGTGTCAGATGCCAAGATTAAAGAACCTGATCAACAACCAGAAATACAAAAAGTAGGATGTGCAAAATTGGAGGAGACCAAGGTTAAGGAAGGTTGTTCTAAACGGTCAGAGAAATCTGATGTCTTACTGCAGCTAGACCTGGAACAGGGAGACTCATCTGAAATTCTTTCGAGTAAAGCTATTCCTTTAGATCCCATAGATGTTCAGAAAGATTTAGTTAGACTAGTCATTGAAAATCTTCATACAAGGGAGCAGATATTGAGAGAATCAGATCAAGATGTGGACCCCAGTGCAGCCAGCCCATCAGAAGACACTTATGGACAGAAGAACAAGGAGAGGGGCTCAGCTTTGTCAGAACATATTTTTACTCCTAAAGAAGTATCATACTCTGAAGAAATTGAAGCATCTCCCCTCAAAAAGGAAATTTCGGCTGAGTTGTATAAGGATGACTTTGAGGTGTCCTCTTGGTTGTCACTCAGAAAAGACTCTGAGGTTTGCAGAGAAAAGTCACAGTCGGCAAGGAGCTCCAGGGGTAGAAGCAGCAGCTTCGGCAGTGAGGACGAAATCAGCGAGTGCCTGAGTGAGAAAGGCCTTTCCACGCATAGCTCCGTCCCCTCGGAGAGGCTGCTGGATCTCAAGTCCCCCACCGAGCTGTTGAAGGATGCGGAGCGCAGCGATGTGGAGCAGGAGGGAGCTCCTCCGGCCCCTGCCTTGGCTTCAGCTTCCGCTGCAGGGGAATTACTTGACTTCCACATTGGTGACCGGGTGTTGATTGGCAATGTTCAGCCAGGGACTCTGCGATTCAAAGGGGAGACTAACTTTGCTAAAGGATTTTGGGCCGGAGTTGAGTTGGATAAACCTGAAGGAAATAACAATGGAACCTATGATGGCATCACCTATTTTATATGCAAAGAGAAGTATGGTATTTTTGCTCCTCCTCAAAAAATATCTCACATTCCTGAAAACTTTGATGACTACGTGGACATAAATGAAGAGGACTGTTACTCAGATGAGCAGTATCAGTACTATACTCAAGAGCAAAAAGATACAGAGGCTCAGCAAGATAGAGAAAAAGATGTCACTGAATGTTTTTATGAGAAATCTCTACCCAGCGTGCCTGATACAGAAGCCTCAGTGAATAGAGAGCAAAGCCTCAGGATAGATGTGGCGAGTACACAGGCCATTTCCAGGGGGCCTGAGGCCCGTGTGCAGCAGCAGGCTTCGGTGGATTCACTGACTCCTTCAGGGGAAGCCAGGGACCTTGTTTCTGGTGTCGTAGAACAGGCTGCCATTGATGCCGAGCATGATGCTTTAGACAACACCTTCTCCGAGGAATTGAAAAAGCAGCAGCAGTGTCTAAAAAAGGAGGAAGACCTGTGCTCTGAAATCTCAGAGAATCTTGCCACCCCACTGCTGGACCTCTTAGCAAAAGAAAAACATCAGCTGGAAGCCCAACTGAGGTCATCACAGGATGAGGGAAAGAAGTCCAAACAGCTGGAGACAGTCAGTTCTCTGACGGACAGTTTACTCACAGTGTTCGTGAAGGACACGGTCAGTCAACTACAACAAGTCAAAAAAGCGAAGAATGAGAAAATCCAGCTTAGTAACCAGGAGCTTCTTGACGGTGACCGAAAGGACGGAGCACCCCACCACCTGACCCAGAAGCTTGGGGGGCTGCCGGCAGGTGTTTCAGGCTCTTTTGTAGGGTCTGAGTTGGAAGATGACAAAGAAGAGATTTCCTCTCCAGATATGTGTCCCCGACCGGTGAGTGCTTCATCTGAAATAAAAATGTGTCCGTTTACCTTGAGTACTGTGCTGCTTAAGGCTGTAGCTCCCGGTGGGTGTTTTCCCTGACATCTTGATTGACAGTTTTTGTAAAGGCCTTGTAGCTTTTTTCTGTGTGAAGTGTAATTGTCTTATGTCGTGAGTAGTCGCTATAGGGTTGTCACCAACACGGGTGGGTTTATAGGAGCTGGGTTGACTCCCCTGCAGCCGTCCACAGGTGGGCTCACCTTTTAGGTTCACTGGACATATATTGTGAAACTTTCCATGGTGCTCAACCCTGGGGTTTTGGGTTTACATTAATCATATATCTACTCAGCAGCAGTTACCATTTGTGATGTGTATTGTGATAAAACTGAAATGTATCTACTATGACATATATTCAGACCATCAGCTGGTTTAGGTCATCCCATGGCAGGTGAGCAAAAGTAATGATTTTGAGTAACTTGGGTCAGGTAATCACCAAAGGTGAGAAATTCCATATCCCATTTCCATACGTTGGGGACAGTCCTTCTGAAACAGAATAATGACGATACGAAAAGGGAAAAACAAATAATAAACATCCTTTAAAAGTTTAAGAATAAGGTTAAAATAAGTGACTTGTAGGAACAGAATAATTCTTTCTTAAATATTTCTTTATAAGCCAATATACTGTTTTGATTTTACTTATATATAGGAATTTGTTCATTTCCACTTGGTAAGTGGTCTGAGGACACTGACTGGTGCTCTGTTTGGTTGGTTCTGTAGGAGAGCCCAGTGTTCGGTGCCAGTGGGCAGGAGGAGCTCGCGAAAAGACTTGCCGAACTTGAGATCAGTCGGGAGTTCCTCAGCACTTTAGGAGATGACCAAGACTGGTTTGATGAAGACTTCGGTTTGAGTTCTTCCCACAAGATTCAAAAAAATAAAGCAGAAGAAACGATTGTGCCTCTGATGGCAGAACCTAAAGGAGTACCCCAGAAGCCGTGTGAGCCGATACTGGCAGTCCCACATACTGTGGAGGAAGTAGAAATTCTTGTGCGTGACGCAGCGGAAGAACTGTGGAACTGGAAAGAGCTAGGCCGCGACCTTCACAGCATCAGTGTTCCGTCAAAGCTGCTGGGCTGTACCGGCACGGGTCTGGATCTGGAAAGCTCTAGTAAAAGGGTCTACAAACAGGTAGGGGACGGGGGAGGTCAGCTTCACCGTTAAACCTTTATCCCATTATCTGAAATTCTAATTCTTAGCCATTTTACTTTATTTTTGTCTATCAAGGCGGTTTTTGATTTAACAAAAGAAATCTTTGAGGAGATCTTTGCTGAGGATCCCAACCTGAATCAGCCTATCTGGATGAAGCCATGTAGAATCAACTCGAGCTACTTCCGACGAGTAAAAAATCCGAACAGCCTTGATGAAATTAAGGTAAGTGTCAGGCTGTGAAACACCTCCTTTCTGACTTCCTGTTGATGTGTGCAGCAATAAACAGACGTGAGAAAAGCAAGTATCCTCTGTTGTTCATGATGCCTCAGGGCCTGTTCCATAGTGAGTGTTGAATAAATGTGTGTTCTGTTTTCTCTGTATCCTCACCAGCACTTAGTATTTTTTGTCTTTTTGGTAATGACTCTTCATTAAAGTGGTATCTCATTATAGTTTTGTGTTTTGTTGTTGACTAGCGGTAGCATTTTTTTTCATGTGTTGCTATTATTTCTTCTGTATTTTAAGAAATGTCTGTTGAGAACTTTTTCCTATTTCTTAATTGGATTGGTTTTGAGTTTTTTGAGTTCCTGCATATTCTCAATATTCGTTCTTTGTCCAATGAATAGCTTACAGATATTCTCTGTCAATATATTGGTTTTCTCCTCACTCTGTTGTTTATTTTCTGTGCAGAGACTTCTTACTTTGATAAAATCTCATTTGTCTGTTTTTCCTCTTGTTGTTCGTATTTTTGACGTACTGTCCGATATTTTTCTATGCCATTGTCTTTAAGTGTTTACCTGTTTCCTCTTGCAGTTTCACAGTTGTGAGTCCACAGTTTAGTCTTTGATACATCTTAAGTTGGTATTTGCGTCTGCTGAGAGGTTGGACTTTAACTTGGTGTATGTATGTGTATGTGAGCCATGCATAGTGCATTTCTAGTGCCAGTGTCATCAGTAATGTTGATTGAAGGGCCTTCCCTTGCTCTATAGTCCTGGCACCTTTCTGAAAGATCATTTGACTGAATCCATGAGCTATGGAAGAATCATAATGAAGAAAAACATGAATCCTCAAATTCATGTTTAAAAAAATGGCTTTTCGCAGTTATTTCTGTTTGCAGTAGTTCATAATTTAAAAAGCAATTGCTTGGCATATGCCTAAAGAGATAAATTACTATAACTAATAGAAGTTAGCTGAAATTTAGAGAAAAGTATAATGTTCTAGAAGAGAAAATGGAAGCATGTCATGTTAGACACCTGGGTGTTACCTTTCCAAGTTTGATTTTGCAAGTTTCAAATAGGTAATGTGTTTTGGGGGGGGGCATTTTATTTTACTCTGGAAGGTGATAATATGACCTATGAAAATACTTTATCTTAGAAACTTTTGAGGATTAAGTGTCCACAGGCTATAAGGACTTTGGACTTTTTAAAAATTTATTTGAAAGGCAGAGTTTGAGATCTTCCATCCACTAATTCATTCCCCAAATAGCTACAATGGCTGAGGCTGGGCCAGGCCAGGGTTTCTTCTACGGACCAAATCCAGCCCCCCAAAATGTTTCTGAATACAAATTTGTTCCACCACAGCCATGCCCATTTGTGTTTATATTTTCCTCTGTAGCAGTGAACTTGGTTAGGCAGAAACAGGGAGGTCCCCACAGTCTAACATAGTTACAGTCTGACCCTTTGCAGAAAAAGTTTGCCAGCCCTTGGCTTCGATTAAAGCAAGCAGCTTTTGCAAACACATCTATTTTCCGTTTCTTTTACCTTTCCATGTTTAATGAATCCTTAAGTGGCGTTGTGTGACTCTGGCCTGCTTGTGGAGTAGTGTAGTGGTGGATTTTTGACTCATTGGAAGCTTGTTCTTCTGTTGATTGTGGTGCGTGTGTTCCTTTCCCCATGTGTTGATAGAAGCGACTTAAAATCCAATTTTTAAAAAGCGTTCTGTTAGTAACAGAGCAAGTTACACAAGATACATAAGAGTACCAGCAATCAGGCAGGAGTACAACTGATGCTGCCCACTAATCTTAATATTAAAATAACATTTTGATTTTTTTAAGAGTGAGCATTCAAATGGTGCGTCCAAATAAATCATCCCAGACAGGCTTATGTTTTTGTCGCTACATTATTCCCAAAAAATTTCCTTGAGAATTTTTAAGCTTCCAGTTTTAGTGTATGTTTTCTCCAGTAGTTGTGCCAGCTTAAAGTTAACTGTGACAGTTCCTGGGAAAAGGGAACTCCAGCGTGGTTTCTTCTTGCAGATTCATGAGTTACTTTAGTATACTGTGTAAAAGTAAAAATGCTTGAAAGTGAATAAACTGAACATTTTCAATGTTTTTCCCTTGAAACTGCTAAGTGTAACTGAGAACATTTTATCTGGCAAACACATAGATCTTAGAAGCTTGTTGTGTTTCATTTGTTGTTCTTATTTCCACAGAATTTCATCACAACCGAAGTACTGAAGCTGTTCAGTCTTAAAAAGGAGCCAAACCACAAGACAGATTGGCAGAAAATGATGAAATTTGGAAGAAAGAAAAGAGATCGAGTGGATCATATCTTGGTCAGTACATACAACCAGATTGTTTTTTATTTGCAGTATATTTTTTCAGATCAGAATGTAGATAGATTCTAAAGGAGAAAGAATATAACTGATCTTAAGTCTATATTATTTATTTTTAAAAAGCTTATTTGAAAAGCAGAGAGAGAGCAAGTTCCCCAAGATGCTCACAGTAGCCAGGGCTGGGCCAGGCTGAGGTCAGGCACCAAGAACTCAATCCAGGCCTCCCGCATGGGTCACAGGCATCGGTGCCTGCCGGGGCAGCACCAGCAAAAAGCTGGAGAGCAGAGCAGGGCCCGGACTCCACTGCAGAGACAGTGCCAGTGTCCTAGGCGGCAGCTTAACCTGCTGCGCCGACATCTTCCCCACCTGCTAAGATCTTAATGCCCGCACAGGCTGCGTTTCTACCTGTTGACTTTGGAATTTGCCTTCTTTTGCACTTGGCAAATAAATGCTTTACTTAATAGTATTTGAGAACTGTGGAAACAGAGTTTAAGGTAGTAGATTAAAAACACTAGTGTGGACTCTGGAGTCAGATTGCCTAAATCTCTATTCTACCACTTAGTGTGTACAATTTTTTGTGCTTCATTTTTTTCTACCTACAATATGAAGATGATAAGTACCTGCCAGACCAAATTATTAACAGGATTAAATGAGTATTTAGATAGAGTCATATGCAAATTGTGACAGAGCTGCGTTCTATGAAATTATCATTAAGCAATTTCATAACTGTACAAACATCATAGGATATACTTAAGCTGAATGGTGTAAGTCAGTCACTTGATGTGGCCTCTCTGGGCAACCAAGAAATGTGAGAAGTATGAAATAATATGAAGCTGCGTATGGGCTAACACTGAACGTCTTGTTTTCTTACAAGTAAAAGAGAAGGAATACATCCTAAAATAGTGATAAAAAAAGAATAGTATGAAAAAGAGAAAAACATACAGCATGGAAAAGCAACATAATTTATTGTCATTGTCACTTATTCTATATTGTACATTACTATATGTGCTGTACTTTTATGTAACAGCACAGGTTTGCTCACACCAAGTGATCGTAGCACTTGAGTAAATAGTGCATGGGTGCTGTGATACCTCTAGGCAATAGGAGTTTTTCAGCTCTGTAATAATTGTATGGGACTGCTGTTGTATCCATGGTCTGCCATGGTCTAAAATGTTATTCAAGACATGACTTTATGTGTAAAGCATGCAGAACTGTTCCCCATACATAACTATATCATCTCATCTTATTACTTCTATTATAATAATCCACAACTCTTAACTAGATAGAATTTACTTGTAATATATTCCTCTAACATTAAAAAGTGATTATAAAACAAACAAACAGTGGTGGGCGTCAGTTCAGCCAGTGCTTGGGACCTCTGTGCTCCATATGGCAGTGCCGGTTGGAATCTGGCTGCTTGTTCCCCATCCAGTTCCTTGCTGATGCATCCTGAGAGGCAGCAGCAGGTGTCACAGGTGCCTGGTCCCTGCCCCACATGGGAGAGCCAGGTGGGATTCTGGCTGCTGGTTTCAGGCTGGCTCAGCCCTGGTGATGCAAATGTTTAGGAAGAGAACCAGCAGATGAAAGGGTTCACTCGCTCGCTCTCTCTCTCTCTCTCGATATCACTGCATTTCCACTAAGTTTAAAATAAGTAAAAAAATAAACTTTTTAAAGTAAGAATAATTTTTCCTGTGTATTATCTCTATAATGTTTCATTTACTCAGTAATAATTACACTAAATAACATTTGCTTACTGTTTTATGGCTTACCGTTCTTTCCAAAGTCTTAATTTGATTCTAAATTATACTAGGTAGGAAGAATTAATGTATGAGGAAATTTAGGTTTGAAGAAGAGGGATGTATTGTGGTGCAGTGAGTTAACTAGCCTCTTTGAATATCTGTATCCCAGCAACTCCACTTCCAATGCGTTTTTCTGTTAATGTGCCTGGGAGATAGGAGCTGATGCCAAGTGCTTGTGTTCCTCCCAACGTGTGGGGAGATTCAGACGGATTCTTTAGTTGCTAGCTTCAGGCAGACCCAACCCCTGAGTGCTGCACAACATTTGAAGGAAGAGCTCTCTCTCTCTCATTGTACCTTTCAAGCAAATAAATAGATCTTTTTTTTTATTTGTCCAGCAAAAACAAACAAAAAACACATTTCTTTTTTTTTAATTGTATAAATTTTATTTTTGATAATTTTTACATATTTGATTATGGTGCAAAGGGTCAAGGGCTAGAGGAAAGTGAGTTGAGACCATTGTTTTCACATTCTCTTCTTTCCTTCCTATATCTGGGGAGAGGGGAGAGATAAGGAAAGAAGCCACACCCGGCCTCCCAACCATCCCGGGGTCCCGGACGTGGGGCATGCTCTGAGGCTTCTGCTCAAGTTGTTTTGATAGTTAAACAGTTCTGAATTGCTGTTGATCTTGCCATTCCAGTCGCAATGAAATCTCTCCAGAATCCACTGGCTGACATAGTCCACCTGAGCGTCTCCATTTGCTTGGATTTGTACTGCCAACACCTGGTGTGGGGGTAGTTGATTGGTTTGTTTTGTCAGTAAGCTAGCTCAGCCCATCACCATCCCGACTCTCAAGCTAATCAGTGGGGCTTAGAGTTAGGGTTGGACCCACATATGCCCCCCATAATTCCCCCAGACCTGGTCTCTTGCATGCTGGTTGGTGTCCTGATCCAGTCTAGTGTAACCCATCCCCTGATCTGACACTCATTGTCAGGTACTGGCATCTAGTGTGCCAGACAGGTCCCCAGTCATATCTTGCAAGTACGCTGGCATGTGGTAGTCAGCTATGTTCCATGCTAATAAGCCCAGCCCAGGACTCTCATGTGGACTAGTGCATCAGTCTGACCCATAAATATCTTCAGGTCTTGGGCTTGGCATCATGGCCTAGTGGCTAATATCCTCACGTTATGGGCCCGGCACGATGGCACAGTGGTTAAGGTCCTCACCTTGCGTGCCCAGGATCCCATATGGGCGCCGGTTCTAATCCCGGCAGCCCCGCTTCCCATCCAGCTCCCTGCCTGTGGCCCAGGAAAGCAGTTGAGGACAGCCCAAAGCTTTAGGATCCTGCACCCGCGTGGGAGATCCGGAAGAGGCTCCTAGCTTTCGGATCGGCATAGCATCGGCCATTGTGCTCACTTGGGGAGTGAATCATCAGATGGAAGATCTTCCTCTCTGTCTCTCCTCTCTGTATATCTGTCTTTCCAATAAAAATAAATAAAATCCTTGCCCCTTGCCTTAAACGCACCAGGATCCCTTGTGGGCACAGGATCTAATCCCGGCAGCTCCACTTCCCATCCAGCTCCCTGCTTGTGGCCTGGGAAAGTAGTCGAGGACAGCCCAAAGCCTTGGGACCCTGCACTCGCGTGGAACACCTGGAGGAAGCTCCTAGCTCCTGGCTCCAGATTGGCATAGCACCAGCCGTTGTGGTCACTTGGAGAGTGAATCATCGGACGGAAGATCTTTCTCTCTGTCTCTCCTCCTCTCTGTATATCTGACTTTCCAATAAAAACAAATCAATCTTTTTTAAAAAAGATAAGATCTTCAGTCTCTCCCCTGTGAACCACCAGGTCTCAGTCCCCTGGCTTACCTGCAAGTACAGAAGCCTGCTGTTGGGTATCCCTCAGGATTTATTCCTCACCTGAACTCCACCCCCAACCCACAATTTTTTTTTTAATTAATGTATTTATTTGTGATAGAGAGGGGGGACAGCAAGCTGCTCTGTCTGCTGTCTTGTTCCCCAAGTGCCTGCAGCAGCTGAGGGCGAGGCTGGGCTGGAGCTGGGCACTTGGAGCACAACCATATCTCTCCCCTGGGTGGTAGGGACTCAGTTCCATGAGCCGTCCCCATTGCCTCCAAGGTCTGCATTACAGGAAGCCAGACTGGAGAAGCAGGGGCAACCTTCACAGGCACTGCATTGTGGCACGCAGGCATCTCAACTGTTAGCTCAAGCACCCTTCCCCACAGCATTTTTTTCTTGTTTTTTAATGTACTCTGAGAGTTTTTCAAATTCAGTTAGTAAGCAATACTTAGAGATAGGTGTGTTCTTAAACCATAGAACAACGAACTGGAGTTCTTAAATGTTTTATTGTTTGTTTTCTTTGAGAGATACAGCCAGAATGTGCTTGCTACCATTCTCTGGTTCACTGCTCAGATGTATGCGGTAGCTAGGATTGGACTGAGCCAAGGCCAGGACACAGGAACCCCGTTATTTGAGCCATCAGTGCTGCATCCCCGGCTGGGTGAGTGGGAGGCTGGAGTCAGGAGGCAGAGCCAGGCATCAAACACAGCCATTCAATAGCAGGTGCCAGCACTTAACCAGTGTCTTAGCTGCTAAGCCAAACACCCCTGAGAATTGTTTTTTTGTTTTGTTTTTTTTTGTTCATGTATCCTAAGAGTTCTCAAAAATGTATTTATCAGTAAAATTTGGATGGTATAATTCACAAATGCAAGAAAAAAATGAATTCTGTTTTAAGTATATTTTAAGCTCAAGCAAGGATCTGCGGCTGGTGATATGAACATTAGGCTGGTCACAAACTAGTTTTCCATGACACCAGAAAGGAGTACAGGCTAATGGGGGGAAGCTCCAGGGACTGCTTCCCAGAGGGCACCACATTTAACAGGGTAGGAGGAAGCAGGAGGCAGCGGGGGCATCACCCAGTGAGGCAGAAGAGAGCCAAGGGAAAGTGTTTTACGAAGAGAGGAATCAAGACCCGGCGTCCTTGCCTGGCATCTGCCTGGATTCCTTATGGGCGCCAGTTCATGTCCCCGAAGCTCCACTTCCCTTCCAGATCCATGGTTCTTGCCAGGGAAAGCAGTCGAGGACAGCCCAAAGCAAGATAGGTGCTGGGGAATTCACTTAATAATTAGATTTCCTTTGCAACCTAAGATGTTCAACAGCTCCTGAATTCTAGCCGAAGTTATTTTTATAAGTGGTTGCAGTTTTCCTCTACAGCTCGGGGATTTTATGTAACTAGTGTGGGTCCCTGTGGCATGTTGGTGTCCTTGCTGGCTGCACAATGGTCTGCGAGCCCCTTCAGCATCTGCTGTAACTGCTGTGTATCACACGTCACTCATGTCCAGTGCTGGCTTTGGGTATCTGTCTTTCAGAATTGTAGAAATTCCTGAACATGCTCTTGTTGGACACAGACAACATACTTTTAGTCCTTAATGTCTATAAAATACTAGTGAGTATCATCAGGTTGAAATATAGTTGTGAGCTCATTTTTATTCAGAAATGGAGTTTTTCACACATGGCTATCACCACATGAATTACTGGTTTTTCCCTCTGGTTATTCTCTTAGGTTGTATACCCATGAAGGGGACTGCAGCGTCTACAGATACAAGTGACTTCTTAGCTTTTGTTCTGACCTGTTGTCTTTGAAATCCTAGGTGCAGGAGCTCCACGAGGAAGAGGCGCAGTGGGTGAACTATGACGAGGATGAGTTGTGTGTGAAGATGCAGCTGGCCGATGGGATCTTTGAGACCTTGATCAAAGATACCATTGATGTGCTGAACCGTATCAGTGAGAAACAGGGGAGAATGCTACTTGTGTGACATCTTGCAAATAAATCCAACACTGAGTGCTAACCCGAGTCCTGGGCCTTTCTGCCCCCTGGTAGATACCCCAACTCCATCATAGCAAGAGTGCTTCTGGACCTTGACCTGTTCTTAAAGACTATTTGTTTGGAGTTCATGGGACAATGTGGCGTTTCTGGTATTACGGCGTTGGCCTTTAGAGACTGTCCACTGCCCTCATTGGTTCTTTGTGGTGAGCTGAGTTGCACTGCTGGTGTTGCGACGCAGTATCATCCCGCACCTCGGTCTCAGAGAGGGCTGATGACAACAGACAGCTCTGTGCTGAGCCTAGAGGAGCGCTCGAGTCTCAGGTCAGGCAAGACGGAGAGATCTGTCTGTCTGCTTTGAAGTAGTGTCCTGGTCTCTACCACAAAAGTGATATGTGGACAAAATAGTTTTTAAGCAGTATTAAACCCTTAATCACGTCTAAGATAGGCAAGTTTAATCATGTGTGCCTATTTGACATTCTGGAGTTGATTTCATTTCTTTTTTGAAGATCGTTTTCTCCCATTATTACAGTTAACACCACCAAGTGGACTGTCAAGCTAACAGAAATATGTGGTAGCCTTGCTTTCTGAGCACCATCTAAAGAATGTCCCAGCCCTTGCGTCGTGTTTAGTTCTCTCTCTGGGCATGAAAGCAAAGCAGTGCCCCCTCACCCGACGACTGGGCTGCAGGACCGCTGCAGAGCCGGTCCTTCTGCCCCCGTGGCTTTCCCCTGCACTTTGCTTCCTCGAGCTGACCCTCCACCAGCCGCTCCGGATTCTCAGGGCCATCTCAGGCACCCAGGCATGGCAGAAGTGGAAATGATTCCTTTTGGCCTTCAAACCTTCCACTCCCATCTCTCCCCAAGAAGTCAGAGACGCTGTTACTTGAATGATTTAGGAAATGAGTGTGTGCACCAAAGACAAAAAGATATTGTCTGTTGTTTGTGTGTTTGTTTTGCGCTATGGAACATTTTTTTCCTAATTTATTTTAAGATAAATTATTAAGCCGGAAATGTGTGTCGCTATTCCGAAGTGAAAGATTCTTCTCGTGCTAGTTTAACCTCCGTCTGGAAACTTCGACGGTTATCTTCTTTGCACAGGAAACCTATGGTGGTAACAAACCGCACACGCCACGCCAGTCTGAGTCAGTGGAAAGAAGATGAGCTCTTCCAGGAGCCCCGTGGCAGCGGGGATGGTAGTGAGTCACACAGACTGTGGGATCCAGTGCCTCCGGAGGCATCACTTGTCACAACTGTTACTGTATCTGCAAAAGAAGAAACTACAGACTCCAGCTGCTACATTAGAGCACAGAGATGCTCTCCTAGAACTCAGCGCCCAGCCTTCCTCACTGGTTTCTCTGAACCAGTCCTCTCTCTCTATGTACTCTAGTCAAATGTGGATCATCTTAGGCGTGAATGTAAATGCCTTAATAATGGCGGTCCTTACTAGAAGCACGATACAAGATGCCCACTGGATTCATATTTGAAAATATCTTGGATTGTTATAGCTTAAAAAAAGACATCAGACAAACCCCAAAGATGGTGTAATCTTTCAGCGTGCACATTTGTTCATTTCTGCATCTTTCCTCCCAACTCGCCTTTGCGTCTTAAATGTTTCACTATGCACACCTCCATTCCCCTTTGATTTCATCTTGTCATTGTAAGAAACTTGCTGAAATAATCATTGGAATATTTGCATTTTGCACAGTGACTGGTATGATAGCTCTTGACAAATGCGGAAAGCACTGAGGCATGACTGGGTCTTGGGAGATGCCCCGATGAGCGTGGCACCAGCAGTTCTTCTGGGCTTTAGCATTAAGCTGTAGTCCTGAAGCCATAAATAGCAAATTGACTAAGAAAAGTAAAGGTTTCTTAGGGTTATTAACCAGTAGTGTGGAAATAGTGTCTTCAGGCGGCCAGGGAAACGTCAGAGCTTCTCTGTTCAGTGCGGTGTTTGGGGAACGGAAGGCCTCGTCTCCATGCTCTGGCCGTTTGTACATCGCATTGTCTTTATGATACTGAAACTTTGCAGCTGCTGTACGTGTGTTATTAATGAACAACATGATAGGAACCTGGAGTGTTTCTTACATCTTCATTATTTGTACCTAAAGTCAGTTTCTCATTATTACATGATTCCAGAAAAGGGTTGGGGGGATGAGATTAAGCCCATGGAGTCGGCAGTGTGGACTTGAAGCCCCTGGTAAGAGGTGCTCCCCAGAAGTGACGGCGGCTGTCCTGCCTGCTCCCACCACCTTCTCTGTTTCCAGTTGAGGCTCAGCCGGACATAACTCTTTGTCAGAGATGATTATCCATGGTTTAATAACAAAACAAACAAAAACAACTCTGTGAGGGGCAGATGTTTTTATTATCATTTTTAACCATTTGGATCTCATTGAAGTGGATCTAATACTAGGATTAGGAGTGATACTTCCAGGTACCAGCCACTCGTTTCACGGTGGGATCTTTGTAGTCAAGCCCTGCCTCTTAACCAGGAACCTAACTGTTCCCTCTGTGGTCCTTGTCCCTCCTCCCCGCAGTCTGTCTTCATCCTTCTCCAAGGTAAAGACCCCCACATCAGCAGTACTATCTTTTAGAATAGCACTATCAGAATTTAATAGGAAACCAACACAGAGACTTCAGATTCACTTCTGAGTCCGAAACAATCTGTGCTCCCCAGGGTAGTTAACTCTGGGTTCACTAAGTACAGGGTATCGACTCCCTCTTCAGGTCTACACAGAAACTTTGACTCTAGGGAAAGTGGGAAGAGCTCAGCCGTAGTCGGGAAGGAAGGGAGCTTGTTTTTCTTTTCCCAAAAAGAAAAGGAAAATTCCTTCTGTGACTACAGGTCTCAGAGAAATGATCTTTCAGAAGAGATTTCATCGCTCATGAGAGTGCCGTGGCCTATTGGTAAAAACAATTTTGTTCACTTTCTTGTCTTGAAAAAATAAAGTGGCCTTAGCTTTTTGCAATACTTGAACAAAGTGTGTTCTCGCAAAAGACTTTCTGTAGCACAGCATTAGAACGACTTTTCTGCAAGAAATTCAAACGTACAGCTTCCTTTTACTACCTTACAATACTAGTGAATAAAACATTAATTCAAAGAGCAAATGGTAGAGACTACAATGACGTTTAATGCAAATTGTAGGAATTTACATGTTTACAAATCATCTTAAACTGGTTGCGCAGCAATTCAATAAAATACCTTTGTATTATAAAAATGTGAAGAAAACAATTATAAACAGATGTAAAGGAGGTACTGTCATTTTAATTAACCTATGTTTGATAGCTTTTTCCTTCTGGACTTTGCAAAAGCCTTCTTGGTAACACATTGCAGAGCATTCTCCGGGAGGCCTGGCCTCCGCGTGTGTACTGTACTGTGCAGACATTAAACTCAAGCCCGTTTACCGTGTCTGTGTGAACAGCCTGGTCAGCAGGCCGTTGCCAGCCAATAGTCGCATCCCGTGCAGCTTTGCACAGCAGACTGAAGGGTGTGCTTGTAAGTGTGATCTGTAAAATAACCGGGATGAATTCCCATGTATACCTGTGTAAATAGATTTGTTAACTAAAATGTACTTTAAGAAAGGGTAAAAATCTGTAAATAAACTGATTTATAAATTAATTTCCTGTCAGGTGTTCATTTTCTTCCTCTTGAGTCAACTTCAGGAAAGTACTGCCAAGGGGCCGGCGCTGTGGCTTTGCACATGAAGCCGCCACCTGCAGTGCCGGCATCCCATATGGGCATTGTTTCTGATCCCAGCTGCTCCGCTTCCCATCCAGCTCCCTGCTAATACACATGGAAGAGCAGCAAAGAACAGCTCATGTGTTTGCACCCCTGCACCCACATGTGAGACCTGGAAGAAGCTCCTGGCTCCCAGCTTTGGGTCAACACAGCTCCGGTAGTTGCAGCCATTTGGAGAGTAAGTGGGTAGGACTCTGACTCTAATTCTGCCTTTAACTAAATAAATAAATGTGGGGGAAAAAATTACCTCTAAGATGCACTTCCAACTTCCTGTTAGGTTGCAGGGCACTTAGGCCTGGGCAGTAGGACAAGCAGCTGTGCCTGAGAGCTGCTGGTCCTGTGGGTGTCCCTGCCACACACCCCTGCTCGGGAGCAGCCTGCCTCTGACAGGCTGGAAGCGCCAGGTGCTCCAGGCACTGTGCTGAGGGCCAGCCACGGAGATGACAAACACACGGTCCCTTGACGTTTAATCAAAAACTAGGGTGTGGCAAGATTTTTAAAAAGTATATATCAGTGCATGACAGGTTGACATTCAAATGAAAAGGACCTGCGGGGGCGGGGGGAGGTGAGGCAGGGGGTTCATGTTGACAGGCCTCGCAACTCATGGCGAAGTCACACAATTCGGTGGGCTAAATGGAAGCGAGACTCACTGGTGCCTGCCGGAAGGGGCATCCTGTCTGGACATGGTAGGTTTGGGAAGAGTGGATCTGGCTGACCAGCAGAGGAAGAGTCCAAGAGTTAAAGATAGATGGTGTTCAGGGAAACCAAGTGCCTGCAGCCCCACAGATTATAGGAGAGACCTCCAACATGTCGCTGGACTCCCTCAGGACCAGCTCTATCATATCTGACCCTTTTCATACCATAAGCCTGGAAGACGTACTCAGAAAATGATTGCTACCAAATTTCAGCAGACTCTAAGAATTCTTCCTATACTATGTGCCGGGTAGCCTGGCAGGGCTGTGGAAGCAGAGTGGTGACTGAACCGTGGATAAAATGCCAAATACCTACAGGTGGTGACAATGACATTGAGTGCCAGCGCTCTTAGAGAGAGCCCAGCAAAGCCCGGAAGTGGCTGTCCTAGAGAAGGGTGTGAAGCCGGGAGCTGCTCCCTAATGCTGCATGGCCACCAAGGTCAGAAAGCAGGTGGGGGCCTCGCGGAGGTGACAGTGACACGTGATTTGAGCTTGCTGTGCGGAAAGAACCCCCACTCCAGGTTCAGCTGAGCAAACCAGATCCAGCCCCTTGTAATGTCCTGGCCCCTGAGCCAAGGAGCCCACTCTACAAAGCGCTCAGTGCGGCTGCCAGCACTCCGTCTGGTACTGCAGTGTAAAGACCTTCCTACCTTGTGGGTCTGAAGGATGCGAAGTTTGCATGTGCCTGAGGTCACGGGTGCAGGAGCTTAGGCCTAGCAGAGTCATGCCATTGAATCTGAAACTTGCACAGCCTCCCCGCGAGATACAGGCTGTGGCAACTCCGCAGAAAACATCCCAGACTCAAGGCCCGTTTCAGTGTGACCCTGCAGGAGTCAGAGAACCACTGTGCTGCTTTTGCCAACAGCTCCCCCCCTTCAAAACAGTTGACATCCCATATCCAAGCCATCGGGCCAGTGCCTCATCCAGTGCAGGGGAGAACCTAACCTGACGAGGGCTGAACAACCTGGCAGGTGGAATTTGCGGCCAGTGCTTCCCTCCTTTTGTGATTTGTCACTGGGACAAGCACATCCTGGGGGTGGCCCTCCGCAAGGAAGCCCCACGCACCTTGGTGAAGCCAGCTGAAGAGGACTCCTGACTGGAGACGGGCTGTTGGCATGCAGCTGATGACCACCCAGAGCTCTTCCAGTTCAGTACCTCCCTGGAGTGTGTGCAAATACACCGGCGAAGGTGTGGGCCAGTGACACCGATGCCGCTGTGCTCCGCCAACGGGCAGTGGAGACTGTTCTGTCATCCATCACCCCTCCAGCTGGCGAGTCCTGCCAGCCTTGAGCAAACTCCCAAGTCCCTGTGTACAGGCCGAGCTCTTAGCAAGGGAGGGTAAGATGGAAGACGAGCCCAGCACTGCTTTGGGTTGCCTCCTGTCACCATAGCTGGGCTGGCTCTCAGACACTTGTCCTAGCAGGCACAGCAGAGGCTTCTGCAGGAAGACCACAGCAAGGGTGGAAGTGGCCTGAGCTTCCAAAGTCAGGAGACACTGTCTCCTGTTCCCTTGGGAAGCCGCCGCTGCCTGTGCCCTGTGACCCAGACTTCCACACGGCTCATCCAACCGGAAGAGGAAGTCATGCCTTGAACGAATTTGGTGCTGCCTCCAATCTCACCCCGCTGTGTACAGGAATAGGAGGCCCTGGATGCGCCCCGGGGGACCCTAGGTCCTGTCATTACTCCGCCAGCCCAGGCGGGGTTACAGAAGGGAGCTCTGGCAGGGTGACATTGCCCCCTAGGATGGAGGGAGGGACTCCTGCTCTCAATGCCACCCATCCCGCAAGCCAGCCAGGAGAAGAGCGGCTAAGGGCTGGGTGTTCTGAGATTGGAGTTCTTGCCACCCAGCCCAAGCCAGCAACTGCCCAACCCTGCATGGTCAGCGTGTGCCAGGCTTGTGTTTCTCTGGAAGCAGAGGTGGCTGCTATTAGGTGGGGTGTACCATCCACTCAGGTGGGCTCCTCAGCAGCCTTTGTGGAGTCATTTGAAGATGTTTATCCCAGCGCTCTCTGCCTGCCTTTGTCCCGGGGAGTGAGGCGGGCAATGGGAGGCCTGTCTTCTGGCCTGGCGTGTGGCCATGAGTCAGTTGCTAGGGTTGTTGCCTTGGTAAGAGTAGAATCATTTTGGATATTTGGACATATGGTAAGGGTATTTTTAAAGAGCTGTTTGTTTGAAAGACAGAGTCACAAAGAAAAGAGGAACAGATTTTTCATCTGCTGGGTCACTCCTCAAATGATCGCAACGGCCAGATCTGAGCAAACCAGTCCAAAGCTAGTTTTTTTCAGGTCTCCCATGTGGGTGCAGGAGCCCAAGGCCTGGACCATCTGCTGCTGCTTTCCCAGACACATTAGGCATCTGTATCGGAAGTGGACTCGAACCAGCACCCTTATGGGATGCTGTTGTTGCAGACAGAGGCCTAACCAACAGTGCCATGGCTCCCAACCCATGAGCCGTACCAGCAGTGTCAGTATAAGCACGCCAGAAAGCCAGTGCCCTGGGTGCGGCAGGCACCTGCTCTGGCGCACAGGAGTGTGGCGAATTTGTCATTCTTTTGAGGGTTTAAATCCCACTTGGTGTGATCCAGCTAGCCACACTGTGTGACCCTGAGGGTCACTGCCCCTGGTGCGGCCCATCCTGCTGGCTGTGCTGGGTGGTGGCACACCCACCAGGCAGCCGTGGCAGTTTGCCATCAGCAAAGTAGGTTAGCTCTTGGGTTCCATTTGTTTTGCATTTTAACGACTCCATATTGTAGGCAGTAAGAGTGATGAATGTGTCTGTAAATGTCACAGGCCCCACGCCCCCACACAGGGGCCTTTCATGCTTCAGTTATTCATTTGCCGTGAGTCTGTAGGCGGGCGAGAGAGTGGCTGTTGGGTGGCCTGCACAGCTTGGTCCGTGGGGCAGAACGTCCCCATCTCTCAGGTACGTGGTGGCTGTCCTGGGGTGGGTGTCACAGCAGGCCAGTGGGTGCCATCAGCTTTTAGTTTCAAAGACATAACTTGCTCCTTACCCATATATGCACATCCCGTGCACAGCCTCACCTCCCCACCCCACTCCTTCATCCGGGGCTTCTGTAAGAATCTACCCGTCCTGAAAAAGGGGGTAACCGGCCCACAGAGGGTGCCCCTGCATCTCCCTTAGCAAAGTAAGTAGGGGCATGGTGCAGAGATGTTCCAGTCGGTAACATGGCTTGGTTCCTGGCTATAGTTCCTGGTCATGTAGTATACACATGCACACATATGTATACACACACACACACACACACACACACACACACACTCTTTGCTCCATTCCTTGGGAACCTTGAGTAACACAACACATCAATAGCTCAGGTCTGGAACCAATGATTTGAGTCAGTATTTTTTTGTTTCAAATCCAGAAGGAGGCACTAGAGCCAAGGTGCTGAGATGAAATGGTTAACAGTGGGCACCTGGGCAAGTGAGAAGACGGGGAGGGGCAAGCGAGGAGATGACATCCACACCGTGTGTGTGGCATGAATTAACAGACTTCTGCTGGGTGAACATGATCCTCCCCTTTAGACGACGCATTGCCACGGGCGCCTGTCCAGTGACTTCTCTGCTAAGTGCTGCACGGGACCTAGGTGGGGAGAATCACGCCTAGTTACAGTGGAATTGAAACTTTTCAATAGAAACGATTTTAGCTTCAAGCAAGAATCAGGGTAACTGAAAAAGCTTTGCCATCAAATGTCATGTAAGTGGCACAGTAGGCTGAGCAGCCTGTGACCCACACCAGCACTGCCCACGGGTGCACTAGCTGGAGTCCAGCGCCCTGCGGATGCACCTGTGCAAGGGACAGCAGGTGACGCAAGTGCGTGGGCTCCTGCATCTATATCGGGAACTCACGTGACACCTCCGGCCCCTTCCTGGCTTGGAAGCCTGGCCCAGCCCTGGCCACTGCAGCCACCTGGGGAGCGAAACTGTGGAGGAAGGGGCTCTTCTTCTGTCACTTTGCCTCTAAAATAACTACATCTTAAATCGCAGTAATGATTTGAGTAGTACTCTCAACGCGGAGGGGACAGTGTGGAGCCAGGAACGGCCACCAGTCGGAGGCCACCACCAGATGGGCGCCAGCGTCCGTCACTGATGCTACCGTCTCCTGCTGTTTCTTGACAAACTGTTTTGTTGTCATGATGCCATGATGTGTAAGAAGACGATACATTTCCTTGCG